ACCCTCAAACCGTTTCCAATCAATAATTTGAGAGTCTATATGATAATGTAAAAGTTAAAACATTCAAGTATTTAAGTATTTCTTTAAAATATTAAGTTTTTTATTTTTCCAATAAAATTCTAATATCAAATATTTTTATTTAACGATTAATTTTATTTATATTTTTATAGTTTTTTTAAGAAAAAATATTGTTAGGGTTTTATGGATTTTCAATTAATATACAAGATAATTCATGAATGTATATATTTCCAAGTTTTTAAGGACGCAACACTTTACATTTGTAAACTGTCAAAAATGAAGTCACGCTATTTTTCATGCATTACACTGTTCCCAAAAGAACAGGCTTTAACAAATCGAAAGTGAGGAACTCCATCACTCCTGATCTTGAGGAAACGGAGTTCTGGAGCTCCTGAAGAGGTAGAATGGCTGCCTTATTCTTCTGATCAGCAGAGGCCCTTTACCATTTGGGCCTCTGCTGATACAGATTCAGGAGCTCCGGAGCTCCCTTTCGTAGGATTGGGAGCTCTGGAGCTCCTGAAAAGCAGAAGGCTGCTTTGATCTTAAATCAGCAGAGGCCCAAATGGTAAAGGGCCTCTGCTGATACAGATTCAGGAGCTCCGGAGCTCCCTTTCGTAGGGATTGGGAGCTCTGGAGCTCCTGTAAGGGAATAAGGTCTCTCACACAACCATTAAATTTTTTTTGAAACACGTCCCCTGCAATTGCACTGTATGTCAAAAAACTACTTTACAAAATGGTGGCAATTTGGCCGCACAATTTTGTAGTCTTCCCAAAAAATCCCTAATTTTAATTTCAGATGAAATCTCGCAAAATAACATTGTTTTAACCATATAAATATATATATTATATATTGTATAGTGATTTTTAAATATTTTTATGAGTAAAATCGAGAGTGAGGAAATGTGGACTACAAAAAACGATAGAAATGAATAGTTTACATGGAAATTCTATACTTACAAGTATTCAATGTCACTTTTGTGCTCGAGATTTTGATTCTAGTATACTATGTATTTGTTAGCTCATTGTAAAGTTGTGGTGAAAATTGAAATAAATAAATAAATAAATAAATAAATAAATAAATAAATAAATAAATAAATAAATAAATAAATAAATAAATAAATAAATAAATAAATAAATAAATAAATAAATAAATAAATAAATAAATAAATAAATAAATAAATAAATAAATAAATAAATAAATAAATAAATAAATAAATAAATAAATAAATAAATAAATAAATAAATAAATAAATAAATAAATAAATAAATAAATAAATAAATAAATAAATAAATAAATAAATAAATAAATAAAAACATAACATTCTTGTTTATCTCATCATATGGTTGATATTTTCGCGTTCTGAAAGCAGAAAACGAATTTTTGGAATGCAAAGATTCCGAATCATACGGAATAGAAAATAGACGATCTATCAAGTAGTAAACTATATAGTATTATAAAAATGAAAAACTATTTTTTCATAGAAAAATAAAAAATAACGTATATTTTCAGTGGAGAATCCGGTCCTGGGAACAATGAAATACGAAGCCCTGACCAAAGTATAGTCTGGGCCTGCAAGTACAATCCTCATGACCGAACTTCCAAAAATCTCCCAAATTCTTGATTGTCTCTTGGGAGCTCGGTCATGTGGAACAAAATATTCATCAATATCATTCAGACAAAATCATTCCTACCGTTTTTAGCCATTTAAGAGCGAGATTTTTCGCTGACTTTGTGATTGAAAAAGTCAAACGAAGAATTACGCTCTTAAATGACTATAGAACTAGAACAACTATCGACAAGATACAAATGGCATGTAATGCATGAAAAATAGCGTGACTTCATTTTTGACAGTTTACAAATGTAAAGTGTTGCATCCTTAAAAACTTGGAAATATATACATTCATGAATTATCTTGTATATTAATTGAAAATCCATAAAACCCTAACAATATTTTTTCTTAGAAAAACTATAAAAATATAAATAAAATTAATCGTTAAATAAAAATATTTGATATTAGAATTTTATTGGAAAAATAAAAAAGTTAATATTTTAAAGAAATACTTAAATACTTGAATGTTTTAACTTTTACATTATCATATAGACTCTCAAATTATTGATTGGAAACAGTTTGAGGGTTATCAATTTAAAAAAATTGTGAGTTTTTTAGATTTTTGGCAATGTTAAACGGTTAATTTTTTCTCAAAAAAATTATTTCGAATTTCCGAAATTTTTAGCCATTTTGGCTGAGAACTATGGTCTGCGAGGTACATAGATAGAATCAGTACCTCGCAGACTATAGTTCTCTATATGGCGCCGAAAATTTTTGGTGAAATGTCGTCGCATTTCACCAAAAATTTTTCGGCGCCATAGGAAGAATTGGAGGGTGTGAGATACTATTACATGCTATAGTACTCACACCCTCCAACTCCCAATCAAAATCGCATAAAATTTGCTACTTATCTTCAGATTACCTCCCATTATAAAATATATCATTGCTATCTCATCGTACTATACTTCCACCCTATTGTATTTAAAAATATAAAATTTTTTGATAATATATTTTTATATCTTGAATTTTCAAACAATATATTCACAGATAATATAATGGGAAATCTATCTCAACCTAGCCTTAAAGTACCAAACTCCTGCTTGCATTCTCACTCACAAATATTAAACATCCATCTCAGTACAGTATACATTGTGCGTCGCCTGTAGCCTACAGCTACAGGCACCGGCACAATGAAAAAGTGACAAAAAGTGACACTAAAGGCTCAAGGAGAGGATTTATTTTTATCTGATAACCGACAAATTTATATGTTGGTTTGCCCTTTCGTTCAAGGATAAACCTGATATTCGCTATAGTTAAGAAAAGCTCATCAAAGTACTTATATGTTTTTTTATCTTTATCATTTTCGTCAGTGAAATCTGCTATGGTAAAACTATAATATACATGCATTCGCGAGATATATTTTTTCCCATAAGTCTAAAAATTTTGCTTTCGATGGAATTACTTTTTGCATGAATGTTCTATCATGGTCATCTTCCCAAACAAGATCTGGTTTTCTTGATGTTTTGTCTGTTTCAGTGGTTTCTAATAATGCAGTGATGAAATCCAACACATCTCCTAGGGACATGTCATATTTATAATTCAAGGCATTTTTTTCTATACTACTGTATGAAGGTAATGTTATGATTGGTGATGTACCTTTTCTTAATACATTCAATTTATTTTCATTTGAATCATAGTAACAATCAACAAATTCTCTACTTGCCTCAGTCATTTTTTCCATAAGACCTTCATTCAACTCCTGTGTAGTCATGTTGGGTTTTATGTAATATCTCATGTCAAACCTTTTTTTCACTGATTTGATGAATCTGTCATTTCTAATGGAATAGCAAGAAACTTAAAGTCTGGATGCTCAAGACTTATCTTTCTTATCTCAAGAGCTTTTGACGCAGGATATTCAATGAAGTCTCTCGGTAATTTATATGAGACTGTATTACCACTTATCGTGCCATCAGTCATAACATGTTCATAGTATAATCCATCATATTTAGACATTTTATATGTAACTAAAAGATGGAGAAAGTTATTAATCAAGTAGATAAGATTCTTCATGATGGAGCACGTAAGAATAGTAAAGAACTAAACAATGCACTCATTATGCCATTTTCTGATGATTATCCATTTTGTACTAATGGTGTTTATTTCTACTGCGGTAAGATGGGTTCAGGTAAGACATATGGTGTTATTCGTCATATAATGATAACAGACCGCTTCACTAATACTCCATATTATGACTCAATAGTTATCTCAGCAACATCAGGAACAATGGATAAAACAGCGAAGACATTTATGAGTCAAGTTAAAGCACCAGTACTGAAAAAGGATGATAAAGAACTTATGCCTTATTTAATGAAGAACGTTAAGATGAAAGCAAAGTATTACGCTATTGTTGAGTTCGTTCAAAGTAAGTTCGAAAAAATTTCAGAGGAGATGGAACACATCTTAACAAAGCATCAACTAAGGAAACCTGATGGAAAGTTTGAGTATAAGAAGATTGCAATATATGTTGTAAAGAAGTTGAACAAATATCCTTTCACAAAGTATCCCAGTAATTCTCTATTAGTGTTAGACGATTATGGTGGTCATGACTTATTGAATGACCCACGTTCACCATTAGCGAACTTCATCACTAAGGTCAGACATTATAACTATACTGTTGTCATCATGTGTCAAACATGGAGACATATATGTTTAAACATTAAGAGACTATGCACTGACTTCGTTATCTTTCAAGGTTATTCTATGAGAGACTTTCAGTCAATGATTGAACAGTCAGGAGCAACAGAAGATTGGGAAGAGTTATGGAACAAATACAAAGAGCTACCAACACCTCGTTCATATATGGAAGTTCATATAGTTGCAGGAAAGACGGACTTTAAAGAAGTTAAGCAACAAAAGATGACATTATTTTAAGAAGAAATAAATGGGTTTTGGCGATTATGTTAAAGCTGGATGGGGTATGGCTAAAAACAATCCTGGTCTTGTAATAGGTGCTGGATTTAACATTGCTAACAAACTTTTCCCTCAAGTTGGTCAAGTCGGTGGTGTTATCGGTAGTCTTGGTGAAAGAATTGCAAAAGCTACATTAGGTGAAGATAATGCATTAACGAAGAATCTTAAAGCATTCAATAAAGCTCTTGGTGGTGACTTCAGTAGAGACAAGCCTGTTGAAACACCTATAGTTCAACCTCAACAAACTATTGACAACAATAAGTATAACGCGTACATTGGAGGAGCTATTTGGAACAATCATAAGCCATTAGTTCAATCAGTACGTGTACTATCAGACATGCCATGGATTAATGCTATTAGTGGCACTATACGCAGATAATATATTTTTATGAGGTTTAAATGAGTAAACAAGAGAGGAAACTCATTGATGAACGAGTAAAGAAATGGAAGAATAAACGACCGATGATTAGTACGAGATATAATGATAAAAAGGTCAAGCAGCAAACATTTGATTTTTTGCGCGATATATATAATGATCTTGCTTTTAATTACAATGCTAGGCAATACTTTGAGAAAGAATATGTCCAAAAAGGTGAGATCGTTTTCCCAAAAAGACAAAATGGATTTTTGATTGCAACGGATTATGCACCAACTAGTAAAATCCCTTTTAAAGGCTTTGTTCGTAAGACAAAAGAAGCAATTTCTATTAATGATGATCCAGATTTCAACATACCTTATTTTCGTCCACCTTCACGTCCTTTACAAACTAGTGATCCTGGATATGACATTAAACGAAGATATATAGAGACGAAATTAGCTAAATACAAGGAACCTAAGGATCCAAAGACTGGTAAAATAAAGGAATCACATGTCAAGATAAATAAGCTTTACAAAGTAGTTGAAGAATTGGAGAAACGATCTAGAGAGATTAACGCTGAGAGGAAAAAGGAAGTACCAAATATGAACAAACTAGATAAGATGATTAAGGAATATAGAGGATTGGCGAATACATCGAGTTTTCTAATAAAGGAAGTAGAAAACACGACAAAGCTGCAGAAAATGATTCATGATGAATTACTGTTAGGTGAATTTTCTATAAAACAAAGACAGAGTAACTTAATGGGTGAGGCTTATTATTTGGAGAATTGGTATAATGAGAGGTTAAAACAAATGTCGACTCCAACACCAACTCCTACACCTACTCCTACAGTAGCTCCAACACCAACTCCTACACCTACTCCTACAGTAGCTCCAACACCAACTCCCACTCCTGAACCAACAGTTGCTCCAACACCAACTCCTACAGTTGCTCCTACTCCTGAACCAACAGTAGCTCCAACACCAACTCCTACAGTAGCTCCAACGCCAACTCTGACACCAACTGCTCACGCAGGTCCTCCACCAATGTCGAGTAGTCATGGTATAACATTAAATAAACCAACACCTACACCAAAAATAACTCCTGTATCACATCCTAGTACAACTAACCCAGTATCTGATTCAAATCAAGCGGAAAGATCACAGGTTCTTAAAAGAGCTAATACACCAACTGCTTCGCCTATTAGAACACCAGAGCCAACTCCAAGAATCACAAAGGCACCAACACCTTTACCGACTGTTGAACCAACTCCAGAACCTACAGTAGCTCCGACACCAGAGCCAACACCAACAGTACCTCCAACTCCATCACCGACACCTACAAAAGCACCTACTCCATCTCCAACTCCGACTAAAGCTCCGACACCGTCTCCAACTCCAGCTGAACCAACTGATGCAGAATCTATTCAAAATTGGTTAGACGAAGAAAAGCGAAAAGAAAAGGCTGCAATTGATGTTGCACTAGATAAAAACTCACCACCACAGACACTTGGTGGTTACATGTTAAAGAAAGACAACATTCAAAGACAAGAACGTGCATTGAGTGTTGCCAGAGAACAAGCACAAGAAGAGAAGAAAATAGTTGAAGGAGAAGCTTCAAATAGAGGTGGTCCAGGAACTTACCAAGGATCAAACTATCCAGCAGAGAAAGCCTCGAGTGATAATGTTGTCTCAAGAGCTACTGATTTAGTTATCCATGGTATTCTAACTGGTGCAACAACTGTTGGTAGTGCTATTGGAACCGGTGTTGACACTGTTGTTGATACTGTAAGAACTGTTACAAATCCTACACCTGAAGATAGGAAGGAAGAATTTCTTACTCTTAATACAAAGGCAAAACCAGGGATATGGATGGGTCGTGGAATTTTAAATGCTGGTAGTGCTATTGGCAATGGTGCTTCAGCGGTAGGGGGATGGCTCGGAAGAACAGCAACATCAACCGCAAATGGAATACTAACAGGTGCCAAATCACTTGGTAATTGGGCTGATGATAAGTATACAAAATATTATGAAGAAAAAGCTCGTAAGGCTAAGGAAGAAGCTGAACGAAAGGCGAAAGAAGAAGCTGAACGTAAAGAACTAGAGGAGCTTAAGAAGAAAGAAAAAGCTCGTAAGGCTAAGGAAGAAGCTGAACGAAAGGCGAAAGCAGCAACAACACCATCTCCATCGCCATCTCCATCTCCTTCACCATCACCATCTCCATCGCCATCTCCTTCACCAACACCATCAATAGCGGTTCCTGTGAGACGATTTGGTGCATGGGGTGCTGATTTAGTCAAAGATGCTGCACAAGGAATTGGAAAGGAACTGAAGAACGCAACATTAGGTACAATAGAGCGTTTTGGTAATCTTACGGATTACACAATTAGATCAGCTGATAATCTTTTATATAACCAGACTACTGATAACGGTACTGATGAATTGGCTGTAAACGGACTAGCATCAATTAAGAAATCAGTAGAAGATAAATACGATGAATGGAAAAAGAATATTAAGGGTGAATATAATAAGTATGCATATCCTGAAGAACATATGAAGTTAGAGCTTACCAGACTAAGAGCAAAATATGGTAATGAAACAACAAATACTACAACGCAAACGACGAAAGCTGACAGAAAGATTGATGACACTACTACTCCAACTCCACCTCCAAAGAAAGAAACTCCAACACCAACTCCTGCAATGGCGAACATCACAACAATTGCTCCAAGAGTTCCAACAGGAGAAGGTATATCAGGAAATGTTTCAACTACTCATAACATTACTGGAGCAGCTAATGTTTCAGCAGTTGAGCAACCTGTTGTTAATGTAACTCAGGAAAACGCTACTGAAACATCAACACCAAGACAGGATGTAAATAATGAACGTCCAGAAGTTAAGGAGGTTGCAAAAGCATACCTGGAGAAAAATACTACACAAGTTCTTGAAGCAGAAAAGCATCTCAATTCAGACAAAACTCCAACACCAACTCCTGAAGCAACTCCAACACCATCTCCAACTCCTGAAGCATCAGTTCCTCCAGCAATTGGTGGAAATATACCTTCAGTACCACCATGGCAGAAATTTTATGGATTGTTTAAAGGAGCGAATAAGGTAATGGATGCTGCTGAGAATCTCCAAAAGTTCAAGAATGAAGTCGCAACTGGTGCAAAGGAAATAGAAGAGAATGATAAACAAGCTGCAGAACAAGCTAAACAACAAGCTGAAGCAACTAAACAAGCAGCAGCTCCTAAACAATCTATATCTAAGTCTCAGAGACAAGGTCCTGACCCAAGTGCTAAAGTCAAACAGAATCCAACACCACCTGCAGCAGAGAAGTCCAAGAAGGATAAATCAAAGAAGGACAAAGACAAAAGAAGATAAACAAAGAAGATAAGGACAAGAAGAAAGATAAGGATAAGAAAAATCGTCAAAAGATAAAAAACATAAAAATTTATCCAGTAAGAAATGAGTCAAGTCATTAAAGCATCAACTAAACAAAAGTGGTTAACTGAATATATAAAAGATGGTAAGGTTCCTGATGGATATTATGTACATACAATGAAAGACGGACGTGTACAGTTCCGTAAAGTCAAGCAACCTCTCAATGATGAACAGATCAGAAGGAAGATCTCATTGTATGAAACAAAAATAAAGGACTTACAAGCTAAACTCGAAACCCACGATACTTCTCAAGAAAACTAGGCATATCTTTAACATGACCTTCATTAATATTTTTCCTCCAATACTGTACTTCCATTTGTGACAACCTGTTTGGATTACCTTCACGCATACCTCTACCTGTCACTTTTCCTGTATTTTCGTTCTCAAACGTAACATCATACTTTACATCATTACCGACAAGTTCATGACCATCAATACTTTTAACAGCACCGTGTCTTCCTTGATCTAAAGTTTCTCCTTGCTTTAATCCATGATCTAATCCATGGATATCTTGCAACACTTCCATCTTTTGCTCTTAACAAGTATGCACTTGTATCAACTGAATCAACTGTATAATAAGAAGGATCAAGATGTCTTCTTTGTTGGTTACCTTTACCCCATGTTCTTGGTTCAACTATGACTTGAACTTTTTGACCAGGTCTTAAGTTATAAAGGTTATTTTTTCTGACATACTCTTCTTTCAATCTTTGCTTCTTTATATATTCCTCATTATCCTTTTCTGTGAAATCATCAGGCTTTTGTTGTGTGCTTGAATGATATTCAGTGTTGTAGTCATTAATAATTTGTCTCATTGTATCTGCAGTGAAAGGTGGTGTTTTATCACCTTCTTTGAGGTTTAACTTCATATGTAACATAGTTCTAATAGTTCTACAGAACCTATTAATAATACCTAGTATGTTATGATTGTATTTCTGTGTCGTCATGTGCTCAATGTTATGACTGACCAACAGATCTCGAACATTTTGTGTCGTATAAGCTGGGTCTTCATCACTAGTAAGTATTGTAGGCTTCATTTCACCTGTAGCTTGTGAAATGAACTTCTGCATTGCACTTAGAACATTGTTTGAGTTCTTTTCACTCATTGGGAACGCATAACCTTTTCTACTGTTTACATTGATGAACAAAAGAAAATATGGTGGTGTTCCACCAGGATTCTCAAATGTATCGAATTGATAAGCTCCCATATCAGTTGAATATATTGGTAGCATCAAATCCTCTTGTATTAAAGTTTTTTCTTGTTTACCAACAGTCATTTTTTTATTAACGTTAAAGTCTTACAGGCATTGAGTAATCGCTATAACCATCATGGTCTGCGAATTCATGTAATCTTGATGCATCAGGTTCTTTCTTCGTTGGTGCATGAAACCTTGCTTCATCATAAAGGTTCATATAATGGTTTGTCACGTTTGGGGTAGACCCAATTTTTGCATATTGAGGATATGAGTAATGATACACTAAGTTGAACCCATTACTACCATCATCAACATATATCTTTGGTGGAGGTTGTCTTATTAAATTCCTTCCTCTTGGGGCTTTGAGTTGGACGATCTGATCTAGATCATTGTAAACAACTCCTGTTGCAGTATATTCTGTGTTGTTCTCTGGGTTAATGTTCGTCATTTATATGAGAATAAAACAATTTTTACTCATAACAAATGAGATCGAAGTCAATTCTTTATGGTGCAGCTAATCTTCCAATTGAACCAACAAGCAATGTTGATTCAAGAACAACTAATAACATTGTGATAAAGAACTATCCATCTGGTACAGTAAGTGATGCTCCAACAGAGATAAAAAAAGAGGAAACAACTACGAACTCAGAAGCACCAATGTATCCTCCTCCTTTAAGTCCATTAACTTCCAACCTGACCTCATCGAGATCTGTGGAGACTTCATCGAGGATTGGTGTAGAAGAGTATTTACTTAGTATATACCAGAAGATACTTCTAGACCAAGACAAAGAGCTCTTTTCTAACTTAGTGAGCAAAGATCAGATCTTACTACCTAAGCCAGACTTGGAAGAAGTTGTTCACAGAATGACTGGGTTCAAGTGTGAAATAGATTTATTGGACCCAGACATTACATGCTGTGGTATTCCACCACCTTTCTCAAAAATAGCTCAGATCAGAATCATTGATGAGAACAATATTGCTCAAGAGTTTAAGTATGCATATAATGCTCAATATACTGAGTTAATAAGTAGGTATAATTTATGTCTTAAGTATGTTATTGTTTAACCAAAAAATTTTTTATCTAATGTTAAATATGGTTGTTCAAACAAGAACAAAAGCACAAATGTTTCAAGACTTACTCAATAAAACTTAACGTTTACTCAAAATTATTTTTAGTACTTTTCGACGTACTCCTTGATCTTGTCAAGAGCTTCGAGCATCCGCTTCTTTGCATTGTACTTGGCGAGGATGGCTTGCTCAATGGTGAGCTCGAAGGCTTCTTTACCGATCGGCTGGTGATCGCGAAGATCTGTGAGTGCATCAAGAGCTGCAGTGTACTCTGATGGTAAATGGGAGCCATCTAGTAATGGGTACAAAATGAGCATGTACTCCTGTAGTAAGTTCTCCTGTTTCAAGCGGGACTTGAACTCTTCGCGGAGATCTTGAAGCTTTTGGAGCTTCTCAGTGGCTTGAAGGTATTCAATGATGACCTTCTCTTGTTCCTCAAGTGTTGATGGGAGGAAGTGGACATAAGCTGTTGGCTTCATCAAAAATGAAGTGGTCATGACACTTTTTCAATTAATGTCCGAGCCATACAGTGATGTCGAAGCAGCACATGAACCAAAGAAGAAGTCTTGCTGGGAAAAGACAAAGATTGTTGGTAACGCAATCCTAGCCATTTGTGTTGTTTTGAACTTGATCGTACTTCTGATCTTGTTCTACAAACTCAACAGAGGTTATTGTCTCAAGTAAACACTTATTTTTATTACCATATAAATGATTTTTACCAAACCTCCTTTACCTTTCATAGGTAATAAGTCTAAGATCAGGAAAGATCTTATCGACATACTCAAAGACATCAAAGGGGATTATGTCTTCGTTGACCTCTTTGGTGGTTCTCTCTATATCTCTCATTTGTTGCATATTATGTTCCCAAAAGCAACGATCATAGCTAACGACTATGATAACTACGTTGATAGACTGAAACACATTCATGACACGAATGAAATACTTAAGGAACTTAAGGAGAGAATAAATGTTAAGCCAGATGAGAAAATTCCTACTGATCAGAAAGAGATCGTCAGAGAAGTTATAAGTAAAGCTCCATACATAGACTGGGATACATTATGTTCACGTCTTCTCTATTCTGGAGCATACAAATACTATGATCTTGACACATTAATGAAGAAAGTGTTATACCTCAGATATACTAACTTATTTGGTGAAAACATAGATGACTATCTTGAAGGTTTAACTATTGTTCATAAAGATTGGAGAATACTCTTCAATGAGTATAAAGATCTTCCCAATGTTTTCTTTATATGTGATCCTCCATACTTCCATACTTATTCTATACAGTATGGAGATGAATGGACTCTTAAAGATACTGTAGAAACCTTTGATGTCCTTAATTATCCATCTATTTACTTCAGTAGTGATAAATCTTATACAGAAGAACTTATAGAGATATTGACAAAAAGATATGGAGAGAAATTTTCTATGAGAAAGCATGTTATAGATAGAGGTTTAATTAATCCTAACACTCAGAAAAAAATGAAGTAATATATGTCACTTTTTCTTAATGGAGAAGAGAAAGATCAAGAAGATAATAGTTGATGAGGGAACTGAAGAAGCGACGACATTCATCTTTGACGACGGAAAGCTCACATTCGTTGATAAAAATGGACAACACTTACACAGAAAGAGACCAAGAAAATTTTTAGATCTCCCAAAAGCTAGGAAACCAAAGGAACCATTTCCAGTACCAGACGTCCAAGAACCAGAGAGACTTTTGATACCAAAACCTGTGGTTGACAAATATGATCCAGATCAGTTCTTCCCAAAAATACCAAAGTTAGAATAAAAACTCCTTTATTTCTTTAGTATTATATAATAAGTCTATTAGTAAGCTCTGTTCTCGTTCTGTTCTGGTATTTTGTCTTTTCATGGTCTCGCATAATAAGATCATGAACTTTTTCTTGAGATACTCGAAGAGCTGAGGTAAGTTATCATATTCTGGATATGTAGGAAGCATCCCTGCTATCGTAAGTGTTGTATCAATAAGGATTGGACTTATATCGGAAAAGTCGAGATCTGGAGTAGAATAAGAAGGTAAGTCTCTTACATGTAGGTAGTCATTATATGCTTTACGCATGAGACTGAGTTTCTGGAGCACAACTATGAGACTTTGGTTCTGACGTTCAAGTTTGCTTAAAGTTCTCTCCAAGCTTCTGTAATAAACGTCAACCTCTTAAGAGTGATATTTTTGCATTGATCTCGGAGATCTTTTCTTGAACTTCACCAAGTTTGACCTTAACTGACGTTTGAGCTCCCATCATGTTTTCATCAAGGTCATTCTCTATGTCATCAATGATATCTTCCCATGGAGTCTTGTTTTCATCATTGATCTTAACGTGAACACTCATGAAAAAAATTCAAAAGTATTTGTAAATGAATGTTTTACTCTTGAGCTTCTTCTTCTCAACTCGTCTGTAGGGTTAATGTGCCATCACGTTCGACCAGAAGGTTCTGCTCAGGTCTGTCAAGGAGCTGTCTGTAGGTCGTGAAGGTTTCAACGAGTCCTTGGTAAGGAGTTTGGAGATCAACATCGACCCATGGGTGTTTGCGTAAGAAAGCAGCAAGGCTTTCACGCTTGGAGTCAATGACATCTTTCTTATTGGTTAATCCTTCTTCAAAGCTAAGGATTACTCCTGCAGTTGCTTCAAGTCTTTGGATCTGGCGTCTGGAAACCTTGGTGAGTTGTCTTCTCTTCTCGTTTCCAAATACATGCAGGAGATATGCAGAAACTACTTCATTAAGTTCGATTAAACAAATTGGATGAAGATCAGTCATGGCTTTTGTAAAGCTGTCTTTTGTAAAGCAGTCTTTTGTAAAGCAATCTTTTGTAAAGCAGTCTTTTGTAAAGCAATCTTTTGTAAAGCAAGCTTTTGTCAAGACGTCTTTTGTAAAGCAAGCTTTTGTCAAGCAAAAGTATTCAATTTTGTGAGAAAATGCTATTGTAAAGCAATCTTTTGTAAAGCAAGCTTTTGTCAAGACGTCTTTTGTAAAGCAATCTTTTGTAAAGCAAAAGTATTCAATTTTGTGAGAAAATGCTATTGTAAAGCAATCTTTTGTAAAGCAAGCTTTTGTCAAGACGTCTTTTGTAAAGCAATCTTTTGTAAAGCAAGCTTTTGTAAAGCAATTTTTTGTAAAGACATAACCGACGACCAAATGTCCCAAGACGGTACAACACCAGCTCCAGCATCACCAACACCAGATATGATGGCAATGATGATGTAGATGATGCAACAGCAAACCCAGCTTATACAGCAAATGCAGGAAAAGAAAACTTTCAACAAACCTGCAAAGAACTCACAAGATCTTGAAGCTGGACTCAATGCTCTCAGGAATGACTACAAGAGAGAGCAGATGACGTTTAGGAAGAAGGGTGATGAAGATTATGATAATGATCCGATCGAGGAAGACGAGATCAAGTCCACTGCATCCACAAAGACCCTCCAGGATGAAAGAGATGATGAGGGATTCCTTACCAAGTCTCAAAGACTCTTTGTCCTTGAGTTCTTCACGCTCTCTGCCTTGAGATCTATGAGGAATTGGAAAGGTCGTGTTCCAATGGGCTCCAACAAGCGTGAAATACTCATGAGTGCAGTACCACTCATTAAGACAAAAGTCCAACTCATGGACTTTATCCTTTCCGCTTATCCCGACGAGATCTAAGATCTGATCAAAGTAAAAACATACATTTATGAGCTAAGCTCAGTAATAATTAGTTGTTTATTCTTTCTTCTCATACTTCTGTGCAAGGTTTCCACGGAAGAACTCAAGCAACATTTGGATCTTTCCAAGCTTTCGACCTTCTTTTTCGAGGTCATCCTGGTAAGCATGGAATGCGTCAACGTGTGAGCTCGCATTCCATGCAGCAACAACAACCTCTTCTGCATCTTCTTTGCTGGCAAGTGGCATGAACTCGAATCCTTCCATTGGACCAAATAAAAAGTGACAAAAATGTCAATGAGACCCACTCGTTGCATAAATGACAAACCTGGTCCGGAGATGCAAATGTTCTTCTTAACACTCATGTCTGACCATAGGGAGTACGGTCATGAAGAGGTCATACAGATCTTCGATCAGTGTGTACCAAAACCTGAGAATCCAGACGAACTCTTCATGAAAATCTACTTGCTTCAATGGAGAGATGAGAGAACAGATATGAAACTCAGACCAATACCAATCTTTCTAGGTTTCTGCAATTACCTAGAACAAGCATACCAGATTAAAGGGTCTGACACCATCTTCCTCCAAAAATAAACTTTATCGTTTATAATGCATCAGGATCTACATCTATTTCTTCTGCTTCATCCTCAATGTCGATCTCTTCGACAGGTTTGATAGCAGCTTTGAGTAAGTTCTTACCCATTGTCTTAAGTTCAACTGGGTTATATTCTTTGTCTTTACTCTTTGTTGATTTCGTGAGATCTACATATAAACAATAACTTTTAGTCTTGTCAAGGTTTATTCTCGCTGAGAAATGGTCAGGAATGTTTATAGCTATCTTTTCAAACTTAAGTAAATTAGCTAAACCTTCATTTGTGTATTTCTGCTTATCGACAAAGATCATGATCGGACTTGCACTATAACCATACTTTCCTTGACGTAATGTTTGTGGTAAGCATATAAGTAGTCTCTTTGCTGTTTTATTTTGCTTCTTCACTTCATCTACTAACTGTTGGATCTTAAAGAACTTCAAATGATGTTCAGACATCTTTATATACCTGATAAAAAGTTCAGATAAAAAATAATTAGCTATATTTTTATTAGTGCATAAATGAGTCTTTCTTTGAGATTTTCTGATGAAGATCTAACTTTGGTAAGATCTTTAAAAGATGATGAAAACATTCTTTCTGTCATTGATGAAGAAAAGAAGTACTTCAGTAATGATGTAAAAATAGAGCTACTCATTCATACTGAGAAACAGTTTGTGATCGTGATCTTGAGTTAAGCAGCTCTGAACCATGCGAATACAGTCACAAATGGTGGCATATAATCTGCACCCGAGCCTGTTGGATTTGTTGTGAAAGTGTGTGAATGATTTCCTGTGGTTCCACAGAAAATACCTGCGCTTGAATCTACTGGGTCACTTGAAATATCATATCTATGCATTCCCTGTCTATCCGAACCTGCTGCAAGATTTGTATAACCTCTTTTTGTTATTGAATGTGAATGACTACCTGTTGTGTTTGTAGTTCCTGTATGAGTGTGCGGTGGAAGGTTTGCTTCTTTAATTTTCTTTGAACCACCGGCTTGTTTTGAATTATTAGTACAATATAAGAATTTGTCTACAATCTGCTTCCATTCACCAAAACCCAGAACTGTTGCTGGATTTGTTGAGTTCATTGACGTATAAATAGAACCAACAGGATATATGGTTTCAAGAATCTGAGTCTTTAATGTTTGAAGCTCTGTTTTATCTGCTTTCTTATCTAACATTGTTGGTAGTTCATATGCTTCAAAGTTTCTGGCATGATCTTCAATGTTCATACATCTGTTATCTAAATTGTTTAGTGTATCTTTTACGCTTGTACTTGGATTCTCTAAAGGTGCACTTGAACCAAGGGTATAGTTCAATATTATGTCGTCTGTTCTAACAGTTGAGAAGGATTTATGTGTATGTTCTTTATCTGCTTTCTTATCTAACATTGCTGGTAGTTCATGTGTTTCAAAGTTTCTGGCATGACCTTCAATGTTCATACATTTACTATTTAAGGAGTTTAGTGTATCTTTTACGCTTGTACTTGGATTCTCTAAAGGTGCACTTGAACCAAGGGTATAGTTCAATATTATGTCATCAGCTCTTATTTTCTTGATTTGAACTGGTTGGTCATTATCAGCTCCTATTTTATTGATTATAACAGGTTTGTCTTCTCTTTAACGAATTGATTTAACTGTCAAAGGTTCAGTGAACTCATTATTTTTCAAAGGAATCAATGTTGTATTGATGTTTTCACCATTAATATATACTTCTTTTGCATCAATACCAGATGGGAATGAAACTCTTTCATTAACTTTAACTGTTGTACCATCACCTGGGTACATATCTTTCTCTGGACCTTTGATTGTCTTAAGTATGACAGACTGTGGTAAAGTATATTCTTTAGATGTAACTTTACGGATCTCTTCGTCAACATAACTTTTGTCAGCTTTGTTTGCAATCTCAAGTGCAGTTCTTCCTCCATTATTTTTGTTCTCCTCAACTTTCTTCGCTAATTCAGCAAGCGAACAAAAGATGTAATCTATCCCTTGAAACTCTTTATCTAAAGTAATACTATTAGTACTGATTGAATCATTTACACTCTTGATGAATTCTACAAATGATGGATATAATTCACGAAGTTTAACAATAACAGTTGGAACATTAAGGTCAACTTGATCTTCTTTCTTATCATCTGCATCTTTTGGTATTGCACGTAACCAAGCAGTACCTAATTGCCAATACATTCTCGCGTTATGTATGGTAAAACCTACAGCAGATTTCGCGTTTGTCAATACAGTAGTAACAAGATTTTTGAAACCTAGAACAAAACCACCTTTACCACCAGGTATTAACTCTAAAGCTGCAGTGACTGTTTGAATACCATCTCTTGCACCAATAAAAGTCCATAATGCATCAATTTGACCTTGTAATGATATCCATGAGGCTGCAGTAGCACCGGCGTTTGCTATGTCAAAGATGAATGATAAAGGATTGAATTTAAGACCAGATTCTTTATCTTTGACAACTTCAACGAAGTCATTGATATTTTTCTTCAAGTATTCCTTAGTGAGAATAACACCATCACCAGCAATACCAGTAGCTTTAGTCTTTCCTTCAGCATCAAATGTGATTGGTTTCTTCAATAAAATAACTTCTGGTGTTGTACTGATACTATCATTAGTGGAGAAAAATTCTCCGACATGACTTGCTAAGTATTCTTTCGTCAATAATGTTCCATCACCAACAATACCAGTTGCTTTTGGACCATCTTCTGTGAATGTCAATGGTTTCTTTAACATAACTTTATCTAAGTATATTGCAATACCACTATTTTGTACTTGTTCATGACCTAATATATAAGCAAATGCTGTGTTTAAAGCATTATACAATGTATCTTCTTTAAATGTTAAATGACTGTTTTCAATCATTGGTATATTGAACAGTGTAGACCTTGGATCAAAATGAACTCCATGGTCAATCGATAATAACCGTTTGACATGATATATTATAGTCTCTAATGCTTCATTAATATTTACCTCACGAGTTTCTTGCAAACCATTACTCGCCATACATGAAAACATATAGTCCTTATCAGTTCTGAAGAATGGAGCATCTAAATAATTATTCTCAACTCTTGTCACACGATTCTGCAACTCTTGAAGGTATTGACTTATGTCTGTTTCAACAATTGTACCATCTGGTTGCTCGATAGGTAATATACCTGGACCAATGGTAATGTCTTCATCATCAGCACCTTCTTTATGTATGACTAAAGCGTTATCAGTAATTCTCAGAGAATATTCTTTATATTGAAGTACGCTAGACTTATAACATTCATATGCATATGGAACAACACTCATTCTTTTACTACATATAAAAATGATGTATTATCTACAATCGACTGATCCTAATAACTACGGGACAATACAGTTTCAAGCAGATCCTAACATGGGGCATCCAAGTAAGATAAAGATGAGAGTAAAAAGTGTCAGTACTATGGCGAACTTTATTGTTTGTGACGAAACAGATTATTTTGTCTTACAGTTAGACGAAAATGGAGAAGAAAAGGTGTGTACATTTAAGTCAGCTCTTTCATTTGATATGGATACAATTGTATCAAAACTACAAGCGATTGTAACAAAACAGTTTGATTATTATAACAAGAAAAAAGGTCAACATAATGTAACAGTTTCACTCAGTACTACGAATCAAATAAAATTTACGTCACAGGACGTAGGACACAAATTTTATTTAAAAGATGCTTCACATAGAGCAAAGCTTATTTTAGGTGCATATGGAATAGAACTACCTATTGTACATAATTATTATCTACAAATGCCAAAACCACCTATGCTCAACTTCGGGTATCAGTTATATCTTCGTTCATCAATGTCTGTCATCTCTGGGTTCAATAATATTGACCAAGTTGATGATCGAAGAAAGATCATGTACAGATCTACATGTTATAACATCAATGAGTTCTGGATACCTGGTAAACCTCTTATATGTAAGGAATCCTCACCATGGATAGATGCATTTCCTTGGGAACTAACTAATGTTACGTTTACTTTAGTTGACTTCCAAGATCAGCCTGTACGATTATTGTCACCAATGTTTATGGTGATAGAGATTAAACCAGATAAGCCAGAAGTTAGAGAAACCAATGATATTAGTGATGATGATACAGAATCTTCGTACGATTATGATTACGATGACGATTAAAAAAATAACGTATATTTTTTATCGGTTATAAAAGACCAACATGCTCAATGCTATAAAAGGATTAGTTAATAACCTTTCACCAGAAGATAAGAAAGGTATGCTTGATATGTTTGGGATCAAAATGTCTAAGAAAGCTAAAGACATTACCAATAAATTAGCTCTGGCAATTAAGAATCAAGGAGGTACAGGAAGTGCAGCAGATATTTTCAAGAATGCTAAGAGCTTCTATGATGACTACAATGGTGTCATGAGTGTTCCAGCTTCAAATTCCCCAGTTGCTTTAGATCACGATCAGAGATCTCATAATAGAGCGTTAATGGAGATGCAACCAATATACTCAGACCCTCCACCAAAGATTGATGAGAGCGAATTAGCATACAAAGAAATACAGAATGCCTTTTACGTTGTTAAGAACATTAATGGTCAAAAACTTCCTGATGAGAAATGGTTAGACCCAATAACTAAAGCAGGAGAAAGATTCATGATGTTTAACATTGATCAATACAGTCCAAGAGGAAAAGATTACTTCAACAAGATGTTTCCAAGAGTTATGGCAAAGTTCATTGGACAGATAGACCTTTTCAAACAGAAGTGGACATTCTATTACGACTTTGATGAGAAGAGAAACATTTTGCGTCTTTGAACATCAATACAATGGGATCATTAGTTCATCAGTTACTTAATGAAGCTCCAATAGCAGAAGTACAAGAATTAGCATCTAAAGTCCTTGAATCAAACTATGACTTCTTCCTTTGTAGTATTCCTTCGTTAAGGAAGATCGAGATCTTTGACTATACAGCTTATTCAGATGTTGATGCTTCTGCTTTGAGAAAAGGAACGCACACACCATATAAACTCACAGCTGAAGAACAAGTTATGTTAGATACGATGAGAGCAGCAGGTCAAGAAAAGATCGCACTCAAGATCATCAAACAAAACCATTCAAAGAAGAGAAACAGGTCACGTAATGGTCAGCTTTGGACATGGACATGCAAATTACCTATTAACTTAGAGAGGTATCAGATCTTCAACGAACTTAATGCAGAGACAGCAAAGAAGATGATGAAAGATTCATGTTTCATCTACGCTTGTATTCAAGCTGGTGTTGACGAAGCAACAATTAATCATATGAGGGAAATCGTTCGTGTCAAAGATTTTCCGATGTCAAAGATTAAGGTTATTGCCAAAGAAACAGGAATAAGGTTCCAAAGATGACAGTAGAGCTTTTATTAATGTATGACCACTACATGTTGAACGAAAAGCTTCCAATAAGTTCAATGTTCATCAAGAACTATGAAGATGTTTGTAAGTTGTGCAAGGATTGGACTTTAGAGAAGAAGATGTTAGTTAACAGAAGATATGAAACAAGGTATGCAATTAACTCAAAGTTAGTTACACCACTTGCAAAAGTCATTGAACTCTTGTTTGCTAACAATTATTTCGAACCAATTAGAACAGGAGAACTTTGCACATACTTCACAACAATGTATAATGAGAACCTTGAAGAAATGATTGACCTCACATACAATGAGCGTTATTGCGCAAGGGTGAAGAAAGATTGGAGTTCAGAGACGAAGAAAGACATGAAGTTCCCAAGAGAACATGTTTTCTTTGCTGACTTCGAAGCATCAACTGATGGAAACATTCACAAGCATACAACATTTGTTTCATGGAAGATGACGATGATGGTTATACATCAATTTGGGGAAGTGACTGTGCGTCAAAATTCCTCGAAGCTTTACCAGATAAGAGTTTAGTTTATTTCCACAACTTATCGTACGATGTCACTTTTCTCATGTCTCAGTTAGAAGAGATTACAGGAACTCCAATCATCAAAGGTTCACAACGATGCAGATACAAGGAAAGTACAAAGGAAAACTTCTCTGCTTCAAAGACTCTTATGCAATCATCTCAACTAAGTTGGAAAGATTCCCTGAAATGTTTCACCTCACTAGTGGTGAAAAAGAAGTTTTCCCATATAATTACTACACGGAAGAGTTAGTTAATACAACTAAAGTTGGTAACATCGATGATGCCATGAATCATGTCAAAGATATTGAAGCTTTTAATGAGAACATTGAGAAGATTGAAGATTGCAAGATTGATGATGAACACTTTGACATGGAAGTTTATTCGTCATTCTATTGCGGTCAAGATGTACGCATTTTACGAGATGGCTTTCTTAAGTTCCGCAATGACCTCATGACTGAGTTTGAAATAGATGCTTATGATTATGTTTCAATAAGTTCTATCTCAAACAAACTCTTTGAGAAGAGAGTATATTGGAAGAACGGTAATCTCTTTGATCTTGCAGGAAAACCTCGTGAATATATTTCCAAGTGTATTCAAGGAGGAAGATGCATGTAGCTGAGAACAAGAAGCAATACAATGAAGGAGAACTCATCACTGACTTCGATGCTGTATCATTGTATCCATCAGCAATTGCTAGACTTTACTGTTTAGAAGGAATTCCAAAAGTTATGACAGAAGAGATGAAGAGCAGTGAATACTTGTTGGAGCATCTCTTTGATGATGACCAAGCTGAACCAACAAAGGAAAAGTTCATCTCAGGATTTTACTGTCAGATCGAGATCTTGTCGATCGGTAAGAACTCAGCATTCCCATTGATTGTCGTCAATCCTGACATCAACCCTGACTTACATGTTGCCAGAAGTTCCAATACATGCTGCAAGATGTTCGTAGACCACATTACGCTTCAAGATCTGATCAAGTTCCAAGAGATCTCATGCAAAGTCATTGATGGATACTATTATGATGGAAAAAGGGACATGACAATAAGGAATGAAGTTAAGAAGCTCTTCGAATTACGTGCTAAGTATAAGAAGGAAGGTAATCCGATACAAGAGATCATCAAACTTCTTTTGAACAGTATCTATGGTAAGACGATATTGAAGCCCATTGACAAAAAGATTCGTTTCATCAAGGACAATAAGCTCACTGACTATATCATTAAGAACTATAATGACATACAGACAATAGAGTTCATCCCCGATTCCGAACTTTCATGTGTAAAGTCATTTAAACCTATCGTTCGTCACTTCAACTATTGTCCATTAGGCGTTTCAATCCTTTCTATGTCCAAACGAATCATGAATGAAGTATTCTTCACAGCAGAAGATTTAGGCTTGAAGTTGTTCTATCAAGATACCGACAGCTTACACTTGTATGAGAAAGACTTAAATGCTTTAGCAGAAGAATACAAGAGAAGGTATAACAGAGAACTCATTGGAAAAACACTGGGTCAATTTCATTCAGACTTTGCAGAGATTACTGCAGGACATATGTCTAAGGCACAAAGATCTATATTCGTTGGAAAGAAGACCTACCTCGACGAATTAACCAATGACCTCAAGGAAATTGCTTTCCACTGTCGAATGAAGGGAATCACACAGGACGTAATTGCACTTACTGCAAACCAAATGTTCCCAGATGCGATACAAGTACATTATGACGAGAAGAAAGGTTTGTTCTTCCCTGAGAAAGTTGGGGAAAAATATAGCATCGTAGAATTGTACAAATCTCTTTATGAAGGTGATGAGATAACCTTTGACTTGTGCATTGGTTCAAAACCATGCTTCAACAAAAATAAGGACTTCACTATTTCAACGAAGTCATCTTTTGAACGTAAGTTAAAGTTCTAAACACTTACTTATTATTTTTCTTAGCTTCTTCCTCTTCTCTCAATTTCTTTGCAATCATTCGTGGATTCTTTGCGCGTCCAGCTGCTAATGCAGCTAATTGTTTCTCTGTGAGTTTACGCTTTGGTTTAGCTGGTTTCTCTTCTTGTGTTTGTTCTTTTGGTTGTTCCTTTGGTTTGAGTTCATTAAGTATTTCTTCACGAAGTTCTTTCTTGAGTGCTTCTCTGTCGAAAGTATTCTCAGTCATTTTGTTAGGAGTAAAAATTTTATTAGGATAGAAATGACGTCAAAACTTTCACCAAGTGAAAAGCAATCAATCATATTGAATGAAGCTAAAGGAATACAACATCCATTATATTATGTTTGTCATATGAAGAATGGTTCAGTTCAAGTTAGAAAGAGAAAGGCACCATTGAATTCACCAGCTCCTGCCCCAGCTCCTGTTGTTCAAGAAGCTCCTAAAGTTGATGAGAAGAAAGAAGAAGAACAAGCATATACTAATAAAATGTTGTTAGAGATGATGACAAAGATATTAGAACGTAACAGTGTAGTTAATGAACCAAACATGGACCCAATTGAACGTGAGAAGGAAACTAAAGAGAATCAAGAATATGTTCAATCAATGGAAGAGAAAAGAATACACTTCGATGATGAACCAGAGCCTGAACCAGAACCTCCTAAACCTCAGCCACAAGTAAGACGAATAATCCCAAGAATAAGAAGATTGTAAATTTTTTATAGCTGAGAAAGATGTTGAACGATAACCTCAATACATACAGTATTGCTGATTCCATCAGACAAGTAAGATATTATTTCGATCAAGTTGATGGGGCAGTTCCTATTGGAGATACTAACCATAGATATGTCCCAACAAAAGTGCCAGCTATGCCGACAAATACTATTGATAACGGTTATATTACATTTAACATATCACCACCTGGTGAGAACATGATTGACTTATATAATACGTTCATTAGTGGTTATGTCGATGGTGAGTGCATAATTACAACAGAAACTGAACCAGCTGATGAAAAAGTTCCTAAATATGATGGTGAAGTATATAAAGAAAGAGCTGCTGAGACAGCAACTTCATCAAAAACTGAAACCGCTCCTACAGGATCAAATGTTACAGCAATTAAAGCAATTGATACTAAATATGCTGGTGGCAAATCATGTGCACATCTTCCAGCAATTTGGTTGGGATACATTGATTCATTCTATGCTGTTGAATCATATCAATTAATCGCTAATGGTAAAAGTGTTTATACACAAGATAATGCTAGAGAAGAAGGTTACATTACTTCTACTGCATCTACAACAGAAGCTATTAAGAAAGTTGATGTATTTAGTAAGGCTAGACATAAAGATGTTTTCAATAGATGTGATACAGTTCGTTCTGGACAGATTATTGAGTTCAATAAACCAATTAGTGGTGCAACTACATTAAAGTTCCACGTACCAATCAAGATTGACCTAAGAAGATTCCTAGTACTTAATAACATTAGATTCATTCCAGCGTTTGCTGGTAACTTACAACTTAAGGTTAAGTTCAGTATTGCTGGTATGGTTTGGACACCATTAAGTTATCAGGATATTCTACCATTACCGAACATGCAAGCCAATGTTACAAGCTATATTCCAATCACTAATCACTTCACTCCTATCTATGAAGGTATCAAAGTTATTGATACTGTAACTTGGACTGCCGATAAGAGTACGATATCATTTGGTACCAAGTTTATTAAGTTCGCTAAGAAGAATGCAAACTTCTTTGAAATGATTACATACTGTAACTCATTCTCTTTGGACCCTAACATCTATAGTGATTTGGTGGCAAGATATTCGGCAAAGACTCTAAACTTCCCAATCAAAAGAATTGACTGCATTACTATGGATGGTTCAATGGCTAAAGGTGCAGGAACTCCTTGTACATTCACGGCAGCATTTACTCCATTATATGTGAACACCATTTATACACTATTTAAGAAAACACCTAATTATAACACTACCTATGAAAATCCACTGTTTGAACAAATTCAACTGAACTGCGGTGCATATGGTAACATACCTGCTGAGGCTCAAGCATCTAATGATCCAATCTTCTATGAGATGCAGGCAAATGCTACTAACAATAATAACGATACTGTTGGCTTCAACTATGATGTCATGAGGTCTATCACAACCACATCAGTCCCTCAATTTGGAATCGAGTCAAATGACTTAGGTCATTACCTATGTGGATTCCCTTGCGAAACTGATTATACATTCCAACAGGGTCAGTTATCTAACTCACCTATTACATATAAGCTTACAGTTAAGCCAACAGCAGAGTCTATTAACTATACTGAGAAACCAGTGTTATGCTTCTTACGTCACGTTTGCCTCCCCATACAGATTAAACCGGTGGGACCACCTATCGTACTTCTCGACGATTATGATTTATCAGCCCCTGCTAGTGAATAAAGGTTAGTTTACATATGAACGTTTATTTTTACACATATATGCGTACATATGCGCGCCCGTATAGTGTCACTTTTCTGTCACTTTTTCATTGTGCCGGTGCCTGTAGCTGTAGGCTACAGGCGACGCACAATGTATACTGTACTCATCTCCAAAAAACTAAATTCTTCACAATTTTTTTAAAATTGAGAACATAAAAAACGTATGCATTCAATAATTTAAGATACTAACAAATATTACAAACTTCAAAATATCAGATATTAACGTTTTTCAATTAAAAAAATATTATTTTGCTTTTCAATTCGAACATAAATCTTAAATATTTTTAATTAATATCTGATTTACAGCATTATTATCCATTTATAAATCTGACAAATAAATGACAAAACCATCAGAAATAGTGTCACTTTTTGTCAAAAAGTGAAGTCACGCTATTTTTCATGCACAACATTCTTTTGGGAACAGGCTTTAATAAATTTAATTTGCACTCAATCCAGCTCCGTTAAATATTTTGAACTCTACTCTTCTAATATAGAGTTCAAAATATCTTCCAGAGCTGGATTGAGTCTATATTACATCATATTTCTCAGTAATTTTGTGAATATGTGTTGGTGAAATAACCCTCACTAATGCAGACTTTACAATGTCAAAAATACTAATTTCTGACACTTTACAAACTTTACCAAGCACACTTTTGTAATATACACGGGATTTTTTGAATTTTGAACTAAAATTTGTGATTGGCAATTATTGAATAATCGATTGGAATATGAAAGAAATACTTTAAAATTGAATAGAATGTGCCGATAGAATTTTTCTCACAATTTTAAAAAGTTGTCCAAATCCTATTTTTGATTGAGTTTTTGCAATTTTTATATATCAAGTGACAAGCTAAAAATCAAATTTTTGTTGTACTACTGTTAATGCAACTATTTGTAAATTACGTGCATCCTTTGTATTCGAGTAATCAACACCGAGATTACATATTGTAAGAAAATCTTTGGAATTAGATTTTTATTTGAATTTAAATTCGGACAGTCTAGTTCATGTTGCTTCGTGAGAATATATATAATTTGCAATATGAAAATGATATATACGATTCTGTATAAATAAGTAATTATGCTTTAGGAAACTGCTCGGCATTGCATGAGATCTAATCTTAATAATTTTTTAGATATGTTGAAATATGTAATATTTAGCTTCAATATCATTTATTATGGTGTGTCTTTGCTGTTTTGTGATATTGGATATCAATGACTCTTCTGTGAACGAAAAAATCATTAAATTCTAAACGTAAGCGAAACGCATTCAATTTATTATTAGAATCAAATCTATTTTAAAATTGAGCTATTTGATAAATCACAAAAGAATACTTTATATTTTTAGTCAAAATTTGTTGATAGGAGCTTATTGGCGCAATCTACTGATCTTCCTGGTGTCCCGTACCGAAATGCATCACCAGAAAAGTGACAAAAAAGTGACACTTACTCTTATTTTGTGCGGCAATTTTTCTAAGTTATTTTGTTAAGCTAAATGTGTTATATATCAAATCAGCTTTATAAATATTATAGAAAGTTTATTTTTATTTTTATTTTTATTTTTAATTATTATTATTATTTTTTAAATTAAAAGAAAACATTAAAATTATATGGATATATTTAAATTAATTATAAAAATAAAATTGAATATATTGAAGTTTGAGTTTATAGGTATACAAATTTTAGAGGCATTTTGGCTGAGAACTATGGTCTGCGAGGTACATGGATAGAATCAGTACCTCGCAGACTATAGTTCTCTATATGGCGCCCAAAAAAATTTATGATTGTTTTTTATCAAATCTTATCCATATTATTCTATTAATGTTAATTATATTTTATCAATTATATTTTTAAATAATAAACACAAAATCCACTAATTTAAAATTGGCACCAAATGTCACTTTTGCTAGTGATGCATTTCGGTATGATATATACTGATCTTCCTGGAAGGAGCGCACAGACCAGTCAGAAGCGCTCCTTCCAGGACCAGAAAGACTAGAAGGGGGCCCTGACCTTGAGAAAGGACCCCCTTCCAGGCCTTTCTCAAAGGAATATTGTGCCATTGTGGGAGACATGCAGTGGCAATGTCTCCCATAATGACACTTTGTGACCGACAGGAGTGCATAATGCACTCTTGTCGGTCATTGTTTTATAATCACTTTGTGATTGCAAAAAATTGTGCCATCAAGAGGCAATGTCTCCAGGAATGATATGTGCAGACCGACAAGAGTGCATAACACACTCTTGTCGGTCAAAGTTCCGCATTCAAGTTATGAATGCGGAACATTGTGCCATTGTGGGAGACATGCAGTGGCAATGTCTCCCAGAATGACACATTGCGACCAACACGAGTGAATGGGACACTCTATTCTTTCAATTTTCCCATTAATATTTTTCTTTTTTTATTAGATCAATAAATAAACTATTTTAATGTTCATAATTACATAAATCCATATGAATCAATCCGCTATTTATTTAGTCTCTAATTTTAATAGCTTTTTTGAATCTTGCAATCTAAATAATTAATATATGCGGGTCATTTTATTTTTTTTCATAATTACATTATATATAATAATAGATTATATGTCCAAATTGAACTGTAATAAACAGAAATTCATCAAAAGTGACAGCTCTCAATTTTTTGACATTTGTAAATTCTAAATTGAATGAGAAAAATGAAATAATACTAAGCATAATACAATATTCGAAAAAACCAGAATTTTCGAAAAAGTGACACCAACTATTAAAGTTATTTTATTACTAGATTTATTTACAAATTATAAGATAATATCATTAACAAAATATATTTTTAATATAAATAAAAAACTTTTTTTATACAAAAAATTACAATCAATCGATAAATATTATAAAACATTTATTCCAAAAAGATTAAGAAATAGGTGGGATCCTGCATATAATATAATTTTATGTCATAAAGCTTACAAATTTTAGATGGACCACAGTGAGAATGTGAGTGGTTAATTTAAAGGTGGTCTGATAAAGATATCGAAGCTTACTCAACACAGCATGAAGCAGTTTCTAATACACAATCTTACTAGTGGTGTTTCGGTCGCCAGCGCTCTCATAGGGGTGCTGATTTCAAAAACCACTACTTCAAATTATTCAACAATACTCAATGCAGCATGAAGCAGCTACTACTGCTGTATCTTACTGGTAGCGTTTTGGTCGTTGGCTCTTGCACAGTCTCTCAGATTTTCAAAATTTTTTTTTCAACACTATCTTGTTTCGCTCTCAGAAAGCTATCCTACAAAGACATCGAAGCTTACTCAACACAGCATGAAGCAGTTTCTAATACACAATCTTACTAGTGGTGTTTCGGTCGCCAGCGCTCTCATAGGGGTGCTGATTTCAAAAAACCACTACTTCAAATTATTCAACAATACTCAATGCAGCATGAAGCAGCTACTACTGCTGTATCTTACTGGTAGCGTTTTGGTCGTTGGCTCTTGCACAGTCTCTCAGATTTTCAAATTTTTTTTTCAACACTATCTTGTTTCGCTCTCAGAAAGCTATCCTACAAAGACATCGAAGCTTACTCAACACAGCATGAAGCAGTTTCTAATACACAATCTTACTAGTGGTGTTTCGGTCGCCAGCGCTCTCATAGGGGTGCTGATTTCAAAAACCACTACTTCAATTATTCAACAATACTCAATGCAGCATGAAGCAGCTACTACTGCTGTACTTACTGGTAGCGTTTTGGTCGTTGGCTCTTGCACAGTCTCTCAGATTTTCAAATTTTTTTTTCAACACTATCTTGTTTCGCTCTCAGAAAGCTATCCTACAAAGACATCGAAGCTTACTCAACACAGCATGAAGCAGTTTCTAATACACAATCTTACTAGTGGTGTTTCGGTCGCCAGCGCTCTCATAGGGGTGCTGATTTCAAAACCACTACTTCAAATTATTCAACAATACTCAATGCAGCATGAAGCAGCTACTACTGCTGTATCTTACTGGTAGCGTTTTGGTCGTTGGCTCTTGCACAGTCTCTCAGATTTTCAAAATTTTTTTTTCAACACTATCTTGTTTCGCTCTCAGAAAGCTATCCTACAAAGACATCGAAGCTTACTCAAAACAGCATGAAGCAGTTTCTAATACACAATCTTACTAGTGGTGTTTCGGTCGCCAGCGCTCTCATAGGGGTGCTGATTTCAAAAACCACTACTTCAAATTATTCAACAATACTCAATGCAGCATGAAGCAGTTTCTAATAAATATATACATATATAAATATATACATATATAAATATATCATATATAAATATATACATATATAAATATATAAATATATACATATATAAATATATACATATATAAATATATACATATATAAATATATACATATATAATATATACATATATAAATATATACATATATAAATATATACATATATAAATATATACATATATAAATATACATATATATATAAATATATAAATAACAAAATATAATCAAAAAATAGTGTTTGGAAATTTAAGGTTAAGTGTCACTTTTTCTACTGTCACTTTTTCGTAAATTCTACCACACTCCAGCTCTCAATTTTTTGACATTTGTAAATTCTAAATTGAATGAGAAAAATGAAATAATACTAAGCATAATACAATATTCTAGATTTAATTATAATTAGGGAAAAGTTAGTTTTGAGAGTACTTTTCATAGGCATATAGAATGAAATCTTCTGAAAAATAATATCACATAAACTCATATTATTTTCTAATATATAACTATTTTATATAAAAATCAAATTCAATGATCTTAAAAGCGAAGGATAAACCTCAAAATTTACGAATATAATGAGTGGGAATATAATGGTTATCTATCATAAAACCATATGAAATATCAATTTTTGCTTTACGCCTAATTTTTGACGACAATTAGCAAAAAATGTTAAATGTTAACACTCAGTCCATTTGAATATAGGTCAGGTAAGTGGGGCTTCCAGGCACTTCGTGCCCTCTAGCCCCTAAAAAACCTAGAGGAGAACTAAAAAAATTATATAGTAAAAAATTAAAGTTTTTATTCGATAAGAACGACATCGCTATCGTTATCTTCTTCTGAAGTTTCTTCTTCATCATCATTTGTTATAGGGTCTCCAACATATCCAGCAATGAAGATACGGATGCGTTGGTTGAATGGTGTATGGAGAGAGAACTTGGAGTTTTCAACAAATTGGAATTCGCAGTCCAATTTGAGCTGTGCTGAGGAGGAGGTAAACTCGGCTATTTTAAGCGGCTCACGTCCTTGACGAACATTATATAGAGAAACACTTTGACCGAATGTAACCCTTTCAGGCTCAACCATAGCAATAGTTGAAATTACGTGAAGAAAGTCTTCATAGAATTGTTTTGGTTGTATTGTGAATGTCTTAGCAAGCTTTCCTTGAGGAACATCTACATAGAACTTGAAATGTTGTTCCTTTCCGTGTTCTTGAAGTTCTTCAATCCAATTATATGTAAGTGGATAAGGATGAAACAGTTTCAGACGTGCGTATAGACTTTTTTGCTGTCTGGGACTGAATGTTTGAATAAACTTGTCACAGAACTGTAAACCAATGATATTTGCTGTATAAGGAAGCAATTTGAAGAAGAATTCTGAAAGGTTTGTTGGATTTTGAACATTATCTTCAAATTTTTTGACGGCTTCAATAATATCATTGTAGAAATCTGAATAGTCATTTGTGTCTTTAATGCTTACGTTTTGTGGGTAATTCTTCATGAATTGTTCGAGTCTCTTGACTGCGTCCTTACGAATATCGCTTTCTTTTATTTCTGGTTCTACCAAATATTCTTCTTCTTCATGAGTAAGTACAATTGGAATTGTACCAGAATTGGAAGTTTGTCTTTGTGTTTGCTGTGTAGTTTGAGAGGTTGAGACATGTGTGTGTTGTTCTGGTGCGTTTGAAGGTTGGTTTGAAGTAGAATTGGGTGGAATTTGGTTTGAATTCGAATTTGGGTCTGATTGACCCTGAATTGTTGCTTCAACCGAAGGAGTAGGTTGAGAAACCTTTGGGGTTTGCTTGAAGAATGTTGTTAACAACATTTGTTGTCCCCTACGAAGGGTAGAATTGGTAACAGCAGTGTCAGTGGTGTTAGGCTCCATTGAGAAAAAATGAACTGACCAGAAGTTTGTGGAAAATGAATATTGAATAAAAACGGTTTTCGTCAACGGTAACCCCCTCTATTTTTTTATTTTATTTAATAGTTACCGTTGGAAAAAACGGTTTATCTCAAATATTGAATGAACTATAAACGTGTTTTGTTTTCTATATATGCTTTTTTGTCCAACGGTAAAACTTTTTACACAACGGTTTTTGAGAGTCGTCGCCGTTGACTTTTTTGTAGAGCGCTCAAAATAGTATAACTTTGTCCGGACAAGTAAGGGTCTATCGTCGCTACAGGAAAAGTTACAGGCGTTTCAAGGAAGTATACTTTGAGAAGCCTTTTTCCCCTTATAGAATGAGATAAGACGGTTATTTTACAAAACTGACAACACTTTGACCGAGTAGTTTTTTGTGCTGAACAAAAAGTGTCATATAAACATCTGTCAAAAACCACTTTTTAACTTCACTTAAAATGCCACGTAAGCTACGTAAGAATATACGTAAGAGGAAGGGAGCATTGAAACATCCAATAGTAAAACTGACACCACAACAACAGTTGCAACAACAAATGATGAATGACCCCACTATGTTGCAACAAATGTCAAGCAACCCTATGCTTTTAAACCGAGTTATTGGTGCACAGAGTGGAGGTTTAAGAGCGGCACTTTTAGCGAAAATGGCAGGCTATGGTGGAGCTGCAGACGGAACAGCTTATAACCCTCAAAGTCAAATGAATTTGAGTTCACTCAAAAATCAAATAACAGATGTCAAAAAGTCAAACATAGACATACAGAAACAAATAAGTGAAAACGAAAAGAAACTAGAATATGACAGACACACAAAGAAACTAAATGAGTTAAACGTAGAGAAAAAGAAGAAAGAAGAACAACTGAAAGAACTAAGTACAGAGGAATATGCGAAAAAAAGTGTCAGAAAAAGCAGCAGAAGTAGCAAAAATGGAACAAGATGTTATAAATTTGAAAAACCATACTACTCAATATAAAGTACTGAAAGATGAAGAGATAAAACAAAAAGCCCTGAAGACATATATGGATAGCGATGAGTATAAAAAAGAAGTTGAAGCAAATGTAAAGGCAGAAAAACTTTTACAGTTGCAAAACCAAACCGTACAGTATGAAAACTTAGCACAAGAAAGTAAAAATAACGACGCAGCCATGCAAAAGGCAATGAAAAGCGCAGAATATATAAAAGCTAATAATGACTGGTTAGATGCCCAAGCCAACGCTAAAGCAGCCCAACTTCTAGGGTCAATAAGGACAAAAATACAAGCGGATGAAGACAGTTCAAATGAAGCTTTAATGAATGCTAACTTTAAGAATGCCTTCGAAGCTCTTCATAGTAAGGTGAAACTAGTGAATGACTTCTCATCTGGAAAGAAACTGAAGTCTGAAGGTTTCGACAAAGAGTTAAGAGAAGTAGCACAAAATATGACGAAAATAACAGATGCAGCAACGAGACAGGCAGTTCAAAGTGCCTATGACGCCGTTAGAGCAACAGTTAGTATACATGTCTTCGGTATGGTGGCACTGCCTTCCATCTTACCAAAGTTATGTCAATCTGACACTTTACAAAACCACTAACGTATATTTTACATCGCATATGCAATATTTCTAATAACCTTAAACTATTTCTGCCACGTAAAGTATTTATCACATAAACCACCTCATCTCACCTCTCTGTACGTTATATATTGTGCGCAGGTCATTGCCCATGGCAACTCCCCGCGACACAATGCACGTGCATGAAAAAATAAACGTTCTCACTAACGTACACACTAACGTTCACACTAACGTTCTCACTATCGTTCTCACTAACGACTTCACTAACGACTTCACACGTATGAAAACATAGCGCAAAAATAAATTTAGGGTAGAAGGTTAGATCTAACCTCATTTCTACCCTGTTGAATTCATTGCTTTATAACTCTCTTCCTTGGTTTCTTTTTAGTTGCTTTCTTCACGTCTGTCTCCAACTTGACTGTCTTTCTTCTTCGTCCGTAATGATACCAATTACTTCCACCAGTCAATGGGTCAAATGGTCGTTCATAAAGGTTTCCATACATTCCATAAGGTCCGTATGGATAAACCGCTGGTGGAGAAGAAACATTTTCTTTAGTTCCATCGACTCTATTTAAATGCATTGTTTCACCTTTCATCTGGTCATTAAAGTCTTTTGCGTGTTTTGCAAACTCATCGTCCTTTCCTAAAGCATTTTCTGACTCAGTCGCAACCAAATTGGATGCTTTATTTATGAGCCCTATTTTATTTAATCTTAACTTCTTTGCAACCCAGCCTCCAATCTTCCCTTTATTTGCATCTAATGTCTTCGAAACCCTTCCTCCACTCATTTTATTTACTGCGTCATAAGCTCCAAGTGCTTTTGCTCCAAATGCTAATGCTTTTGTTCCCATTGCGCCTAAAGCTGCCCAAGCTACCATTTACACCATATTAAAATCATCTCTCTTCAATATTATCTCATAAAAGTTCTCGTTACTGGAGAAAGTCAATGAAACATAAGCGTTCTCACGGGCTTCGCCCTCACCGCTTTGCGGTCTATCTAACTTCTTTCTTATCTCATCTATACGCTTCAAAATGTCTGAACAATTGCTAACATCTTCTACAACAGTTATTTCATCATGAATGACCTTCAAGAACAAACTCATTTAATGTGCTATTAAAATCATTTCAATAATGAGTCCATCCTTTCCGTCTTTGGGTAGCACAACATCTTTCATTGAAGAAGGTTCGACAAGTCTTATGTTAAACTTACTGACAAAGTTTGTTATACTATAATGCTTTGGCGGCGAATACATATAGTTTGAAAGACATAATATAGATTCTTCAGCAAATTCACTTATACTGGATTTTATAACAATGTTCTCACGAGACCAAATACCACCAATTGACAATCTTGTAAGCAATCCTGCTGAACCTTCTACTGTAAACGTCGATGGTAACATTCCACGAAGGTCATCTATTGACATCGTTGAGTCACTGTATTTAAATATTTTCTTAAAGCAATCGTCATTATCTAACCATGCAATAGCTTTGAAGTTTTCATTCGAATATACATCTGCTTCATTAAATGTAAAACCTGATTTCTTTGCAGAGATGACTTTAAAATCTATTGAGTTTGTTTCAAAATTATATGCTATGGTAACTTCTGAAGGTAATGGATGTCCTTCCGCAGTCAGTTGTTCTCTCACTACCGTTTGAAGCTTTGTATTAAAAACTTTCATGTCATCTCCTGTATCTAAGTTCACATACACAGCAACAGGGAAACTATCTTGCTTCTTTGTTTCATCATTATATCTCAAAACATTAAAGTTCTTCAATAATATTGTTCTTCCTGCTGGAATACTTCGAACCTGCCTGATTTCAATAGCTTTCTCACCTCCTACATACTCTACCCAGTGTCTTGGATATTCATAAGTATACTGACTTTCTTGAATTTTGGTTGGTTTCATCATAACGTGTTCATAGTATATCTTTATACTCTTGTCAGTTAGACTCGGTGCTATGTTCTGAATATTTCTGACTTGCATTTTTAATGGAGATAAAATGAAGCATTTAATACATGACGTAGATGAAGACATGAATGAAACTACAGACAAACTTAACTCTTCTCTCATTCTTCCTTTCAGTAAGGACTATGAGTTCTGTTCAAATGGTGTTTATTTCTATTGTGGAAAGATGGGTTCAGGTAAGACATTTAACCTCATTCGTCATATACTCATAACAGAACGTTTAGGAAATGACTCATATTATGACCAAATCATTATATCAGCAACTTCAGACTCTATGGACTCAACAGCGAAAACATTTATGTCAAAAGTTCAAGCCTCTGTCGTTAAAGTTCCAGACAGTGAACTCATTGAATTTCTTCAACGTTACATTCGACGTAAGAGGAAATATTATGCCATCGTTGAATTTATACAGTCAGGAATGCAAAAAACTTCAGAAGAGATGGAAAGAATTATTGACAAACACCACTTACGTCAATACTCAGGAGTTTACGATATGAAACGACTTACAAACTACATTCTGTCAAAACTTTCAAAATACCCCTTCAAAAAGTATCCATCAAACACTTTATTAGTTTGTGATGATTTCGCTGGAAAAGGTTTAGTTTCAAAACCAGACTCACCATTAGCTAACATCATTACTAAAGTCAGACATTACCACTTAACTGTAGCAATACTTATGCAAACATGGAGGTTTTTAGCTTTAAACATAAAACGTCTCATAACTGACTTCGTTATCTTTCAAGGTTTCTCACGCTATGACATTGAACTCATTTGGAAACAGTCAGGTATAACATTACCTTTTGAAGAAATTTGGGAAGCATATAAGTCTCTCATCTCTCCTCGTTCATACCTTGAGATTCATATCATGACTAATACCATTAAAGTCAAAAATATTCCATGGGAACGACCAACATTGTTTTAAAGTTTAACCTTCAATTGACTGATGGTAAACAAATTCCATGCATCTCTGTCACCATTTCTGTTAATATTTTTGCTGTCATTCATATCATCCACTTCTCCATCCGTTAGCTTTTGAGGATATGCGTTAGAATAGCTGTTCTTAAATGAAGGCTTTTCACCTTTGAGAGCATAAACTCTATAACTTTCTGCATACTTTATGTTTGAACCTCCTGAGCCATCGTTGACATAAATTTTTATAGGCTTCCACCCTTTGTTCATGTTCCTGCTTCTTCCCTTAGCTCTTTTGTTCAGTAGTTCTACATCTTTATACACAGCACCTGTCTCAGTGAATTCAACAATATTTTCATTCGTTAGCTTTACATTCAAACCCTTGTCGAGTATATTGTTCATTTCATACATATAAAAGGTTTTTATTCTATATGAAATGAGAAGCAAATCCATCTTAGCTGGTGCCGTTAATGTTCCAATTGAACCAACATCAAATGTTGACTCACGAACGACAAACAATATTGTCATAAAGAACTATAGTTCAGAGTGTTTGAAAGAACCAGAACCAGAGCTGAAATCCGTGAATTTAAACTCAGCTTCAAACGCTAACGCTACATCAGATGTTAAGTTAGAGTATCCACCACTGGACCAAATTCTTTCAAGAGATGCCAACGACAACCCTTACACAAATGTTCAAACAAATCCTTCAGATAACGTAGACCATTACCTTCTTCAGTTATACCAAACAATTTTACTCAAAGACGATAAGAAGCTTTTGACAAATCTTATAAGTAAGAACCAAATAATTCTAACAAAGGAGGACCTTGAAAATGTTATCTCACGAATAACAGGGAAACAATGTGTCATTGACTATCTCGACCCTGAAATCGAATGCTGTGGCCAAACTCCACTATTCATGAAAATAGAAAACATCCGCATCATTGAAACTCCAGGAACTACAGGAGTTGAGTTTAAGTATAAATATTCGAACGAGTATACAAAACTTTTAACAGAATATAAGCTTTGTTTGAAATATGTTTTAGTAAATTAAAGCAGTCAGGAGGGCTCTTTGAGCCCATCTTGGCGCTTTGCGCCGTCAGTCAAAAAAATTACAAGTTAGCAATTTGTAATATCTATCCAAAACTTCTTCAACAGTATCGAACTCATCTTCATAATGCAAACCTAATCTTATCGACTTGGTGCAGTTTTCACTAACACAATATTTTTCTGTTCTCTTGACTGACATAACTAACTCATTTGTTTCATCAAACAGCAACAACCAAAGTTCATGACCTAATACATAACATTCATACTTTATATTTTTAGCTCTGAGTTCTCTTGTAAGCTGTTGCATTTAATATTTTCTAAAAAGTCAACTTCAACAGTCATTCGCACTGGCGCCTTCAGTTCTACAGGCTCTCCTTGAAAGTCAACAAGTCTGAATTGCATGTCTTTCAAATTATGAGGACTAATGCGAACCCATTTACCTAAATGAGTTGCTATGACAGGAACGTTTGGAATGAACATTGAATTGACTGCATAACAGAAGGATTTATATTCTACTGAACCTTTACTATTAACTCCTGAAATGCCTGTGACATTAGCTATTTTAGACTCAATGTACAAACAATTACCATAACATACGTATGGAACAGATTTCATCTCAATCGTTTTGTCAACACTTTTCAAAGGAAATGTCATATGGTATGCACCCAAAAGAAGTTGTACTCTATGACTCATTCGTGTTATCTTAAACTCCTTCGCATAACTGAACTTCAAAACTCCTGCAATAAGTTTAACATTCATTAAGTTTTCTTCGTTATCCTTGTTTATTGTAGTATTTATGAGAGCATTTAACACTCCAGCTAATGTTTCCATCTTATATTCTACATTATTGTGAAATCTTATTTCGTGCTTCTTTCCATCTATTTCAAACTCCATGAAATCTGTTTCGTCAGTTATGACAAAAGTTGCGATAGTATTGAAGTCAACCATTCTGAATGCAAGCGCCTCATTCTGTAGACCTAAGTTTGTTTGTAGCTTTACTGTCCCGTATTCGTTTGGGTCTGTACTTTGCAAATAGAACAACATTTTATTCTCATTAAAATATGAGTATAGCTGCATATGCGTATGAAGCTGACAGAGCTAAACGTTTATATTTTGGTCAATACTCTCTCACACTTACTGACAAATATATTGTTATCACTGATGGAAATACTGAGAAATACATAACATGGAAGGACTATGAAAAGTTTGACCCTATTTTAACTCCATGTGCAATGCCTTTTATTAAGGACGGTGAAATCGTAAGAGTTCCGGATTCAACGGTTTACACAGCTGTTCAAAACAGTTTACAAAACATTTTAGCGAATATCTTTAATTCAGAAACTACAGAAATAAAATTACCATATATAACAGATGCTAAAGAAATTAAATCAAAAACGACAACATTATTTACGTCACTTAATGATTTAATGACTTATATCATTAATATTCCTGCACCAACTACAGCATTTGATCCAAATTCGACGGTTTGTAGTGTACCTTTCATTAATGACAGTTCAGTAATTGCTTTAAGGGATTCGACAGTAAATGAATCATTAAAGGCGTCATTAATGAAAATCATTGATTTTAACTCATTCACGAATACATATAATTCATTCATTAATGTTTCATATGCTTCTAAAGAAGGTGAGCCAAAAACTATCGATAAAGCGGTGTATGAAATAAAAGCATCAACGACGAAATTGAATTCGTTAACTTTTGACGGTGATAGTTTCGTTAATGACATAACATCGGGGAAAACAATTTTAACGAAAGAATACTTAAAATCTCATGTTAGTGAGTTCGTTGAAATTGAAAAAGAAGGTGGAATTAAGTTCGATCCACTGAATTTCATTTTCAGCTTAGTGAATGCAGGTATTAGTTTCGCTGAATGGACAACTATACAAAGTGAAATAAATGCAATATGGACGTTTTTGGGGTCAAAAGCGGGAATGGGTGAGCTTGTAAATGCTGCAAGAACATTAGGTGAAACAGGAAATTTTGTCGATGGTTTTAAAAGACTTGTTTCAAACGTTTTGACAAACACAAAGAAATTATTTAGATATACCATACATAACGGACGGATTTTCGAACAGATAGCAACAAACCCTCCGGTTATGGCTGCGTTGATGATGGTTAGAGATATAAAACCACGTAACGACGGGAACGAAGAACATGAACAACAGGATACTGGTCGGGTTATTCGAGACATTAAAAACGTGTATCCTGAAGTTATTGATTTATTTAGAGGAGTTAATGATTCAATTTCAAAACATTCTATAACCCTCGATGAAGAGAATAAATTAACAGATTATATGTTCGTCATTATTGCAGAATTAATGAAGAGAATAAATGAAAAAGGAATTGGTGATATCATTAATGTCAGCGATGTAATGATGAAAAGAAATTTTGACTCATTATTTACAAAACCGAAAACAGAATATAGTCTTTATGACGTAATTACCGAATTAATGAAAAAGATTAATGATAATAAGAGTTCTGGCGGAAGAGTTGAATTAGAAGTGAATGATGTTAATGAGAAATTAGCCGAAAAAGCAGACAAAAATGAGCTTTTAGCTCTGAGTGATAAAGTCAAGAACCACGTTCATTATATAACTTCAGACGAACAGATTATAACGGACTACCATGGATATTTAACACGAAGTGATGAAGCGAAGACAAAAAATGTTAATGAAAGAAGATATAAATACATTCGTGCTAAAGGTTATGACATAAGCTGTACTGTACAGTATGATGTAGCTAAAGCACCAGAAGCATTTGGTTATACCGGTGAAATTTATGCCTCTACTTTCAATGTTAACGGTGTATTAGTTGAACCAAAATTTACGTTGAGAGTTAAGTCAAAAATAACGTTTGAAGATGCTATTAAAAGTAATGCCAGCAAAGATGAACTTGAAGCAATGAACAAAGTTTTGAAATCTCATAAACACAATATCTCCGATATAAATGAACTTCAAGCTACATTAGACAGTAAAGCTGACAAGAACCATACAAACGAATCCTTCACTACTGTTAGAGCAGACGATGTAATATTGAACTATACTCTCGGTTCAAGCGCACCTTCAGAGAATCCGAGTACAAGCGTAAAAGATACACTAAACAATTTAGATAACAGATGTATGAACATTGAAGGTCATGTCAGAAACTTTGAAACATATGAACTACCAGCAATGTTAGATAAGAAAGCAGACAAAGAACATACACATAACTCCTTCTCAACTGTTGCTATAGAAAGTATTGAAGGAACGGTTGACGGAACTGATGGGGATGCATTATATTGTAAACCTCCTAACTTTCCACAAGGTTTAACATCGAATGAAAACATAACAACGAAGAAAAAAATTAGCTGTAAAAATGTTTATGTCATGGGTGATGAAAATAATGTTAAATTCACTGCTCAAGATTTATATGATAAGAAAGCAGATAAAACAGAGCTTCAAACATTAAAGACTCAGATTCTTGAAACCATATATCCTGTTGGTTCTATTTATACGTCAATGAACTCAACAAATCCAGCAAGTGTTTTAGGTTTTGGTGAATGAAAGCAGATTGTAGACAAATTCTTATACTGTGCTAGATATTCAAAACAAGCCGGTGGTTCAAAGAAAATTAAAGAAGCAAACCTTCCACCGCACACTCATACAGGAACTACAAACACAACAGGTAGTCATTCACATTCAATAACAAAAAGAGGTTATACAAATCTTGCAGCAGGTTCGGATAGACAGGGAATGCATAGATATGATATTTCAAGTGACCCAGTAGATTCAAGCGCAGGTATTTTCTGTGGAACCACAGGAAATCATTCACACACTTTCACAACAAATCCAACAGGCTCGGGTGCAGATTATATGCCACCATTTATGACTGTATTCGCATGGTATAGAGTTCATTGAACGCGCTTGAGCCTTGAATAAAATCTTTAACTTTACATAAATGAGCTTGAAAGAAGTATTCGAACAACATCCATGGAGGTCATTTAAGAAGTTCAATGAAGCTGCAAAGAGTTGGGGATTTACTAACAGAGCTGAAGTGAAAAGGTTCTTTGACAAAAATGTTGTACATCAAACAAAAATAAACCCTTACGACTACTTTTTACCAATTTACTCCAACGCTCCTGACGCATACCAATTTGACACTCTCATTCAAAGCAGAAAAGGAGGACATAAACTATTCCTCATCTTCATTAATGTTAACACTCGTAAAGCATATGCATATCCAATGAAAAATAAAGGAACTCGTGAAGTGTTAAGAGTTTTACAAAAGTTTGTAGCAGAACATAGCCCAAGTACTTTAACATCAGACCAAGACAGTGCATACCTCAGCAATGAAATCACAGATTTTCTCATTAAGCATAACATAACTCACTACACTACTGAAGACCATAACCATAACATACTCGGCATCATAAACCGCTTCATAAGAACGCTCAGAGATTTAAACCAAGAGCGAGACTTTACCGAAGAAACAATGAAACATTTTCTCGAAGTATATAATTCCTCAACACATTCTACAACAGGACATACACCAAATTCAATGACACAACAACAAGAAGAAAAGTATATACAAAAGAAACGAAGCCAAACACAAAATATCAGAAATTCAACACAATTTACCCTCATTCCTGGTACAAAATTTCGTGTAGTTCTTGACGACAAGCCGTTGACAAAGAAACGTTTAAGGTTAAGTAGAAACTATTATATCGTAGACTCTACGCAAGGTAATGGATATCTTATAAAAGCTGCTGACGACTCTATTGCGTTTTACCCTCGTCACAAATTAGTTGAAAGTAGTAATGGCAAACTTGCTGAAACCATTGACGAAGCAAAGCGAGGAGTGGTTATTGAAATACTTGGCTACAACATAAACGATGACACTTATAAAGTAAGATATGAAGGAGGCGTTGAAGATGTTATACCATCTAAGAACTTGAGAGAGTCAAAGCCAACACATCTGGGACCATTAGAGCGGGAGTACTGGAAAGACAAAAATAAGCCAGAAAGAATAAGAAAATTCTTCTAAACTTTTTCATTAGATGTAAATCAGACATGAATGAGAACAGTCATGATATCATTAATGGTACCATTTATTTTTGTCATAAATTTACACCAAAAATAATGTTTAGGGTAGATGGTTAGATCTAACCTCATTTCTACCCTCATGAATTTTCATGAATTTTATATATTAATGTTTTCGTTAAGCCACTTTGTGCCGTCAGTCAGTCAGTCAGTCAGGAGGGCTCTTTGAGCCCATCTTGGCGCTTTGCGCCGTCAGTTTAGGAAAGACTTTAGAAAGTTGTTGGAAAATAAGTCCTGGGAAGAGTATTATAAGGCATTTTGTGAAGAATATAGCAACAGTCTGAATTCAGACGGTTGCTTTTTATACAAAATTCATGCACGAAATTCTTGAGTTTTGGTTGAAAGAATACGGTGGAGCCAAAAGTGGCTCGACCTCAAAACAAGCATTTTATGAGCTTACTAAGGCGTTATAAATGAATTCAAAGGTATTTACATACATCCTGACCTCGTTCATTTTGTTGCTGAATTCACCAAAAATAATGTTTAGGGTAGATGGTTAGATCTACCCTCATTTCTACCCTCATTTCTACCCTCATGAATTTTCATGAATTTCATTAGTTAGAAAATAACGCTAATTTTTTCTAACAAATTTTTTTTATTTTGTATGTAAAGACAGTAATGTCAACATCAGAGAACACAACAACAATTCAAAACAACTTTCACCAAACTCGTTAGTCATGAATCCAACATCTATGTTAGTAGAGATGAAAAGCTTCATTCCTTCTTCATATAGTTTTGTAACAGAAATACAAAGAATAAAGCAAGAACTTTTAACAAGTAATTTAGACTGTACCGCACAGGATGAAGAAAATGAACAGTATCTTTATGAAATGCAGGACATTTATTGACCATTTACCCAAATTGCCTGAAATTCAGCAGCAAAAACTAACTATTCCTGAATTCGATGAAATTGAAGTGAAACCAACTGACTCAGTAGAAATAAAGAAGTTCATACGTAAAGTAAACTATGAGTTTCTAGGATATTATTGCAACCATAAAGTTATGGACAAAGATTGCGACATGGTATATAAGAACATCTCTGACATATATAAATCTGGGGAGTTTAAGACATACGACAACTTTGTTTCATTAGTTGCAAAATGTGTATGGCAGATAAGAGATAAAGATAGAAGAGGTAAGGTATGGAATGAACAGATAAAACCAGCAGCTTTTGAGTTAAAGAAAACCATTGACGCCTTAGTTGTTCTAGCAGGTAAGGTTTCAGAATATAACGCAAAAATGAACCCGCAATGTTCTAAATGTAAGGCAGCAATAAGGAAATATAACTATTCAGTAAAAGAGATAGAAAGAATGCGAAACGACTATGCAGACTTAAAGAAAGAAGCAGAGAAGCCGGTAGAAGATAAAATGAACATGTTAGAATTTCTGAACAAAAACTATCCAACTGCTGACGATTTCCTTCTATCTGATGTCAAGAAGAAGTATAAAGAAACCTTCGGCATTGATAAAACTTTTGATATCCTCAGCGAAGAAATAGAAGCTACAAAACTGTTTAGAATCTCACGAATTCATAACGTTTACCATGTAAAACGGTTATAAATAATGAGGGTAGAAATGAGGGTAGATATCAGGTTAGATCTAACCTTCTACCCTAAACATTATTTTTGTCTGAAAAATGACCAAATTTCATGAATTTCATTAGTTAGAAAAATAACGCTAATTTTTTTCTAAGAAAAATTTTTATTTTGTATGTAAAGACAGTAATGTCAAACATTGAGTTTGAAACAGTTAGAAAGATAGACAATGACACCAAAGTGATTAGAATAGGTGATTTAAACGTAAGATACTGTAAGAAATACAACAAATATTCTTTGTCAGACATTATATCTCCATCTGAAAAGAAAACAAACCACTGGGTTAGAAATGCTTCAACTCAGAAAATTTTGACAAGAAATCCTGAGCTTATGATATCGGTAAGATTCTATGGAACTACAGCATATCTCATTGACAAAAGTCTTATACCAATAGTTTTGTTATGGTTAGACCCAGTTGTTGGATATAACTTCATAACATATGGTTCATTCGACTCAGAACGTTGCAGTGAAGGCTTACTTTATATCGTTCAGAAACCGAAGGACTTCAATACAAAGAGATATAAGATAGGAAGAACATATAATATAACTCAAAGATATGACTCTACAGTCAATAGAGTCAAGGTTGTGTTTGTTAATGATATGAGAGCTGCTGAAACAGAACTGCTTGAAGTTTTTGAGAAAATGTATGGTGCTCCCACGAAAGGTAAAGAAACGTTTGAAGTAGATGAGATAGATAAAGCTATAAAATTATTTGACGAAGTTGCTGAAAAATACATGTAAAGCGTTTATTTTTGGTCTTTTGTGAAAGTCAGAAAATAACGCTAGTTTTATTTTTTCTAACTCTTTATTTTGTATGTAAAGACAGTAATGACAACATTAGAGAACACAACAACTGCTATCGTTCATGAAGCCATAAATGAAGAATACGAGTACATACAGTATAACAAACAGTTACGTCTCATTCGTTCAGTCAAAGACGATATGTATCAAATGCAAAGTATAATGAATGCTCTTCGTTCTACAAAGCAAGCATATCATTGGTTTGAAAACCAACAGACAAAAGAACTTTTAGAAGAATTTCCTCATATGATTGCTTCCCTCGGAAAACCGAGGGAAGAGATTCCGTATGAAAATCGCAAGAATTTGGCTCCTGGTTTGAAAGGTTATTATGTTCATAGACTTTTAGTAAACGCTGTAGCAATGTGGACTTCAGCTCGTTATGCTTGTTATATTTTCATGATGTTAGATGAACTATATAAAGCAGAACGTGAAGAGATGGAAAAGAAACTTCAAGCAAAAGATGAAGTCATTGAATCCAAAGACAAAAGCATACAGAAAAGAATACCACGTTCGGTACCAAAAGGTAAGGAAAAGAACTATAAGTATATGATTTATACTGAAGAGATGGAAAATGAAGAAGATAAAGATATGGTTATGTTGCATTTAGTCAGAAGAAACAACAAAAGCTTTTACGACCTTGCTAAGATTTACAAATCTGACAGAAATTGGTTCTATCGCGAAAACTTACCGATTTCAATGACCCAAATGAAGATGTGAAACAAATAGTTCAAGATACGTTACCTCAAACACACTATGACATCAAAGGTTGTACAATACTTACATTCAAAGAAGACTTAACATTACTGAAAGAAAAAATAACAGAGTATTTCGATAACTTCAAAGAGGAAGAATGAAGTCACGACAACATTAACGAAGAGAGAATGAGGTGAAAAAAGAGGTGAAAAAACGGGTGAAAAAACAGGTGAAATCTCACCTCTTCACCAAAAATATATTTTTGCTTAAATAGCTTCAGGGTCTATTTCTTCAACCATTTCACTTCCTTCGTCAATGTCAATAGAAGCTTCTTCAACCTTTGGTAAGAATTTCTGTATAACATCTTTGTTCGTTATTGTCTTCAGAGATGAAGGATAATATTTCACAGATTTTTCACCCTTCTTATATTCTTTCTGTTCGGAAAGATTTAAAGCAATACTGAAGAAGTCAATATTAGAGTTCTTTATAACAGTATAATGAGTATCTTTGACATTCACGAAGAAACTCTTTTGTTTCAAAACTACTGCTAACTCTTGTGAAGTATAACGTTTGCGGTCAATGACGATAGCTAATGGTCTGACATACTGACCAAACTTAGATTCTTTCACAAACTTCTTGTTAAAGATAACATTAACATTTGAAGCATTATTGAACTCATTCTTGATGGCAGTAGCGAGAGCATTGTATGAAAAGAACTTGCAATCTTGCATGTGTTTCATTAAAATAAAAAGTTCGAAATATTTCAAAACTAGCCTTAAAAAATCTAAGCTAATTTTTTTCTAAGAAAATTTTTTATTTCCTACTAAAGATGTATCGGAAGTTGTCTAAGTTAGAACACTCGGAAATAAAACAACTTCTTACAGAAGCTAATATAGATGTTGCAAAGCATTACGCAACAAACAAAAAAGCACTCGCTGACTTCATTAAAGACTATAATGGTGCTATAAGTTATGATAGAATTCATGAGTTCATAAAGCCGCAACGCGGCGAGGACGAAGTCCATACAAGAGCATTTCCTTTAAATGACGTTGCTATTGACTTATATCATAGACGTTCAGTACCTCATGAAGTAAGAAGAGAAATGTTTGACATAACAAATGCAAACGTTGGTGAAACAAGAAGAAGAGACGACACACTGAAACAACAGAGAAGAGAGATGTTTAAGAGCGCTATAGAACAAGTTCGCAAAGCTAACGATGTCATTCGTTCCATTGACGACAAACCAAAAGAAGGTGAGAGATGGTTAAAGAAAGATGAAGAGAATAGGAAGAGGAATGTTAAGACAGGCAATAGACTCATTGACTTTAACATCGAAGCTTTAGATGAACCAAACAGAGACTACTTACACAAACATTTCGGTAAGGTTTTCATGAGACTCTTAGAGAAGATTAAAATAAACTCACAACAAAGATGGATGGTATGTTATAAACTTGGTGGAAAGTATGAATGTTCTACGTTAAACCTCAATAATATTGGAACATTACTACATCAGCTCTTGAAGGAAAACTTTATATCAGAGATAGAAGCAAATGCTGCAGGTATTGTTGAAATGCACTATGACTTCTTCTTGACAAACATAAAGAATCTTACTGAAATAAAGATGTATGATTTAACTGAATATGAAGGCTTAACGATGTCAGATGTTAAGAAAGGAAAGCCACAGAAGCGACCATATAGAGATGAAAGCACACTGACAGAAAGACAGAAAGGATTATTGAACAGACTTAAACAAACAGGAGATAAACAAGATATAGATGACTTCTGGAATGAAATCCTTGGTGAAAAGAAGTTTTATAAGAAGAGAAGCGGTCAGTTCTGGAAGTATCTTTGCACATTACCTATAAATCTTGAACGCTACCAAATCTTCAATGAATTGAACAAAAGAACTGCAGCACTTATGACAGAGGACAATTGTTTCGTTTATGCTTGCATTCAGGCTGGAGTAAATGAAGAAGCTATTGACCACATGAGAGAAGTCATTCGTGTTAGAGACTTTCCTCAAAGTAAAGTACAAGAAATTTCTGACGCAACAGGTATAGCATTTAATGTTACCATTGGTTATTTCGACAACTCCAAAGATAACAGAATAATTCACTACATACGAAAAGAATGTGAAACTGCTCGAACTATTGACTTACTTCTTGTTGAAGACCACTACATACTAAATGAAAGATTACCAATGACAACATACTTCATCAGAAATTACAGAGAAATCTTGAAGGAGTGTGGTGGAATGAACATTGAGAAACAGATGAAGATTTATACAAAGAGAGAGAACAAATATGTAGCTCGTTATGATAGAACAACACCGTTATGGGATGTTATGAAAACATTGTGGGAGTGCAAATATTTCGAACCTATTTCTTATGGAGAACTTTTCACATATACGACTGACTTATATAAACAGAACCTTGCACCATTTAAAGACTTGTCATATGCTCCAAAGTATTGTGTACAACTGAAGAAGAAAGCCGAGTCAAAAGAAGTAAATAAAAATAAGTGCAAGTTCATTCCTGAGCACGTTTTCTTTGCTGACTTTGAGTGCAGTACCGATGGCTTTCATAAAGCTTTTAACATATGTTACGACAGTGAAGATGGTTCAGTGAGTGAAAGCATTTGGGGTCAGAACTGTGCAACAGAATTTTTGGAGCGACTTCCTGACAAGAGTTTAGTATATTTCCATAACCTCAGTTATGACATAAACTTCATCTTAAGACACATGACAGAAGTGAAAGGAACTCCCATCATTAAAGGTTCACGAACAATGCAAATAACTGGCTTATATAAAGGAAGGGCAATTATTATAAAAGACTCTTACAGTGTTATAAATAAGAAGCTTAAACTATTTCCTGCTATGTTTAACTTACAAACAGGACCGAAAGAAGTATTTCCATACAACTACTACAGCAGTGTTTTGTTAGCAAATGACAACAGAACTGGTGTCATTTCTGAAGCATGTAAGTTTATCCGGGATGCAGATACATTCATGAAAAACATAGATTCCATCAAAGGTTGCAGAATAGATGAGAACCACTTCGACTTAGAAAAGTATAGCACATTTTATTGCAAACAAGATGTAAGAATTTTAAGAGAAGGTTTTGTTAAGTTCCGCAATGACATATTGAAAGAATTTGATTTAAACGTTTATGACTACGTTAGTATTTGTTCTATTGCTAACAAATTGTTTGAGAACAGAGTGTACTTCCCGAATGGAAATTTATATGACCTCTCAAATAAACCAAGAGAATTTATTTCGAGATGCATTCAAGGTGGAAGATGTATGCTGTCAGATAACATTAAACAAAAGAGCGAAAAGAAACTCATTGCTGACTTCGACGCTGTTTTATTATATCCATCAGCTATAGCAAGACTTTATACTTTAGAAGGTATTCCAAAGGTTATGAAGAAAGAAATGTTAAGCACAGAGTATCTCATGAAACATTTATTCGATGACGACCAAAAAGAACCCATTGGTGAAAAGTTTATGTCCGGCTTCTTTGTTCTCATTAAGATAACAGAGATTGGAATATATAGACACTTTCCTTTAATAGTTTGTGACCCTGAACTAAATCCAGAACTTAACGTTCCCAGAAGTTCAAACACTTGCTGTTTAATGTATGTTGACCATATAACATTACAAGACCTCATAAAATATCAAGGTGTCAAATGTGAAGTGTTGCAAGGATACTATTACGATGGAAACAGAGATATTAGAATAAGAGATGAAGTAAAGAAGTTGTTTGAGTTAAGGTTAAAGTATAAGAAAGAAGGAAATCCTTTGCAAGAAAATATAAAGCTCATTCTGAACAGTATTTATGGCAAAACTATTCTATCTCCTATTGAGTCAAAAATAACCATAGTAAATGACAAAGATGCTATAAGATATGCCATCAGAAACTACAACCATATAGTGAAGTTCGAAGGTTTGGATGGTTCAGATAAAACTATTTTCAAGCTAACGAAAAGCATTTGCAGACACTTTAACTTCTGTCCACTTGGTGTTAACATTCTATGTCGAAGAGAATAATGTGTGAAGTATTCTGTACTGCTGAGGACTTAGGAATGGACATCTTTTATAGCGATACGGACAGTATGCATCTCTACAATGAAGATATCCCTCGTTTAGCTGAAGAGTTTGAGAAACGTTATGGAAGAGTTCTCATTGGTAAAAACCTTGGTCAATTTCATAGCGACTTTGCAGAAATCACACCTGGAAAACAAAGTTTAGCATACAAGTCAATATTTTGTGGAAAGAAGACTTACATAGACTTACTCACGAATGATTTAAATGAAGTTGCATTTCACTGCAGAATGAAAGGCGTGAAGCAAGATGTTATTGCTTTAACCGCTAATGAAATATTTCCTGACTCTGTTCAGTGTTTCTATGATGAAGATAAAGGTTTAATGGTTCCGCAAGGAACATATGACAAAGACTCTGAGTTCAGTTTAATGAAACTTTACAAAGCACTTCATGATGGTCAAGAGATTGGATTTGACTTATGTAAGTCTTCTAGTCCTTGCTTTGCTGAAAAGTTTAACTTCTCAATAACGACTAAAATAAGCTTTATTCGTAAGTTGAAGTTCTGAGGTCATTTATTTTTGTCAGCAATGAGGTCATTCGTGATAAAAATAAAACTAGCGGCAAGGGCGAAGCCCATGTGGTCATTTACAATACTGCGATGGTAGAGTTTAAGAGTTGTGCTTCAATGTAGAGACAGTCCTTATGGTCTGGAGGCAAGAACACTGGGCAGTTATGGTCATGAGTGGAGAATATGTCTATCCAAAACTCACGATTGAAGCCAGTTAATTTATAGTATTTAGGGTTAGGAAGTGGTGAAGTTCTTGTATGACCAATGAACTCATTTTCAACTCCCTTACTTAAGTTTGAATATAATATAGCTTGCTTTCTATCCAAATGCCAGGTGTTACAATCTTTGAAAATTCATTTTTCCTCGGAAGCATTGCATCATAATTGAAAACATTCTTGAAATCATCACTTGGTTCAGAGATTTGAAATCTTATACGTAATGGATTTTCTTTCTTTTTAGCGACTTCATTGAATGGTGAGAATACAACAAACTGATAGTCATGAGTTCCATCTTCATTTTCATTAAATTCATAATGAAAGTCTATAAGTTGTGGCTGACTACCTTCTTCTTTCAGTTGTGCAAGAAACTCACGTAAAGGCTGTAAAGTTTGTACTTCAATGTTAAACTTTTTCTCGAACATTTCATTAAATGAAATCATACATTGCAACAATGTTGTATCGTCTTTAAAGTATTTGTATATGTGAATGTTTTGGGCGCTTAAAGACTGTTCGTCATTTTCTATCTCGACTTGAAGTATAAAGTCAACCTTTCTGAAAGCACGTGTTATATACATAGATGTTATGCCAATGTACTTCTCTTCATTTATGTTCACAATCCAGTCTGTTGGAAACTTAAACGTTACTCTGTTCCACTTTATTTTGACGTCAGGTTTTTCACTACTGAACGCAACAGATAAAGGTATTTGTCTATACATTTAATTCGGATAAAAATAAACCATTTACTCTTTCTTTGCTTCAGCTTCTTTAGCTTTTGCTTCAGCTTCTTCTCTAGCTTTCTTCACCAGTAGTCGTGGGTTCTTTTGTCTTCCAGCAGCTAATGCAGCAAGTTGTTTTTCACTAAGTTTTCTCTTTGGTCTCTCTGGCTTTTGTTCTTGTTTTTGTTCCTTCAGTTCGGATAAAATTTGCTCACGAATTTCTTTCTTCAATGCTTCAACATCTATGACCCCTTGGGTCTTGTCCGTAGGGCTTGTCTGAGTCATTTGACTGCGGATAAAAATCTAACTTAAAACTTTAACCGATGTAAAATGAGCTTGTCAAAATCAGAGCGAGAGTCTATTATATTAAATGACGCAAGAGGAATACAACATCCTTTCTATTACGTAAGTCAGAGTAAAGATGGTAAAATATACGTAAGAAAAAGAAAGGTTCCATTAGCGAATGCAGAAAGCGACAACATTAAGGTGCATGGCAAGGGTGAAGTCCACGAAGCCCATATAAAACCTTCTGTTCAAACTGAGCCACCAATAGAACCAGAAGAAAAGAAGCCAGATGTACTTTCAATAACGAACCAAGAGCTTATTGCAAAGTTCGTGAATTTCATTGAAAAACAAACCGAGTCAAAGAACCCTGACCCACCAGTGAAAGAAGTTGAGACAAAAGAGAATGTACAGTTCATTGAAATGTCAAGAAACAACTTCCACCACGAATGCCAAGAAGAAGAGTGAGAATAATGAAGTAAATAGATATTTTTATCTGAAGTAAATACATGCAGAACGAACAGTTAAACGAATTTACTCCAGCAGAGCATATTCATCAGATTCGCTCATATTTCGATATCATAGACAATGCAGTTCAAATTGGTGACACTAATAGAAAATATTCTGACGCAAAGATTCCATCACAACCTGGAACTGCTAAAGATAACACATGGGTAACATTCAATCTCTCACCTCCTGGTGAAAATATGTTGGACCTTTACAATACATTCATTACGTATAAAATGGAAGGTCAATTTATTGTAGATAAAGAAATTGGTTCAGGTTCCAATAAAACAAACCCACCAGGATTTTGGATTGGTTTCGATGACGCTTTCTATGCAGTTGCTGGATATCAAATCCTTGCAAATGGTCGTATCGTATATTCTCAAGACAACGCAAGAGAAGAAGCATATATAACTTCAAACTCACAAACTACCGAACAAATAAAGAAAGTAGATGTTTTCTCAAAGACTCGACATGAAGATGTATGGAGTCATTCGGGAACATGCAGAACAGGACAAATTGTTAGTGGTCCAATTACAGCAGGAAAATCATTTGATTTTAAGCTTCGTTTAAGAATTCCTGTTAGAAGATTCCTTCCATTAGAAGCTATTCGATTTATTCCAGCTTTTGCAGGAAACATTCAGCTTAAAGTAAAGTTCAGTAGCGACGTCTTACAATGCACATCTATATCTGTAAATGATATCATTGCTTTCAATCCAACTCTTAAAGTTGCATTTGCTTCAGATTCAAATCCACCGACAAATAAATTTGTTCCATGGAATGAACCATTCACTATGATAACAAAGTCAGTAGAAGCTAGTGGAACAGTTACTATTACAACTGTAACCCAGCAACTATTTCGAACAAAGATGGATTTTAATGAATGTTTTATTCATCCAAAGTCATTCTCTTTAGACCCTAACATTTATACAGAACTTGTAGAACATTATACAAACGAGGCTTTATGTTTTCCTGTTAAAGTTATGGATTGGATTCCTATGGACGGTTCATTCTCAAAGAATACAGATAGTTCAAGTGCAACATTTACAGCAGCTTATACGCCTATTAATGTTAAAAGTATTTGGGCACTATTTAGAAAGAAAGACAACTATTATGTTAATTTTGAGAACCCTAAGTTTAAATATCTTCAGCTTTCCATGGGAGCTTATGGAAATATGCTGCAGAACCCGAAAAATCATATGGACCTGTATTTTATGAAATGGTTGCGAACGCTTGCAATACAAACAATGATATGATAGGATTTAATGAAGATGTTATGAGGTCATTGGTGGATGATGGTAGTGTGGAACATAAATGGGATAGCTATGACAACACACATTTCTTATGTGGTTTTCCAACAGAAGTGGACTTTTGCTTCCAGCAAGGTCAAACATCTACTGCTCCAATAACATACAAATTGTCTGTTAAAGGACCTATTGAACTAGCAACTGAAAATGTACCAAAGCCACTTATTGGATTTATGAGGGATTGTTGCTTTGCCATTCAGGTGCGTGCTAATGGCATCCCCATAATAAGATTAGATGACTATAACTTAGCTACGGACGACAGTGAGGAATAAAGGATGAACGTTTATTTTAAAGCTTATAAATGAGTTCTTCATCAAGCTCTCGTGAACCTTCACCATCTATGAAACAAACTTTACCAAACGATTATGGAACACCTATTGAATATTTCTTACGAGCTGCACAATGGCAAAGAGCAGTCTCACCAAGGTTAGGTGTTCCACCAGCTCCTGTCAAAAATAGCATTTGGTCAAGTCCTTATATAAGATATGGTCTCCCACTAGGTTTGCTAGCTACAGCAGGAGCAGTTATGATGTTGAAAAGAAATAAAGCAAATGTTGTAAATAATACTGAAGTAGCTGAAGTTAAACAAACTCCAACACCTTCGCCAAAACCAACGCCTTCAATGACTCCTGAACCTATGGAAGTACAAACTCCTGTTCAAAAGTCAACTCCTAAACCGACTCCAACATTTAAACCAGAACCTACTCCTCAAATAAATCGTAAAACTCCTGCGTTTCCTTACTGAAAAAATAACGTTATTTTTATTTAATATTAAAATTTTTATTTGATTGAAATGACAAATAAAGTCACTGAAGCAATGAAACAAAAGTTTTTGGTAGAATACATTAAATCAGGAACTATTCCAGAAGGTTTTTACATTCATACTATGAAGGATGGTAGAGTTCAGTTTAGAAAGATAAAGCAACCATTAGATAAAGAAGGAATTTTGAGAAAGATTAAACTTCATGAGGACAACATTGCTGAACTTAAGAAGAAGTTAGAAGAGTTGGATAAAGGAAGAGAGTTATAAAGCAATGAATTCAACAGGGTAGAAATGAGGGTAGAAATGAGGTTAGATCTAACCTTCTACCCTAAATTTATTTTTGCGCTATGTTTTCATACGTGTGAAGTCGTTAGTGAAGTCGTTAGTGAGAACGATAGTGAGAACGTTAGTGTGTACGTTAGTGTGTACGTTAGTGAGAACGTTTATTTTTTCATGCACGTGCATTGTGTCGCGGGGAGTTGCCATGGGCAATGACCTGCGCACAATATATAACGTACAGAGAGGTGAGATGAGGTGGTTTATGTGATAAATACTTTACGTGGCAGAAATAGTTTAAGGTTATTAGAAATATTGCATATGCGATGTAAAATATACGTTAGTGGTTTTGTAAAGTGTCAGATTGACATAACTTTGGTAAGATGGAAGGCAGTGCCACCATACCGAAGACATGTATACTAACTGCAACTGTTGTGGAAAGTCAAGAAAAAGAGTTACAACAGACCAAAACAGACCTAGTAAATGCTTTCTTAAGAACGAAAAGTCAGGTAGGACATTATGCTGCAGATGGAACATATGTGCCAGCTGGTGGAACTTATATACCACCAAACCCTCCAAGAGAAGCACCTGCACCAGGACTACCTAAAACATTTACATCGTCACATGGACACAGACACAGGCATGCACCAAAACCAACACAACAACCAACAGTTCAAAATCCAGCACCACAACAACAACCAAAACCAACAGTTCAAAACCCTGCACAACAACCAACAGTTCAAAACCCTGCACAACAACCAACAGTTCAAAATCCAGCACCACAACCAAAACCAGCACAACAACCAACAGTTCAAAACCCTGCAAAACAACAACCACAAACAGAGCAAGGACATAAAAGAAGTAGAGAAAAAGGAAACCAAGAATTCTTAAAAATGCTTAAGGAAGATTATGGTTACCCAGATACTCTTGACTTTAGTGACAGATATAAAGAAGCTATTAGAAAGTTCAAGGAAGGAAATACTGACCCGAACCTATTTAGCTTTATGGTTCAGCATCAAATCGGATATAATCTCAAACCTGGAAAATACAAGCTCGCTAAGGGATATGATTTAATAGCATATCATCCAAATGACATGAATGAATTTACTCCGAGATATTTGATGTCAGAGCTAAATGATAATTCAACTCTCTTCATGAAACGCGTAAAAAATAGAGACGGAACGAAAGAAGAAAGGTTTATGAGTCCGGATGACTTAGATAGGGAACTTGTTAAAAACGGTCTCGGAATATATGAAATGCCACCAGATGAGGTACAAGAAACTCAACAGGAAGAAGTTCAGATACAACCAGACATGGAAGAAATAGTTCAGCAACAACAGCTAGAAGAGCCTGAAGGAAACAAACAAGTCCCTCTTTTGGAAACTAACTTCACAGAACTAGATGAAGATTTGGAACAGCCGAAAAATCTTGACCCTCAACAAGTGTATGCGGAGAATATGGAATCTTTCCAAGAGTCTAAGAAAAATTCGGCTGACATAGTAGAAGAATATCGAAAAATGTTCACCGACATACAAAAGACTCCAACATCAGATGAAAATATTCAGCATAGAATGGAAGTACTGAAAGAAAATGTACGCAAATACAATAATCCTTTTTACTTACGACCATATAACGTTCAATCTTTGGCTGAACTCGGTGAAAATAAAAGGTTAAATTTCAACAAAACATATAGAAATGAAACATTGTTTAAAGTTCATTCAGAACCTAACCAATATGGAAACAAACCTACTTTTGTTTCTGCAGACTATGGAACTACAATGAGATGGGGTCATAAAGCTAATCCGGATAGGTGGTTCATAAACTTACAACCTCAATTCCAAGAAGTTGTAGACGCAATGGAAGTGAATGGTGAACCAGATATAGCTGGTATTTTCAGCGCGGCTTTAATGCCATTGAAAGATATGAAAGATGCAGATATTTTGGACCAGTATGAAATGAACATGGCTGATGGAAATATAACACCTGACGTTCTAGAACATTTATCTCAAAGAACTACACAGAACCATAGAGATGGTATATTTGGTGAAGAGTTTAGAAAGAGAGTTAGGGAGAGAGAAGGAAGAGAACCTATTGTACATGACCTTGCAAACGAAAGTTTGCAAAATGTCATAAAAACTTACTTTGCAGACAATGAAATGAGAAGGGATGAATATTTAAGAAAACTCAAATGGACAGTACCAAATGAAATGTTAGTATTGAAAAACATGTTCCTTGACAAAATAAAACCAACTACAGAAATAAATGACGCAAGACTGAAACATTGGGTAAAAGCTTTCCCATTCACAAAAGATATTATTGGTTACATGGAAAGAAAACCAGAATGGCTACAAAAACATATATTTGGAAACGAGCTTATTCCATATGGACAAGCTCTGTTTGAAGAGCTTGAACCGGAAACTCAGGAAAGAGTCATGCAAACAATAAGCGAAGACTCAAATACAAACTATGACAAAATCTTTCTAGGATATAGGTTACCTGAGATGGGCGACCAGAGCCCAAAGGCAAAAAGGACATGGGAAATTTACAACATACTAGGTGAACATGAGGCAAAGATGCAACAACTTGAAGCAGAAGGCAAGTTACCAAAAGCGACACCAAAGAAGAAGAGAAGAGTAGAACAAAGTGAAAGTAGTGAAGAAGTAACTTCATCTAGTGAAAGTAGTGGCAATGAAGGAAAAAGAAGAGTTAAAAACTCAGTCAGGAAGAAAGTAAAGCTTGGTCCGAGTGGGTTCTATTATGACACATAAATCCAACTATTCTATATTTTTACCCATATGATATGTACGCCGCTCAGAATATAACGCCAACAGTTTTGGATGCCATGAACGGAAATGTTTCCGAATGGTATAACGAATGCGACAATGCCATTAGAAGGTCAGAAATAGTTCCTGGAACTTACGAATATACAACTGCTGTTTCTTATGGAAACGTAGGTGAGTTTGGAGAAGGTTCTTCAACAACAGTAGATATTGCTTGCGACAGGTTTCATATTATTTCTATTGACAACTCATTCTTATATGTGGAACAAGACATTGAAATAAAACCTTCTGCCAAGTTGTCTGACAAGAAAGGTTGCAATGGAATTTTCTATGTCGGATACCAATATGCTCCAGAAGTTTTCATGGGATATAAGATATATTCTAACTCTGACTTAGTTCAAACAGTAACATGGGCAAACTATGAATGGTTCGCTTTGAGAAACTCAGTACAACCACAAGCTAGAGAACAAACAGACCAGTATGCAACTATTGAGAAAATAAGAAGACTTGACCCTAACGTTCCAGGAGTTTATGTTAACCTTTCTGGTTCAGATGGAAATGCTGTCACTAAAGTAAAACTGAAACTTAGAGTTCCTTTGTCATCTTTCCTCATCTTCAGGTTTTTAAGATACTTGCCAAACTGGGCAGGAAAAATTTCTATTGAACTTACTCCAAGCAAAAATAACTTAGTCATTGCACCAACACAAGACCCATTCACTATTACAGAAGTAGTGGGAACAAATAAAATGTCATTCGCCGACTTTTGCAAAGACAAAGTTGACTTAGACTTTGGTTTCTCAAACCTCAACACTGAAGTAAACTATTATTTCAATGCTGCTGGAACTGCTTGGGACCCAGTTAAGTTTACATGCGAACAGTTTGAATGCAAGAGAATAGAAAGCAGACTTGCAGTCTATATGTTGGACCCAGATATTTCAAATGCTTTAGCTGCCAAATATATTGCAGTTCCACTTATGTTCCCTATACACCAAATATCTGTCAAAGACTTTGCAGGTGAAGTTGGAAACCAAAATCCAGGAGCCGCAGGTGCAAGAACAGATATTGCTTTAACAACTGCAATGAAACATGCAGATACTATGTTTGTACTGTTCAGACGAACTATAAATGACTATTCTTGTTTCTACAACCCTGGTATTAAATATCATATAAACATAGATGGCAAATATTATCCAAGAGAAGAATATTCTACAGTTGAGGATATGAGGTCATACAACTTGACATTAGATGCTATGAACTTTAACAACAACTTCACAACAACCATTAACCCTGAAATGCAAAATTCTATTATGCCATATGTGAAAGTATGGACTCATACAGGAGGTCAAAAAACTCAATATACAAATGGAGACCGTTCAAACTTTTGGCTTGGCATTCCATTTGCTGACTCAGAAGACTTTATGGGTGGTATTTCAACTGTTGGTACAGTACAAATACAATATACTGGTGACAGAGACGGTCCAGATGAATTGAGAGCAAAGAAGTTTACAAAACCAATAGCACTTTTCACGGAAGATGCTCTTTTGAAGATTCGTTCGATGAAACCTGCTGGGGCTCCTCAGATTGGCATAACGACAGCTTCCATCGAGCAGATTTTGGCAGCAGGTCAGTAAGTTGTTCTTGAACTGACTTCTCTCCGTCAAATATTGACAGTACGCCAGTTTTGACATAATATTGTATTATAAACTTTCCTTTAGTAATATCTGTAAGTTTTGAAGTTATATTTTTGTCTGCTTCAAGAACTTTCACCATTTCAGTTATACCAACTTTCTTTGCTTTATGAAAATATTTAGGTTCAGCAAAGACTGCTATTCTATAACATTTTCCATTGTTTGTGTAAAGAACTATTCTGTCAATGTATTTGTATTGTTTGTGAGTATAAACTTTGTTCTGCTTCAATTCAATAAGATATCCGAATACGTCCATCTTTTTATTCTAAGTAAAATGTCATTTCCGAAAAATAGAAGCGTAAGTGTTTCAAAAGGTTTAATGGCGGTGGCAGATGTGAAGTTAAATTCACCAACTCAAACAAACAGTCAAAGTGTTGTTGTCAATGTCAAAGACAGAGATGTTGAAGTGGGGAAACCATACGAAGACGAAGATGGTATAACAATTGTTCCTGTAAAAGAACCAACATATCCTGAAGTTAGCAGAGACTTAAGTTCTGTTGCAGATATTCGAAACGACTACCAACAACTGAAAGACAAACTTCAAACTCAGGAGAAGATTTGTCAAGCTTTAAGTATAATGTTAAACTTGGTCGAACACAACCCTGTAAAAGTGAACTCATATGTCATTGCACCTCATGAAGTTTTGAAAGAACTATTGAAACTTTTGACAGAGGCAGACGATATAAACATCAAAGAAATAGAACCCGACATTAGTTGCTGTGGTGTTTCATATAATGTCATTGACAAGATATACGTTATGAAAGGAGGTGAAACGTTGAACTTAAAATATAGTTTCCCAGACGTCATAAAAATATTTGACGACCACAACATTTCATTAAAATTTATTTGCTAAGTAAATGGCAGAAGATATAATGGTTTATACTATTACGACTAAAAACCCTGAGTCATATAATTCTATAACAACAAACTTACAAAGTCCTCAAGGACGATATTGTAAACTAACCTTAAACACAATGACGACTAAAGCCTGTTTTGCTCTTTTGACACCAGAAGACTTTATTGTTGTGAATGGTAAAAAATACTCCTTTGAAGATACTTACTCAGATATACCACCAACAGGTTTTGTTGACTTATTTAATACTTTAAGGACGGGTGTAACATGTGCTGCAACTAGAGCAGGTTTCATTATGTTTGGATGTCCGACTGAGTTTACTATAAACGATATGAGCTATAATACAAAACTTATTTCTGGTTTTTACTACCAACAGTTTCCTATAACAGGAAAAGGTGTCATACAAGGAATGTCTATTCCATTGACATTAAGCACACCAATCTTATATATTGTTTCAAACTTAGGTTCAAAGTGTTATTCGAATGTCGACAGAAACTATTATGACCAAAAGATACTTATGCGTATAAACAATACTTTCTCTGCTGGTTTGCCTATTGTTCATTCGAATGCAGAATTTTCAACCTTAGTGAACTCAAACACTTTGGCAAGTATAACGTTGACATTAGTTGACGCAAACTTTGTTCCTGTAAAACTTTTATGTCCTATGTATTTGTCAATGACGGCAGAAAGTTTCGAATTGGAAGATGCAACTGGTGAAAGTATTGTATTACAAGAACAACTTCAACAACAAATAGCTCAAGAACAACAAATGCAACAAATGGAACAACAAAGTCAAGAATAAAAAAATAATATTTTTTTATTTTTATAAAAATGTACAGAATAGATGTTTCAGATTTTTATGACTTCCAAGCATTCAGAAATATGTGTCCATTTAGAGACTATAACAAAGCAGTCGAGAATTTGAAACGTTTAGTCATTTATGTTGACTCTGCCCCAGAATGTTATGTCATGAAAGAATGGGATGTTGTCTTTAACAAACCAAGAGCAACAATAGTTTCAGAACAAGAATGTAGACAGAAACTTAAGAAAATAAAAGTTGTACAAGTTGGCATGAAGATGTTAGATGCTTGGGATATCTTATTGTCAAAACTTGAAGATTTTTCAGTTCGTGGTATAAAGTTCTATACACCTTCTCCAAACTTCTATTCTATCTTCACTGGATATAAATACGAACAAGTAGAATGGAAAGAAAATGTTATAGAAGCTTGGTTAGACCATGTCAAAGAAATTATATGCAATGGAAACGAAAAGGTTTATGAGTATATCTTATGTTGGTTTGCAAACATCTTACAACATCCAAGTGCTAAAAATGAAACTGCTCTCATTATAATTGGAAAACAAGGAACAGGTAAGAACACATTCTTTACAGATATCTTATGCAAACTGTTAGAAGGTTATTCGAACCCTAATATGACAAACTTAGAAAACATCTGTGGCAAGTTTAACTCCTCAATAGAGAATATGAAACTTATAGTTTGCAATGAACTTCAAAGTATAGATACAACAAAAGTTTTGAACTCAGATGCTTTGAAGAGTCTTATAACAGACAAAGTTGGAGTTGTTGAAAGAAAGTATAAAGACCAAAGAGTTTGTGAAAATGTTGCAAACTTCATTATGGTTTCAAACAATGCTGTTCCGATGAAGTTAGAAAGTTCTGACAGAAGATATGTAGTTGTCAGAACGTCAGATTCTCATATGCAAGATACAGGATATTTTGACGACTTAGCAGAAACTTTGACATCTGACTTTTACAACCACTTGTTCTCATATTTCATGACATTAGATATTTCTAAGTTCAATCCAAGACAAATTCCACATACCGAAGAGAGACAAACATTGTTAGAAGCAAACAAGAGTGTTTATGAACTGTTCGTAGATGAAACTGACTTTGTGTCATTAGATGAAAGGTCATTGTACGATTCGTATAAACAATATTGTCAAGAATATGGTTATATGGCAGCTTCTAAACGAACATTCTTGGCAAATGTCAAAAGTCTTTTAGATGTTCAGAATGGTGTATATACAAAGAAAATTTTTTCTGAGTAAATTTTAAAAAAAATATTTTTTATCCGATAGAAAAGATGACGAAATATATTTCAGTAAACAAGTACATGTCAGGACTTAAAGAAGAACTAGACCCATTCACATATTTAAATGTTTACTTCTACCATTTTGAAAAGTCTTCATTCAGCAAAGTTTGGAACATCGAACCAGTTAAGTTTGCTATTGTGACTAAAAATGGTGCGAAATTTGAAGACTTAGACATAGAAGGTTTGTTAACAGTCAAAGAAAGTTTTGACAGAAGGTTCTCAAACCTTAAAGAAGGCAAAGCATACAAACTTGTTATACCTTATGAACCAAAGAAAGACAGACGACTATGAATATTATGAGTCTAAAGTTGTAGAAGTTCAAGGTAAATTGGGTAAAAAGATTTTAGAGTCTAAGCCAGTGTTTGCTCCTAAAGAGGAAGAGAACATTGACATTGACCCAGAAATGTTCTAAAAATAAAATTTTATTTTTACATGTCAAATTTCTTTTTCTCTGGAACTGGTTTAGGTTCTTTCTTCTCTTCTTCTACTTTCTTTTCTTTCTTTTCTCTCTTCTTCTTTTCTGGTGGAGTTATGTCAAATTTCTCAGAACCATATTTATGTAAAAGTTCTTTGTCCTTTAATAGCTCATCTATTCTGTTTTCTATTTCATCTTCAAGAACAGCGCATGTGTCTTCTTTGCATTCTAAGAACTTTTGTTGGACTTCATCTTTCCAATCGGCGTCATTTCTGTCAACAAGTCTGTCATTGACAAATTTTAAGACTGCTCTTTGTAATGTTTTATGGTTCTTGTCATATTCCCAGAAACAGAACTTTAGAACAAATTCACCTTTCTTGTTTACACTATGTAAGATTTTATGGTCGACAGATGTTTTGCTGTCAAAAAGTTTGTCTCGAATATAGATAGCGAAATCGCTAGACATTTTCTAAAAGATAAAATTTTTAATTTTCTAAAAAATAGTTAGAAAAAAAGTTTGCTGACATTGACAAGAAATTGAGAATGTTTTAAATAAGAACAAGGTGAAGTTAGAAAATGCTCAGATAAAACCTATACATGACAAGTTCTTATTTGCTCAGAATGGTATAACAGGTCTAATTGCACCACCTGGGTCTGGTAAGACTTTCACTTATCTTAAAATGGCTGCACAACAACAAGAACTAGATGAGAAGAACCCATTCTATGAGTTAGTTGTTATTTGTTCGACTTCTGGTCAATTTGACCAAACCGTCAATTCGTTCAAAGATATTATAAAGAAGTCTAAGTTAGTATGTATAAAGGATACTGAGTTGTTAGATTGGATAAAGAAGTACCAAAGAAGAGTTTTGAAGTATAATGCTATAAATGAGTATATAAATTCTAAGTTTAAAGACCCAAATGAGGAAATGCAGAGAATATTAGAGAAGAAACACTTCAGAAACAAACAGAAAGAGATAGAATACATTTCGAAGAAATTGCAATCTTACGATTGGAAAACGTACCCTCATAGATGTCTTCTTATCTTAGATGATTTCGCCTCTCATCCTTTGTTAAAGAACAGAGAACAAGATATGTGTCGAATTCTTAAGAAGCTCAGACACTTTAACATCTCAGTCGTAATATGTGTACAGACAGCAAAGAGTTTAAGTAAGGATGTTAAAAGAATACTTACTGACATAATACTTTTCCCCGGATTGTCCGAAGACGATTTCATGGAACTTATGAAAGAGTCCATGGCAGGTAAGTTTGACAGACATAAACTATGGGAGAAGTACAAAGTCATACAAGACCCTCATACTTCTTTCAGAATTCATATCTACGCAAACAAAGTTCAAATTGTAAATGGTCAAGCTTGAAAAATAAAGAGTGCATCTACCCTACTTGTTTGAAGTTGTCAAAATACTCTGTTATTTTTTCCTTTAACAATGACAAATCTTCTTTGAATGTAAGTATTGTACAACCTTTAATATCATAGTGTGTTTGAGGTAACGTATCTTGAACTATTTGTTTCACATCTTCATTTGGGGTCATTGAAATCGGTAAGTTTTCGCGATAGAACCAATTTCTGTCAGATTTGTAAATCTTAGCAAGGTCGTAAAAGCTTTTGTTGTTTCTTCTGACTAAATGCAACATAACCATATCTCTGTCTTCTTCTTTCTCCAACTCTTCAGTATAAATCATATACTTATAGTTCTTTTCCTTTCCTTTTGGTACCGAACGTGGTATTCTTTTCTGTATGCTTTTGTCTTTTGCTTCAAGCTTGTTTTCCATCTCTTCACGTTCTGCTTTATATAGTTCATCTAACATCATGAAAATATAACAAGCATAACGAGGTGAAGCCCACATTGCTACAGCGTTTACTAAAAGTCTATGAACATAATAACCTTTCAAACCAGGAGCCAAATTCTTGCGATTTTCGTACGGAATCTCTTCTCTCGGTTTTCCGAGGGAAGCAATCATATGAGGAAATTCTTCTAAAAGTTCTTTTGTCTGTTGGTTTTCAAACCAATGATATGCTTGCTTTGTAGAACGAAGAGCATTCAAAATACTTTGCATTTGGTACATATCGTCTTTGACCGAACGAATGAGACGTAACTGTTTGTTATACTGTATGTACTCGTATTCTTCATTTATAGCTTCATGGACTATAACTGTTGTTGTGTTCTCTGTTGTTGACATATCTGTCTTTACATACAAAATAAAAAAATAAATAAAAATAAAACTAACTTTATTTTTTCTATCTTAAGGAAATTCATGATTTTTGTGCTGAATTCAATAAAAATATAATTTAGGTGAAGAGGTGAGATTTCACCTCTTTTTTCACCTCATTTCTACCCCAGTTATTTTATAAACGTTTCACATGGTAAACGTTATTTTTGGAATTTTGTGAAAACTCAACGGTTTGACACATGCCCTAAAATTATTTTACTGCAGAATTTTGTTGCTGAATTCAATAAAAATATATTTTAGGTGAAGAGGTGAGATTTCACCTCTTTTTTCACCTAATTTTTCACCTCTTTTTTTCACAAGCGTTTTACATGAATTGTACGATGTATATTTGAAATCCTAAACAGTTTTGTAGCTTCTATTTCTTCTTTTAGTACATCGAATGTTTTAACGATACCGAAAGTTTCTTTATACTTCTTCTTGACATCAGATAGAAGGAAATCGTCAGCAGTTGGATAGTTTTTGTTCAGAAATGTCAACATATCCATTTTATTTTCTACCGGCTTCTCTGCTTCTTTCTTTAAGTCTGCATAGTCGTTTCTCATATGTTCTATCTCTTTGACGGAGTAGTTATATTTCCTCATTGCTGCTTTACATTTAGAACATTGCGGATTCATTTTTGCGTTATATTCTGAAACCTTACCTGCTAAAACAACCAAGGCGTCAATGGTTTTCTTTAAATCTGAAGCAGTTGGTTTTATCTGTTCATTCCATACCTTACCTCTTCTATCTTTATCTCTTATCTGCCATACACATTTTGCAGCTAATGAAACAAAGTTGTCGTATGTCTTAAACTCCCCAGATTTATATATGTCAGAGATGTTCTTATATACCATGTCGCAATCTTTGTCCATAACTTTATGGTTGCAATGAAAACCAAGGAATTCATAATTTACCTTTCGTATGAACTTATTTATTTCTACTGAGTCAGTTGCTTTGACTTCAATTTCGTCGAATTCAGGAATAGTTAGTTTTTGCTGCTGAATTTCAGGTAGTTTAGGCAAATGGTCGATGAGGTCCTCCATTTCATAAAGATACTGTTCATTTGTTTCATCTTTCGCACTACAGTCTAAATTACTTGTTAAAAGTTCCTGCTTTATTTTTTGTATTTCTGTTTCGAAAGTAAATGAAGAAGGAATGAAGCTTTTCATTTCTACTAACATAGATGTTGGATTCATGACTAACGAGTTTGGTGCTGTTGTTGTTTGAATTGTTGTTGTGCCGATTGTTGAAATCATATCTTTTATACAAAATAAAAAAATAAATAAAAATAAAACTAACTTTATTTTTTCTATCTTAAGGAAATTCATGAAAATTCAAGAGGGTGAAAAAACAGGTGAAAAAACAGGTGAAATCTCACCTCTTCACCTAAATTATATTTTTTGGTCCGGGAACAACTTTCTCTCAATTGGAGCTGTAGCATACTCTTTGCGTAAGCGGTTCAGACCTTCTTCGAAGTCTTGGTCTCTCTTGGACTGAGATTGGAATTGGAATTGCTGGGGTGGAGCTTGCTGGAACAACCAAGGGTTGGGGAAGTAAGGCATAGGCTGAGGAGGGTAGTTCGGGAAGCCTTGTGGTGGGTAGTAACCTTGAGGTGGAAATTGGTAGTAATTCGGAGGTACTTGCTGGAACTGAGGTTGCTGAGGAGACTGTTGTGGTTCTTTAGGTTCCTCTGGTTTGGGAATGGACTCGGTTGGTGGGACGTCGGACATTCGTTTGTGGCTTAACCGTCGGACCACAACGATAAAAATATCTGCTACTAGCAGTACTTTTACTGACAGTAGCAGTACTTTTACTGACAGTAGCAGTACTTTATCGTCGAAAACCCTCTCAAATTTTCCTTTTTACTGACAGTAGCAGTACTTTATCGTCGAAAACCCTCTCAAATTTTCCTTTTTTACTGCAAGTAGCAGTACTTTTACTGACAGTAGCAGTACTTTTACTGACAGTAGCAGTACTTTTACTGACAGTAGCAGTACTTTTACTGACAGTAGCAGTACTTTTACTGACAGTAGCAGTACTTTTTCTGACAGTAGCAGTACTTTTTCTGACAGTAGCAGTACTTTTTCTGACAGTAGCAATGGTCGAGGTCGAACCTACCGACGAGGCAATTTACCTAATTGAAATTAACGAGCTTGTTAAAGACTTCCTCAGGCAGAATGTAAAAGGCAAGCTTGTTAACGGTTGGATAACGGGAAGGGCTGCCTTGAATCTCGAGATTTCGACTGGAATTCCAATTGAGGTACCAGAAGGCACTCCTTTCGACGACATAAAGCAAGCAAAGAAGGAAGCCATTATAAAGTTCTTTGCCAAGCGTCCTTGGATACTACTTCCAAACAGAGAGAACCCTTTCCCAAGAATGAACCAAATTCTCAAGGGTCTCCTTCACTTCTCTGGTCAACCATTCTACATAACCTGTGAAGGCGACATCCAACCAGTTCAGTAAACATCTCATTTTAACTTCACTTTTTTATGTTTTTTGTGAAAGTGTCAAAAATAAATTGTTTTCATGAGTTTTCTACGATGTTAGAAAAAATGTTATTTTCTAATATCTTCACATTCAATACTTTTTCAGCACTTTTCCGTAGTTATATATGAAAGACAATTCGAGATAAAAGTCATAGTACAATGGAATAATATGTTGCACACCATTTGTTGTGAACCAAACTTGAAAGTCAGAGAAACTATTACTAGGTGGTTCGTAGAATTTAGAAGCAAAGTCATAAAGGTCCTTACCAATACATAGAAAACTATTGTTGCTTGAACTGAAACTTGCATGACACATAACATTTTGAGGGTCAAACACGTTTCTATAAACCATCAAATCTGCTGGTGGAAGTATAAATTTAAATGGACCATCTGGTGGTAATGGTTCGTTCTGGTTTAGTAACCGAAGAAATTGTGCCCAAGAACGTTTGTCTACTTCCCAAAATAAAAACTCTGTATCTCTTGGAGGGTTAATTTCAATCTTTTGAAATGAAACGGTGGAGTTCATCTTGTCATATTCTAGTTTCAGATAGTATGTTCCATTTAGTAAAGAGTCGTATTTTTTTGAAATTCCCAATAATATTTGTTCATTTGAGTTTGAAAGTCATCTAGAGTTTTCTCAAGACTTTCGTCTGAACGAACTGTAAAGATTCTCATTTCGTCAAATTTGTCTATTAGACCATCAGAACCTTCATACTGCCCATGAAAATATACTGCGAACATAAATGCGTTAGTTCTATTTGAAAACAAAACTCTTCTAAATCCTATTGCCTTTGCATCTGAAGGACTTTGAAGCCAACGAATTGGATAGTCAAACCTGTATGCTCGGGATGAAATTTCTTCATCTGAAATAGTCCTACCAGCATTTGTAAAGATATAGTCTAACGGTTTTGTATCTGCTACTTTTGTTCTTTGTTTTTCAACCTGAAGCATTTAATATATGTAAAAATATATTGTTTTAAAATGGTATGCCATTTCATATTTCTCATCTAACAAACAAGTTTCCCAACGGTCTTCTCCAACAAACTCAGCGTACATTTCAAATAAAATAAAAAATGTCACTTTTTTTAAAATAAATTTTTTATTTCATGCAATGTTTTATTTCTGTGCCGTCTTCAAGTATGCCCCAATATTTCCTTTTCGATATTACATGAACTTCGGAAAATACCTTATCTAGCTTAAAACAGCCCATCTTTTCACCGACCATTCCCATTTCAATGAGTTTGTTGTATCCTTCTTCGTTCGTCATGAGTGCGTCAATGTTCTCATAGTAAACCTTCACTTTGGATTTGACTTCGGAGAAGAATTTGTTGTAGTTGTCAAGGACTGCTTTTGCGAACTGAGGGTAAGACCAATGTTCGACAATAGGTTTTAATGTGGTTACTAAGCCACTTTGACCTTGAGTGAATTCGTACTTCAAAACAAAAGGAGAAAACCTTTCAACAAAGTTGTCGACCTTCTCATAATGTTTACTCTTCATCTCTTGAGGTTTCTTAATGGAATATCCCCATGTCGAATTCATAAGCAATTTGAGTGTCATTGCAAGTTTGGGGTTTGAAGCTTTCCTAATATCATACAGTTGTTGTATGACTTTTCCAACTGTATAGTTCCTTCCCGGGAACTCACCATCTTCGTTTGGAATTCCAGTCGGAATATATTGGACAAACCTCATGTATGCAGCGTTAAGGTCGACATAGTATATCTTTTCATCTGAGTCGAACTTGTCGCAACCAATTGGTCCAGTTTGTGGAAATTCAAGTGAGTTTCTTATCTTCTGAGAAACTTCTCCTGTTATCTCATAAACATCGTCAAAGCAACCTGTTTCATATAAAACCTTCTGACCTAACTCAGATGCTCTCCAATACAATTTGACGTCAATTGGATGTCTCAATGGAAGTTTGTTTATAGCATCTTGAAGTTCTTTCAACCTCATTGGAAGTTCTTCTGGTTCAGGTTGGTATCCGAACATACCAACTCCTTGTGGAACTGTGTACTTCTTTTGTACTAGAACTTTGTCTGGAACAACTTTTGGTCTTGCTAACAATGAAAAGTTTGTTTCATCTTTCCAGAAGTTGGGAACGTAGGGTATCACTGAAATTTTTCGACGGCGATCTTTATTGGGATTATTTCAAGTTTAATTGCAAATGTTTGCTAATACAATATCTCAGAACTCAATGTCCAGCATTGGAAGGACCTCAGAAAGCACAAGGACGTACATTTGAAATTAAAGGCATTGGCTCGCTTAAGCTTGAGGATTTTCTATTTTTAAATAAATTTGTTAAACATAAATGATGATGATCTCACATTTATTTGGAAATGTATTATCAAGCAATTCATTCATGATGTAGACAAGTGGTGTGGTCTAATCACTCACAGAAGTCATCAAACACTCTCCACAAAATTTAATGCAACATTTTCTATCAATATTCGACCAATCATCAGAAAACATCGAAATTATCGGATTCATATTAGTTAGTATGGGTTAGTTGGGTATGGTGGCACTGCGCACCTACTTACCCATGATATGTGAATTTGACACTTTACAAAACCGTTAACGTATATTTTACAACACAAACAACAACACCAACTTAACCTTAAATATTTACAAAACCGCCAAGCACTTCACCTCGCTAACGACTTCGCTAACGAACTCACTAATGAAAAAAATAAACGTTCTCATAAATTTTCTTCTATATCTTCATCGTCAATGTTAACTCTATTGTAGTCATACTTGAAGTCATAAAGTTTCTCAAGTTTTGAAATGCATAATCTTGTTAACTTACCTTCATCATCATAAGTTTTTATAAAACTACCATGACAATCTTTATACACAGTCAATGTATAATCTACTGGTCTAGGATGAAGTGTAAAGAACATGTTATACTCAGGAAGGAAGAATAAATGTTTAAATGTATGTTTGTTATATTTTTCGATTTGTATGAGTTGCTTTTGTTCTGTCATTTATATAAAAATAAAATAAAAATAAAATAAAAAATAAACTTAAAAATTAATGATATCACCACCCTCACACGTATGAAAACATAGCACAAAAATAAATTTAGGTGAAGTGGTGAGATCTCACCTCTTTTTTCACCTGTTTTTTCACCCTGTTGAATTCATTGCTTTATAACTCTCTTCCTTTATCCAACTCTTCTAACTTCTTCTTAAGTTCAGCAATGTTGTCCTCATGAAGTTTAATCTTTCTCAAAATTCCTTCTCTATCTAATGGTTGCTTTATCTTTCTAAACTGAACTCTACCATCCTTCATAGTATGAATGTAAAAACCTTCTGGAATAGTTCCTGATTTAATGTATTCTACCAAAAACTTTTGTTTCATTGCTTCAGTGACTTTAGTCGTCATTTCAATCAAATAAAAATTTTAATATTAAATAAAAATAACGTTATTTTTCAGTAAGGAAACGCAGGAGTTTTACGATTTATTTGAGGAGTAGGTTCTGGTTTAAATGTTGGAGTCGGTTTAGGAGTTGACTTTTGAACAGGAGTTTGTACTTCCATAGGTTCAGGAGTCATTGAAGGCGTTCGTTTTGGCGAAGGTGTTGGAGTTTGTTTAACTTCAGCTACTTCAGTATTATTTACAACATTTGCTTTATTTCTTTTCAACATCATAACTGCTCCTGCTGTAGCTAGCAAACCTAGTGGGAGACCATATCTTATATAAGGACTTGACCAAATGCTATTTTTGACAGGAGCTGGTGGAACACCTAACCTTGGTGAGACTGCTCTTTGCCATTGTGCAGCTCGTAAGAAATATTCAATAGGTGTTCCATAATCGTTTGGTAAAGTTTGTTTCATAGATGGTGAAGGTTCACGAGAGCTTGATGAAGAACTCATTTATAAGCTTTAAAATAAACGTTCATCCTTTATTCCTCACTGTCGTCCGTAGCTAAGTTATAGTCATCTAATCTTATTATGGGGATGCCATTAGCACGCACCTGAATGGCAAAGCAACAATCCCTCATAAATCCAATAAGTGGCTTTGGTACATTTTCAGTTGCTAGTTCAATAGGTCCTTTAACAGACAATTTGTATGTTATTGGAGCAGTAGATGTTTGACCTTGCTGGAAGCAAAAGTCCACTTCTGTTGGAAAACCACATAAGAAATGTGTGTTGTCATAGCTATCCCATTTATGTTCCACACTACCATCATCCACCAATGACCTCATAACATCTTCATTAAATCCTATCATATCATTGTTTGTATTGCAGGCGTTCGCAACCATTTCATAAAATACAGGTCCATATGATTTTTCAGGTTCTGCAGGCATATTTCCATAAGCTCCCATGGAAAGCTGAAGATATTTAACTTAGGGTTCTCAAAATTAACATAATAGTTGTCTTTCTTTCTAAATAGTGCCCAAATACTTTTAACATTAATAGGCGTATAAGCTGCTGTAAATGTTGCACTTGAACTATCTGTATTCTTTGAGAATGAACCGTCCATAGGAATCCAATCCATAACTTTAACAGGAAAACATAAAGCCTCGTTTGTATAATGTTCTACAAGTTCTGTATAAATGTTAGGGTCTAAAGAGAATGACTTTGGATGAATGAAACATTCATTAAAATCCATCTTTGTTCGAAATAGTTGCTGGGTTACAGTTGTAATAGTAACTGTTCCACTAGCTTCTACTGCCTTCGTTATCATAGTGAATGGTTCATTCCATGGAACAAATTATTTGTCGGTGGATTTGAATCTGAAGCAAATGCAACTTTAAGAGTTGGATTGAAAGCAATGATATCATTTACAGATATAGATGTGCATTGTAAGGCGTCGCTACTGAACTTTACTTTAAGCTGAATGTTTCCTGCAAAAGCTGGAATAAATCGAATAGCTTCTAATGGAAGGAATCTTCTAACAGGAATTCTTAACGAAGCTTAAAATCAAATGATTTTCCTGCTGTAATTGGACCACTAACAATTTGTCCTGTTCTGCATGTTCCCGAATGACTCCATACATCTTCATGTCGAGTCTTTGAGAAAACATCTACTTTCTTTATTTGTTCGGTAGTTTGTGAGTTTGAAGTTATATATGCTTCTTCTCTTGCGTTGTCTTGAGAATATACGATACGACCATTTGCAAGGATTTGATATCCAGCAACTGCATAGAAAGCGTCATCGAAACCAATCCAAAATCCTGGTGGGTTTGTTTTATTGGAACCTGAACCAATTTCTTTATCTACAATAAATTGACCTTCCATTTTATACGTAATGAATGTATTGTAAAGGTCCAACATATTTTCACCAGGAGGTGAGAGATTGAATGTTACCCATGTGTTATCTTTAGCAGTTCCAGGTTGTGATGGAATCTTTGCGTCAGAATATTTTCTATTAGTGTCACCAATTTGAACTGCATTGTCTATGATATCGAAATATGAGCGAATCTGATGAATATGCTCTGCTGGAGTAAATTCGTTTAGCTGTTCGTTCTGCATGTATTTACTTCGATAAAAATATCTATTTACTTCATTATTCTCACTCTTCTTCTTGGCATTCGTGGTGAAGTTGTTTTCTTGACATTTTCAATGAACTGTACATTCTCTTTTGTCTCAACTTCTTTCACTGGGGTCAGGATTCTTTGACTCGGTTTGTTTTTCAATGAAATTCACGAACTTTGCAATAAGCTCTTGGTTCGTTATTGAAAGTACATCTGGCTTCTTTTCTTCTGGTTCTATTGACTTTTCAGTTTGAACAGAAGGTTTTATATGGGCTTCGTGGACTTCACCCTTGCCATACACCTTAATGTTGTCGCTTTCTGCATTCGCTAATGGAACCTTTCTTTTTCTTACGTATATTTTACCATCTTTACTCTGACTTACGTAATAGAAAGGATGTTGTATTCCTCTTGCGTCATTTAATATAATAGACTCTCGCTCTGATTTTGACAAGCTCATTTTACATCGGTTAAAGTTTTAATTTTGTTTTTTATCTGCAGTCAAATGACTCAGACAAGCCCTACGGACAAGACCCAAGGGGTCATAGATGTTGAAGCATTGAAGAAAGAAATTCGTGAGCAAATTTTATCCGAACTGAAGGAACAAAAACAAGAACAAAAGCCAGAGAGACCAAAGAGAAAACTTAGTGAAAAACAACTTGCTGCATTAGCTGCTGGAAGACAAAAGAACCCACGTACTGGCGAAGAAAGCTAGAGAAGAAGCTGAAGCAAAAGCTAAAGAAGCTGAAGCAAAGAAAGAGTAAATGGTTTATTTTTATCCGAATTAAATGTATAGACAAATACCTTTATCTGTTGCGTTCAGTAGTGAAAACCCTGACGTCAAAATAAAGGGGAACAGAGTAACGTTTAAGTTTCCAACAGACTGGATTGTGAACATAAATGAAGAGAAGTACATTGGCATAACATCTATGTATATAACACGTGCTTTCAGAAAGGTTGACTTTATACTTCAAGTCGAGATAGAAAATGACGAACAGTCTTTAAGCGCCCAAAACATTCACATATACAAATACTTTAAAGACGATACAACATTGTTGAATGTATGATTTCATTTAATGAAATGTTCGAGAAAAAGTTTAACATTGAAGTACAAACTTTACAGCCTTTACGTGAGTTTCTTGCACAACTGAAAGAAGAAGGTAGTCAGCCACAACTTATAGACTTTCATTTGAATTTAATGAAAATGAAGATGGAACACATGACTGTCAGTTTGTTGTATTCTCACCATTCAATGAAGTCGCTAAAAAGAAAGAAAATCCATTACGTATAAGATTTCAAATCTCTGAACCAAGTGATGATTTCAAAATGTTTTCAATTATGATGCAATGCTTCCGAGGAAAAATGAATTTTCCGAAAGATTTCAGGCATTTGGGATAGAAAGCAAGCTATATTATATTCAAACTTAAGTAAGGGAGTTGAAAATGAGTTCATTGGTCATACAAGAACTTCACCACTTCCTAACCCTAAATACTATAAATTAACTGGCTTCAATCGTGAGTTTTGGATAGACATGTTCTCCACTCATGACCATAACTGCCCAGTGTTCTTACCTCCAGACCATAAGGACTGTCTCTACATTGAAGCACAACTCTTAAACTCTACCATCGCAGTATTGTAAATGACCACATGGGCTTCGCCCTTGCCGCTAGTTTTATTTTTATCACGAATGACCTCATTGCTGACAAAAATAAATGACCTCAGAACTTCAACTTACGAATAAAGCTTGTTTTAGTCGTTATTGAGAAGTTAAACTTCTCTTCAAAGCAAGACATGACTTACATAAGTCAAATCCAATCTCTTGACCGTCATAAAGTGCTTTGTAAAGTTTCATTAAACTGAACTCAGAGTCTTTGTCATATGTTCCTTGCGGAACCATTAAACCTTTATCTTCATCATAGAAACACTGAACAGAGTCAGGAAACATTTCATTAGCGGTTAAAGCAATAACATCTTGCTTCACGCCTTTCATTCTGCAGTGAAATGCAACTTCATTTAAATCATTCGTGAGTAAGTCTATGTAAGTCTTCTTTCCACAAAATATTGACTTGTATGCTAAACTTTGTTTTCCAGGTGTGATTTCTGCAAAGTCGCTATGAAATTGACCAAGGTTTTTACCAATGAGAACTCTTCCATAACGTTTCTCAAACTCTTCAGCTAAACGAGGGATATCTTCATTGTAGAGATGCATACTGTCCGTATCGCTATAAAAGATGTCCATTCCTAAGTCCTCAGCAGTACAGAATACTTCACACATTATTCTCTTCGACATAGACAGAATGTTAACACCAAGTGGACAGAAGTTAAAGTGTCTGCAAATGCTTTTCGTTAGCTTGAAAATAGTTTTATCTGAACCATCCAAACCTTCGAACTTCACTATATGGTTGTAGTTTCTGATGGCATATCTTATAGCATCTTTGTCATTTACTATGGTTATTTTTGACTCAATAGGAGATAGAATAGTTTTGCCATAAATACTGTTCAGAATGAGCTTTATATTTTCTTGCAAAGGATTTCCTTCTTTCTTATACTTTAACCTTAACTCAAACAACTTCTTTACTTCATCTCTTATTCTAATATCTCTGTTTCCATCGTAATAGTATCCTTGCAACACTTCACATTTGACACCTTGATATTTTATGAGGTCTTGTAATGTTATATGGTCAACATACATTAAACAGCAAGTGTTTGAACTTCTGGGAACGTTAAGTTCTGGATTTAGTTCAGGGTCACAAACTATTAAAGGAAAGTGTCTATGTATTCCAATCTCTGTTATCTTAATGAGAACAAAGAAGCCAGACATAAACTTTTCACCAATGGGTTCCTTTTGGTCGTCATCGAATAAATGTCTCATGAGATACTCTGTGCTTAACATTTCTTTCTTCATAACCTTTGGAATACCTTCTAAAGTATAAAGTCTTGCTATAGCTGATGGATATAATGAAACAGCGTCGAAGTCAGCAATGAGTTTCTTTTCGCTCTTTTGTTTAATGTTATCTGACAGCATACATCTTCCACCTTGAATACAGCGTGAAATAAATTCTCTTGGTTTATTTGAGAGGTCATATAAATTTCCATTCGGGAAGTACACTCTGTTCTCAAACAATTTGTTAGCAATAGAACAAATACTAACGTAGTCATAAACGTTTAAATCAAATTCTTTCAATATGTCATTGCGGAACTTAACAAAACCTTCTCTTAAAATTCTTACATCTTGTTTGCAATAAAATGCTATACTTTTCTAAGTCGAAGTGGTTTCATCTATTCTGCAACCTTTGATGGAATCTATGTTTTTCATGAATGTATCTGCATCCCGGATAAACTTACATGCTTCAGAAATGACACCAGTTCTGTTGTCATTTGCTAACAAAACACTGCTGTAGTAGTTGTATGGAAATACTTCTTTCGGTCCTGTTTGTAAGTTAAACATAGCAGGAAATAGTTTAAGCTTCTTATTTATAACACTGTAAGAGTCTTTTATAATAATTGCCCTTCCTTTATATAAGCCAGTTATTTGCATTGTTCGTGAACCTTTAATGATGGGAGTTCCTTTCACTTCTGTCATGTGTCTTAAGATGAAGTTTATATCATAACTGAGGTTATGGAAATATATTAAACTCTTGTCAGGAAGTCGTTCCAAAAATTCTGTTGCACAGTTCTGACCCCAAATGCTTTCACTCACTGAACCATCTTCACTGTCGTAACATATGTTAAAAGCTTTATGAAAGCCATCGTACTGCACTCAAAGTCAGCAAAGAAAACGTGCTCAGGAATGAACTTGCACTTATTTTTATTTACTTCTTTTGACTCGGCTTTCTTCTTCAGTTGTACACAATACTTTGGAGCATATGTCAAATCTTTAAATGGTGCAAGGTTCTGTTTATATAAGTCAGTCGTATATGTGAAAAGTTCTCCATAAGAAATAGGTTCGAAATATTTGCACTCCCACAATGTTTTCATAACATCCCATAACGGTGTTGTTCTATCATAACGAACTACATATTTATCTTCTCTCTTTGTATAAATCTTCATTTGTTTCTCAATGTTCATTCCACCACACTCCTTCAAGATTTCTATATAGTTGCGAATGAAATATGTTGTCATTGGTAATCTTTCATTTAGCATGTAGTGGTCTTCAACAAGAAGTAAGTCAATAGTTCGAACAGTTTCACATTCTTTTGGTATGTATCTCTTTATTTCATTATGTCTTGAGTCATTGAAATAACCAATGGTAACATTAAATGCTATACCTGTTGCGTCAGAAATTTCTTGTACTTTACTTTGAGGAAAGTCTCTAACACGAATGACTTCTCTCATGTGGTCAATAGTCTCTCCATCTACTCCAGCCTGAATGCAAGCATAAACGAAACAATTGTCTTCTGTCATAAGTGTTGCAGTTCTTTTGTTCAGTTCATTGAAGATTTGGTAGCGTTCAAGATTTATAGGTAATGTGCAAAGATACTTCCAGAACTGACCGCTTCTCTTCTTATAAAACTTCTTTTCACCATTATCTTTCCAAAAGCTTTCTATAAGTGCTGGGTTTCCTGTTTGCTTAAGAGCTTCCAAAATGGCTTTCTGGTCATTTGTCAGTGTGCTTTCATCTCTATATGGTCTCTTTTTTGGTTTGCCTTTCTTTACATCTGACATCGTTAAGCCTTCATATTCTGTTAAATCATACATCTTTATTTCAGTAAGATTCTTTATGTTTGTCAAGAAGAAGTCATAGTGCATTTCAACAATACCTGCAGCATTTGCTTCTATCTCTGATATAAAGTTCTCCTTCAAGAGCTGATGTAGTAATGTTCCAATATTATTGAGGTTTAACGTAGAACATTCATACTTTCCACCAAGTTTATAACATACCATCCATCTCTGTTGTGAGTTTATTTTAATTTTCTCTAAGAGTCTCATGAAAACCTTACCGAAATGTTTGTGTAAGTAGTCTCTGTTTGGTTCATCTAAAGCTTCGATGTTAAAGTCAATGAGTCTATTGCCTGACTTCACATTTCTCTTCCTATTCTCTTCATCTTTCTTTAACCATCTCTCACCTTCTTTTGGTTTGTCGTCAATGGAACGAATGACATCGTTAGCTTTGCGAACTTGTTCTATAGCGCTCTTAAACATCTCTCTTCTCTGTTGTTTCAGTGTGTCGTCTCTTCTTCTTGTTTCACCAACGTTTGCATTTGTTATGTCAAACATTTCTCTTCTTACTTCATGAGGTACTGAACGTCTATGATATAAGTCAATAGCAACGTCATTTAAAGGAAATGCTCTTGCATGGACTTCGTCCTCGCCGCGTTGCGGCTTTATGAACTCATGAATTCTATCATAACTTATTGCACCATTATAGTCTTTAATGAAGTCAGCGAGTGCTTTTTTGTTTGTTGCGTAATGTTTTGCACTCTATGTTAGCTTCTGTAAGAAGTTGTTTTATTTCCGAGTGTTCTAACTTAGACAACTTCCGATACATCTTTAGTAGGAAATAAAAAAATATTTTTTGAAAAAATTAGATTAGATTTTTTTAAGTTATTTTTCAAAATAATTTAATATTTTTATTTTAATGAAACACATGCAAGATTGCAAGTTCTTTTCATACAATGCTCTCGCTACTGCCATCAAGAATGAGTTCAATAATGCTTCAAATGTTAATGTTATCTTTAACAAGAAGTTTGTGAAAGAATCTAAGTTTGGTCAGTATGTCAGACCATTAGCTATCGTCATTGACCGCAAACGTTATACTTCACAAGAGTTAGCAGTAGTTTTGAAACAAAAGAGTTTCTTCGTGAATGTCAAAGATACTCATTATACTGTTATAAAGAACTCTAATATTGACTTCTTCAGTATTGCTTTAAATCTTTCCGAACAGAAAGAATATAAGAAGGGTGAAACAAATGTGAAATATTATCCTTCATCTCTGAAGACAATAACGAACAAAGATGTTATACAGAAATTCTTACCAAAGGTTGAAGAAGCTTCTATTGACATTGACGAAGGAAGTGAAATGGTTGAAGAAATAGACCCTGAAGCTATTTAAGCAAAAATATATTTTTGGTTAGTCTTCATATCGATATTTTACAACAATTCCCCAATGTATAAACTTTTCATACGCTTTTTCATAAGCTTTATATACCTTCAGAAATTTTGCATAATCTTTAGAAGCATTTAGATATTGTTTAAATGCTTTGTATGTCTTCAGAAATTTTGCATAATCTTTTACATGTTGTTCGTTCTCTTCTTCTGTCATGAGTTCCGAATATTCTAAATTCATGTTCTTTCATATGAGATAAAATTTTATAAAAAAATAAAATTAGCTTAGATTTTTTTATTCTTCCTCTTTGAAGTTATCGAAATATTCTGTTATTTTTTCCTTCAGTAATGTTAAGTCTTCTTTGAATGTAAGTATTGTGCAACCTTTGATGTCATAGTGTGTTTGAGGAAGAGTATTTTTGACAATTTCCTTTATTTGCTCATTCGGTGTCATTGAAATCGGTAAGTTTTCACGATAGAACCAGTTTCTGTCAGATTTATATATTTTAGCTAAGTCATAAAAGCTCTTGTTGTTTCTTCTGACTAAATGCAACATAACCACATCTTTATCTTCTTCTTTCTCCAACTCTTCAGTATATATCATATACTTATAACTCTTTTCCTTTCCTTTTGGTACCGAACGCGGTATTCTTTTCTGTATGCTTTTGTCTTTGGATTCAATGACTTCATCTTTTGCTTGAAGTTTCTTTTCCATCTCTCCACGTTCTGCTTTATATAGTTCATCTAACATCATGAAAATATAACAAGCATAACGAGGTGAAGCCCACATTGCTACAGCGTTTACTAAAAGTCTATGAACATAATAACCTTTCAAACCAGGAGCCAAATTCTTGCGATTTTCGTACGGAATCTCTTCTCTCGGTTTTCCGAGGGAAGCAATCATATGAGGAAATTCTTCTAAAAGTTCTTTTGTCTGTTGGTTTTCAAACCAATGATATGCTTGCTTTGTAGAACGAAGAGCATTCATTATACTTTGCATTTGTACATATCGTCTTTGACTGAACGAATGAGACGTAACTGTTTGTTATACTGTATGTACTCGTATTCTTCATTTATAGCTTCATGGACTATAACTGTTGTTGTGTTCTCTGATGTTATTACTGTCTTTACATACAAAATAAAAAAATAAATAAAAATAAAACTAACTTTATTTTCTGACTTTCACAAAAGACCAAAAATAAACGCTTTACATGTATTTTTCAGCAACTTCGTCAAATAATTTTATAGCTTTATCTATCTCATCTACTTCAAACGTTTCTTTACCTTTCGTGGGAGCACCATACATTTTCTCAAAAACTTCAAGCAGTTCTGTTTCAGCAGCTCTCATATCATTAACAAACACAACCTTGACTCTATTGACTGTACTGTCATATCTTTGAGTTATATTATATGTCCTTCCTATCTTATATCTTTTTGTGTTGAAGTCCTTCGGTTTCTGAACGATGTAAAGTAAGCCTTCACTGCAACGTTCCGTATCGAATGAACCATATGTTATGAAGTTATATCCAACAACTGGGTCTAACCATAACAAAACTATTGGTATAAGACTTTTGTCTATAAGATATGCTCTTGTTCCATGAAATGCTACTGATATCATAAGCTCAGGATTTCTTGTCAAAATTTTCTGAGTTGAAGCATTTCTAACCCAGTCGTTTGTTTTCTTTCCAGATGGAGATATAATGTCTGACAAAGAATATTTGTTGTATTTCTTTGAGTATCTTACGTTTAAATCACCTATTCTAACCACTTTGGTGTCATTGTCTATCTTTCTAACTGTTTCAAACTCAATGTTTGTCATTACTGTCTTTACATACAAAATAACTAATGAAATTCATTATTTTTGTGCTGAATTCAATAAAAATAATGTTGAGGTGAAGAGGTGAGATCTCACCTTTTTTTTCACCTAATTTTTCACCTCTTTTTTCACAAGCGTTTTACATGAATTGTACGATGTATATTTGAAATCCTAAACAATTTCGTAGCTTCTATTTCTTCGATGAGGATATCAAAAGTTTTAACAATGCCGAAGGTTTCTTTATATTTCTTCTTGACGTCAGATAGAAGGAAATCTTCTGCTGTTGGATAGTTTTTATTAAGAAATGTCAACATATCCATTTTATCTTCTGCTGGCTTTTCTGCTTCTTTCTTTAAGTCTGCATAGTCGTTTCGCATTCTTTCTATCTCTTTGACTGAGTAGTTATATTTTCTTATTGCTGCTTTACATTTTGAACATTGCGGCATCGTTTTTGCGTTATACATTGAAATAAAACCAGCTAAAATAACTAAAGCGTCAATGGTTTTCTTTAACTCAAAAGCTGCTGGTTTTATCTGTTCATTCCATACCTTACCTCTTCTATCTTTATCTCTTAGCTGCCATACACATTTTGCAACTAATGAAACAAAGTTGTCGTATGTCTTAAACTCCCCAGATTTATATATGTCAGAGATGTTCTTATATACCATGTCGCAATCTTTGTCCATAACTTTATGGTTGCAATGAAAACCAAGGAATTCATAATTTACCTTTCGTATGAACTTATTTATTTCTACTGAGTCAGTTGCTTTGACTTCAATTTCGTCGAATTCAGGAATAGTTAGTTTTTGCTGCTGAATTTCAGGTAGTTTAGGCAAATGGTCGATGAGGTCCTCCATTTCATAAAGATACTGTTCATTTGTTTCATCTTTCGCACTACAGTCTAAATTACTTGTTAAAAGTTCCTGCTTTATTTTTTGTATTTCTGTTTCGAAAGTAAATGAAGAAGGAATGAAGCTTTTCATTTCTACTAACATTGACGTAGGAATCATGACTAGCGAGTTTGGTGCTGTAGTTGTGGACAGAGTCCCGCCGTTCGTGGCTTGAATTGTTGTTGTGCCGATTGTTGAAATCATATCTTTTATACAAAATAAAAAAATAAATAAAAATAAAACTAACTTTATTTTTCTATCTTAAGGAAATTCATGAAAATTCGTGAGGGTGAAAAAAGAGGTGAAAAAACAGGTGAGATCTCACCTCTTCACCTAAAATATATTTTTGGTCATGGACTTCGTCCTCGCCGCTTTGCGTCTTTATGTTAAAATAAATGGTACCATTAATGATATCATGACTGTTCTCATTCATGTCTGATTTACATCTAATGAAAAAGTTTAGAAGAATTTTCTTATTCTTTCTGGCTTATTTTTGTCTTTCCAGTACTCCCGCTCTAATGGTCCCAGATGTGTTGATTTTGACTCTCTCAAGTTCTTAGATGGTATAACATCTTCAACGCCTCCTTCATATCTTACTTTATAAGTGTCATCGTTTATGTTATAGCCAAGTATTTCAATAACCACTCCTCGCTTTGCTTCGTCAATGGTTTCAGCAAGTTTGCCATTACTACTTTCGACTAATTTGTGACGAGGGTAAAACGCAATAGAGTCGTCAGCAGCTTTTATAAGATATCCATTACCTTGCGTAGAGTCTACGATATAATAGTTTCTACTTAACCTTAAACGTTTCTTTGTCAACGGTTTGTCGTCAAGAACTACACGAACTTTTGTACCAGGAATGAGGGTAAATTGTGTTGAATTTCTGATATTTTGTGTTTGGCTTCGTTTCTTTTGTATATACTTTTCTTCTTGTTGTTGTGTCATTGAATTTGGTGTATGCCCTGTTGTAGAATGTGTTGAGGAATTGTAAACTTCGGTGAAATGTTTCATTGTTTCTTCGGTAAAGTCTCGCTCTTGGTTTAAATCTCTGAGCGTTCTTATGAAGCGGTTTATGATGCCGAGTATGTTATGGTTATGGTCTTCAGTAGTGTAGTGAGTTATGTTATGCTTAATGAGAAAATCTGTGATTTCATTGCTGAGGTATGCACTGTCTTGGTCTGATGTTAAAGTACTTGGGCTATGTTCTGCTACAAACTTTTGTAAAACTCTTAACACTTCACGAGTTCCTTTATTTTTCATTGGATATGCATATGCTTTACGAGTGTTAACATTAATGAAGATGAGGAATGGTTTATGTCCTCCTTTCTTACTCTGAACGAGAGTGTCAAATTGGTATGCGTCAGGAGTGTTGGAGTAAATTGGTAAAAAGTAGTCGTAAGGGTTTATTTTTGTTTGATGTACAACATTTTTGTCAAAGAACCTTTTCACTTCAGCTCTGTTAGTAAATCCCCAACTCTTTGCAGCTTCATTGAATTTCTTAAATGACCTCCATGGATGTTGTTCGAATACTTCTTTCAAGCTCATTTATGTAAAGTTAAAGATTTTATTCAAGACGGTACCATGCGAATATAGTCACAAATGGTGGCATATAATCTGCACCCGAGCCTGTTGGATTTGTTGTGAAAGTATGGACATGATTTCCTCCCGGTTCAGTTTGTCGAAAAGTCTTTTTTGCTGCATTGTTATAAGATGGAGATAAAACATCATTGCCAGCTTCATACTCTGAGTTGTATAATGGGTGGTCTCTTAATGAGTGGCTATGGTCGCCAGAAAAGTTTGTAGTTCCTGTATGAGTGTGCGGTGGAAGGTTTGCTTCAGTAATTTTCTTCGAACCTCCTGTTTGCTTTGAAGAGTTAGCACAGTATAAGAATTTGTCTACAATCTGCTGCCATGTACCAAAACCTAAAACACTTGCTGGATTTGTTGAGTTCATTGACGTATAAATAGAGCCTATAGGATATATGGTTTCAAGAATCTGAGTCTTCATTGTTTGAAGTTCATGTTTAACATTTATAAATCCTTTGCCATCTACAATATTTATATTGTTTGTTATTAAACCATTAGGAAAAGTAGGAGGATAAATTCTTTGTTCTTGTACAGTTGCACCGTTTCTTCCTGTTTTTGTTACTATTTCGATGCATGCTTTAATTTCTTTAATCTTGATTGTTTGAAATTCTTCATGTGTATGGTTCTTGTCGGCTTTTCCATTAAGCGCAGCATTTACTTCCAACTTCTTTGCATAATTTTCATCTACATAAGTTTTGTCGGCTTTCTTATCTAACATTGCTGGTAGTTCATATGCTTCAAAGTTTCTGGCATGACCTTCGATATTCCTGCAACTGTTATCTAAATTGTTAAGAGTATCTTTTACGCTTGTACTCGGATTCTCTAAAGGCGCACTTGAACCCAAATCATAGTTCAATATTATGTCGTCTGCTCTAACAGTAGTGAAGGATTTATGTGTATGTTCTTTGTCAGCTTTCTTATCTAACATTGCTGGTAGTTCATGTGTTTCAAAGTTTCTGGCATGACCTTCAATGTTCATACATCTGTTATCTAAATTGTTTAGTGTATCTTTTACGCTTGTACTTGGATTCTCTAAAGGTGCACTTGAACCAAGGGTATAGTTCAATATTATGTCGTCTGCTCTAACAGTAGTGAAGGATTTATGTGTATGGTTCTTGTCAGCTTTACTATTTAATGTAGCTTGAAGTTCATTTATATCGGAGATATTGTGTTTATGAGATTTCAAAACTTTGTTCGTTGCGTCAAGTTCATCTTTGTCAGCTTTACTTTTAATAGCATCTTCAAACGTTATTTTTGCCTTAACTCTCAAAGTAAATCTTGGTTCAACTAATACACCGTTAACAAAGAAGTATGAAGCGTATATTTCACCGGTATAACCAAATGCTTCTGGTGCTTTAGCTACATCATACTGTACAGTACAGCTTATGTCATAACCTTTAGCACGAATGAATTTATATCTTCTTTCATTAACATTTTTTGTCTTCGCTTCATCACTTCGTGTTAAATATCCATGGTAGTCCGTTATAATCTGTTCGTCTGAACTTATATAATGAACATGGTTTTTATCTGCTTTTTGTGAAAGAAGTTCAACAACTTTTGCTTCACTTATGTTACCAGTGTCACTTTCATTTATTTTTGTCAGCATTGCGTTCAAAACTTCATAAAGACTAACTACTTCTTTTGGTTCTTGAAACAATGAGTCAAAAGTCTTTCTTAACATTACATCTTCAACTGTTATGACTGAGTCAATACCTTTCTCTTTTATTGTCTTAGCTAACTGACCTAAAACAACGAACATATAGTCTAAAATATTATCTTCAGTGTTAAACACTATACAGTTTTCACGAATTGTTGTGTTTGTTGCTGTTAAAACTTCTTTAAACTCAGGATATATATTCAGTAGATTTTCAACAATTGTTTGAACCACTTGTCCTCCTTCATCTAAATCTCTTGCTGCCATTAAAGGATGTAAATTATTGTTCAATAATTCCGAGACGAGGGTTGTAAGCAAGTCCGTCGAACATATTTTTACGTTTGAGTGCCCAGTTAGTTAGTTTCTTTGTATTATATGTTACTTTACCCCATAAATTTTTGAGACCGTCAAAGAAACTTCCTGTATTTCCATGTAATTTAGCAAACTCAACATAAAACTTCATGCTATCTATGCCACCAAGAAAAGCCCAGAGTGCATCTATCTCACTTTGCATGGTTATAAGAGATGCAGTTGTTACACCTGATGAAAATAAAGTAAACAACCACCCTAACCAACTCTTACCTGCTCCACTTTGTTCTACTTTCACAAAATCACTGATATGACTTTTTAAGTATTCTTTCGTAAGTAATGTGTCTCCAGGTGTAACGTCTCTAACGATATTATCTCCGTCAAAAGTCAATGTTCTAACTTGTGTCCGTGCAGCCTTTATTTTAAGGCATGCATAGTCTGGTGTTTGAGGAGCAGAAGGCTCGATGTATGTAATTTTAAAGAAATCGTCATAATTTTTCTTAAAGGTTTCATATGTTGTTTTGAATGTATTGAACCTCATTATTATATCAAGAAGTTTTGTCAATGAGTCAGCAATTGCTTCATCTACTGTTGACGTTTTGAGTTTTATTTCTGCTGAGTCGTTTATGAATGGTACTTGACATTGAGTTGTATATGGGTCAAATCCTGTAGGACCCAAATGAAGCAAGTAGTCTAAAATATCACGAACAGACTTTGAGACAGTTGTGTCGTTCTTCATGACGATTTCACCATTTACAATGAATGGCATAGTACATGAAGTTATTTGTGGGTCAAAACCAGAAGGATTGAAATGAAGCATATAGTTCAGCGCCTCATACACTGACTTATACACTGTTTCATTATTTTTTGACACAATTTCACCATTTACAATGAATGGCATTGTCGAAGGAGTTGTTTTTGTATCGAACCCTGAAGGATTGAAGTTAAGAATGCTTTCAAGAGCTTCATATACAGACCTATAAACAGTTGTGTCGTTCTTCATGACGATTTCACCATTTACAATGAATGGCATAGTACATGGAGTTAAAATAGGGTCAAACTTTTCATAGTCCTTCCATGTTATGTATTTCTCAGTATTTCCATCAGTAACAATATATTTGTCAGTAAGTGTGAGAGAGTATTGACCAAAATATAAACGTTTAGCTCTGTCAGCTTCATACGCATATGCAGCTCATATTTTAATGAGAATAAAATGTTGTTCTATTTGCAAAGTACAGACCCAAACGAATACGGGACAGTAAAGCTACAAACAAACTTAGGTCTACAGAATGAGGCGCTTGCATTCAGAATGTTGACTTCAATACTATCGCTTTTCGTATAACTCGAAACAGATTTCATGGAGATTGAAATAGATGGAAAGAAGCACGAAATAAGATTTCACAATAATGTAGAATATAAGATGGAAACATTAGCTGGAGTGTTAAATGCTCTCATAAATACTACAATAAACAAGGATAACGAAGAAAACTTAATGAATGTTAAACTTATTGCAGGAGTTTTGAAGTTCAGTTATGCGAAGGAGTTTAAGATAACACGAATGAGTCATAGAGTACAATTCTTTTGGGTGCATACCATATGACATTTCCTTTGAAAAGTGTTGACAAAACGATTGAGATGAAATCTGTTCCATACGTATGTTATGGTAATTGTTTATACATTGAGTCAAAAATAGCTAATGTCACAGGTATTTCAGGAGTTAATAGTAAAGGTTCAGTAGAATATAATCCTTCTGTTATGCAGTCAATTCAATGTTCATTCCAAACGTTCCTGTCATAGCAACTCATTTAGGTAAATGGGTTCGCATTAGTCCTCATAATTTGAAAGACATGCAATTCAGACTTGTTGACTTTCAAGGAGAGCCTGTAGAACTGAAGGCACCAGTGCGAATGACTGTTGAAGTTGACTTTTTAGAAAATATTAAATGCAACAGCTTACAAGAGAACTCAGAGCTAAAAATATAAAGTATGAATGTTATGTATTAGGTCATGAACTTTGGTTGTTGCTGTTTGATGAAACAAATGAGTTAGTTATGTCAGTCAAGAGACAGAAAAATATTGTGTTAGTGAAAACTGCACCAAGTCAATAAGATTAGGTTTGCATTATGAAGATGAGTTCGATACTGTTGAAGAAGTTTTGGATAGATATTACAAATTGCTTTAATTTACTAAAACATATTTCAAGCAAAGTTTATATTCTGTTGAAAGTTTTGTATACTCGTTCGAATATTTATACTTAAACTCAACTCCTGTAGTTCCTGGTGTTTCAATGATGCGGATGTTACCTATTTTTCATGAATGGTGGCGTTTGACCACAGCATTCGATTTCAGGGTCGAGATAGTCAATGACACATTGTTTCCTGTTATTTGTGATATAACATTTTCAAGGTCCTCCTTTGTTAGAATTATTTGGTTCTTGCTTATAAGATTTGTCAAAAGCTTCTTATCGTCTTTGAGTAAAATTGTTTGGTATAACTGAAGAAGGTAATGGTCTACGTTATCTGAAGGATTTGTTTGAACATTTGTGTAAGGGTTGTCGTTGGCTTCTCTTGAAAGAATTTGGTCCAGTGGTGGATACTCTAACTTAACATCTGATGTAGCGTTAGCGTTTGAAGCTGAGTTTAAATTCAGGGATTTCAGCTCTGGTTCTTTTTCTTTCAAACACTCTGAACTATAGTTCTTTATGACAATATTGTTTGTCGTTCGTGAGTCAACATTTGATGTTGGTTCAATTGGAACATTAACGGCACCAGCTAAGATGGATTTGCTTCTCATTTCATATAGAATAAAAACCTTTTATATGTATGAAATGAACAATATACTCGACAAGGGTTTGAATGTAAAGCTAACGAATGAAAATATTGTTGAATTCACTGAGACAGGAGCTGTGTATAAAGATGTAGAACTACTGAACAAAAGAGCTAAGGGAAGAAGCAGGAACATGAACAAAGGGTGGAAGCCTATAAAAATTTATGTCAATGATGGCTCAGGAGGTTCAAACATAAAGTATGCAGAAAGTTATAGAGTTTATGCTCTCAAAGGTGAAAAGCCTTCATTTAAGAACAGCTATTCTAACGCATATCCTCAAAAGCTAACGGATGGGGAAGTGGATGATATGAATGACAGCAAAAATATTAACAGAAATGGCGACAGAGATGCATGGAATCTGTTTACCATCAGTCAATTGAAGGTTAAACTTTAAAACAATGTTGGTCGTTCCCATGGAATATTTTTGACTTTAATGGTATTAGTCATGATATGAATCTCAAGGTATGAACGAGGAGAGATGAGAGACTTATATGCTTCCCAAATTTCTTCAAAAGGTAATGTTATACCTGAATGTTTCCAAATGAGTTCAATGTCATAGCGTGAGAAACCTTGAAAGATAACGAAGTCAGTTATGAGACGTTTTATGTTTAAAGCTAAAAACCTCCATGTTTGCATAAGTATTGCTACAGTTAAGTGGTAATGTCTGACTTTAGTAATGATGTTAGCTAATGGTGAGTCTGGTTTTGACACTAAACCTTTTCCGGCGAAGTCGTCACAAACGAGCAGAGTGTTTGAAGGATATTTTTTGAATGGGTATTTTGAAAGTTTTGATAGAATGTAGTTTGTCAGTCGTTTCATATCGTAAACTCCTGAGTATTGACGTAAGTGGTGTTTGTCAATAATTCTTTCCATCTCTTCTGAAGTCTTTTGCATTCCTGACTGTATAAATTCAACGATGGCATAATATTTCCTCTTACGTCGAATGTAACGTTGAAGAAATTCAATGAGTTCACTGTCTGGAACTTTTAACGACAGATGCTTGAACTTTTGACATAAATGTTTTCGCTGTTGAGTCCATAGAGTCTGAAGTTGCTGATATAATGATTTGGTCATAATATGAGTCATTTCCTAAACGTTCTGTTATGAGTATATGACGAATGAGGTTAAATGTCTTACCTGAACCCATCTTTCCACAATAGAAATAAACACCATTTGAACAGAACTCATAGTCCTTACTGAAAGGAAGAATGAGAGAAGAGTTAAGTTTGTCTGTAGTTTCATTCATGTCTTCATCTACGTCATGTATTAAATGCTTCATTTTATCTCCATTAAAAATGCAAGTCAGAAATATTCAGAACATAGCACCGAGTCTAACTGACAAGAGTATAAAGATATACTATGAACACGTTATGATGAAACCTACCAAAATTCAAGAAAGTCAGTATACTTATGAATATCCAAGACACTGGGTAGAGTATGTGGAGGTGAGAAAGCTATTGAAATCAGACAGGTTCGAAGTATCCCAGCAGGAAGAACAATATTATTGAAGACTTTAATGTTTTGAGGTATAATGATGAAACAAAGAAGCAGATAGTTTTTCCTGTTGCTGTGTATGTGAACTTAGATACAGGAGATGACATGAAAGTTTTAATACAAAGCTTCAAACGGTAGTGAGAGAACAACTGACTGCGGAAGGGCATCCATTACCTTCAGAAGTTACCATAGCATATAATTTTGAAACAAACTCAATAGATTTTAAAGTCGTCTCTGCAAGAAGTCAGGTTTACATTTAATGAAGCAGATGTATATTCGAATGAAAACTTCAAAGCTATTGCATGGTGAGATAATGACGATTGCTTTAAGAAAATATTTAAATTCAGTGACTCAACGATGTCAATAGATGACCTTCGTGGAATGTTACCATCGACATTTACAGTAGAAGGTTCAGCAGGATTGCTTACAAGATTGTCAATTGGTGGTATTTGGTCTCGTGAGAACATTGTTATAAAATCCAGTATAAGTGAATTTGCTGAAGAATCTATATTATGTCTTTCAAACTACATGTATTCGCCGCCGAAGCATTATAGTATAACAAACTTTGTCAGTAAGTTTAACATAAGACTTGTCGAACCTTCTTCAATGAAGATGTTGTGCTACCCAAAGACGGAAAGGATGGACTCATTATTGAGATGATTTTAATTGCATATTAAATGAGCTTGTTCTTGAAGGTCATTCATGATGAATAACTGTTGTAGAAGATGTTAGCAATTGTTCAGACATTTTGAAGCGTATAGATGAGATAAGAAGAAGTTAGATAGACCGCAAAGCGGTGAGGGCGAAGCCGTGAGAACGCTTATGTTTCATTGACTTTCTCCAGTAACGAGAACTTTTATGAGATAATATTGAAGAGAGATGATTTTAATATGTGTAAATGGTAGCTTGGGCAGCTTTAGGCGCAATGGGAACAAAAGCATTAGCATTTGGAGCAAAAGCACTTGGAGCTTATGACGCAGTAAATAAAATGAGTGGAGGAAGGGTTTCAAAGACATTAGATGCAAATAAAGGAAAGATTGGGGCTGGGTTGCAAAGAAGTTAAGATTAAATAAAATAGGGCTCATAAATAAAGCATCCAATTTGGTTGCGACTGAGTCAGAAAATGCTTTAGGAAAGGACGATGAGTTTGCAAAACACGCAAAAGACTTTAATGACCAGATGAAAGGTGAAACAATGCATTTAAATAGATTCGATGGAACTAAAGAAAATGTTTCTTCTCCACAGTAGTTCTTCCGTATGGTCCTATGGAATGTATGGAAACCCTTATGAACGACCATTTGACCCATTGACTGGTGGAAGTAACTGGTATCATTACGGACGAAGAAGAAAGACAGTCAAGTTGGAGACAGACGTGAAGAAAGCAACTAAAAAGAAACCAAGGAAGAGAGTTATAAAGCAATGAATTCAACAGGGTGAAAAAACAGGTGAAAAAAGAGGTGAGATCTCACCACTTCACCTAAATTTATTTTTGTGCTATGTTTTCATACGTGTGAGGGTGGTGATATCATTAATTTTTAAGTTTATTTTTTATTTTATTTTTCTATAAATGACAGAACAAAAGCAACTCATACAAATCGAAAAATATAACAAACATACATTTAAACATTTATTCTTCCTTCCTGAGTATAACATGTTCTTTACACTTCATCCTAGACCAGTAGATTATACATTGACTGTGTATAAAGATTGTCATGGTAGTTTTATAAAAACTTATGATGATGAAGGTAATTTAACAAGATTATGCATTTCAAAACTTGAGAAACTTTATGACTTCAAGTATGACTACAATAGAGTTAACATTGACGATGAAGATATAGAAGAAAATTTATGAGAACGTTTATTTTTTTCATTAGTGAGTTCGTTAGCGAAGTCGTTAGCGAGGTGAAGTGCTTGGCGGTTTTGTAAATATTTAAGGTTAAGTTGGTGTTGTTGTTTGTGTTGTAAAATATACGTTAACGGTTTTGTAAAGTGTCAAATTCACATATCATGGGTAAGTAGGTGCGCAGTGCCACCATACCCAACTAACCCATACTAACTATATTGAATACAATTCCTGTTTCTCAATTATCCTGCGATTTTACGAAAATTGCCAATCAATGTCTCGATTTACTTCAAAATTCAACAGCAAATGCTACTATAGAGAATGTATTGGTCATTGTCTCAAAGATAGGTGGCGAATTAAAGGTAGGAGATGAAAAAACAACGATAACCTTCAAAGATGTTTCAATTGACATTGATTTTTCAACGTTATCGTCCAAAATATCGAGCAACAAGTTCCCTCTTCAGTTTGAACTCATCAAGCCACAAGACGGTTCTCTCGTTATTCAGCAGAAAGCAGAAACAATTACGAAATTTGTTGAAAGTTATGACCCAGAACTTGTTGTAGACATGTACGATAGGTACTCCAATGACAGTTATAGCGATAAAATGTCCGGAATCATCAGATCTCTCGCTAATTGTTCAAATTATTTGTTGTCAAAGTCAGAAAAGTTCAAATTGACACTGCGAAAGTATTGTTTCTCCAACATAAAAACAATTTACCACGCAGCAGATGTCTAGTTGATCTTTTCTCAGCTAGATTATTCTTTATGTATCAAAAAATGCGGAAAGGGGTTCATAAATGATACAAGAATTAAAAGAGATATGTTTTAAGAAACATTTAAAATATATAGCGCGATGCTCTAAAAAAATAAAAATAAAATAAATAAAAAAATAATATAAAACAATAAATATCAAAATAAAAAAGTTAATCTTCATCGAGCATGTCGTCTGCAGCCATCTTTGCAAGAAGTCTCTTTGCGTAATCCTGAGCGATATATGTATCTTGTGCGTCCTTGTCAATCTTAGCCTGCCACTCGAGTTTCTCTCTTTCTCTTTCTGCTGATTCTCTTTCTTTCTTTTCCTGAGCTTGCTTCCTCTGGAACTCGGCAATTTCTTTCTGGTTCGCCAACTTTTGGAGTTCTCTCTTGTATGATTCTGCATCTGCTTCGTCGTTTGAGTAATCTGGGAATGCTTTCTTCTTCTTGTCTCTCTTGGCTGCTTCCTTCTTTTGGTTCTGAATTTTGACTGCTTCGAGCATGTCTTTCTTTCTTTCAGCGATCAATCGGTCTCTCTTTTCGGTCATTTCCTTGATGTGCTTGAGCTCCTTCTGGTACTCCTCTTCAAGCTGCTTTTCGAGGAAGTCCTCTTCGACCTTCTTGTTCGATGCTTGTCGAGCGGCTTCGGCATCGATAAGAGCTTGTCTTGCAAGAAGTTTTTCTTGTTTCTTCTTGGCTTCAGCGCGCCTTCTCTCGTCTTCTTCGTCCATGTTTTTGATGGCCATATCGAGGATCTTCTTGTCTTCTGCTTTCTCGATTTCGGCTTTGCGTTTCTTGAAAAATTCCATTTCTTTGTTTTGCTCCATTGCACGTTTGACTTCTTCTTTGGCTTTCTCCTTGCGCTGGCGCTCGATTTCTTTCGCTTTCTCTTCTTCTGTAATGTATTCTTTCCGTAAGAATAAATCATCCTCGAATTGCTCTTGCTTTTCGCGCATTGTACGTTCCATCTTCTCTTCTCTCTGCTTCTTGAAGCCTTCCGCAACTTCAATGGCGCGTTGCTTACGTTCCCTGCGGATTTTTTCTTCATTGGCAATCATTTGCTCGTATTTAGCTCTTGCCATCTCGTCTTCCTCGATTTGACGCTGCATCTCCATAATCTTACGACGCTCTGCAAAAGTTTCTTGTGCTTGGCGCTCCAATTGGACTTCATGAAGGAGAAGTTGGGCATTAACTGCACGAACTTCTGAGCGCTGTAAGAATCCTTTCTTCTTGGCTTCCGCTAATGTAGCTTGCTTTTTGAGTTTTTGGAATTTCTTTTCTTCTTCGTCGATTAATATTTTTCTCTGTTCTTCGGCTTCTTTTTCTTTTTGAAGGCGTGTTTGTCTGTCAAGTCTGTTTCTAGCTACTGTGTTTTGCCATCCAGAAACAAGCGTAACCGTCTTTTCATGACGGGTTCTGCTCATTTCAAGTTCCTGATCGATTCCTTTGGATTTGCGGGGCTGAGCACGCTCTTTAAGGAGCGCTAGTTGCTCGGGAGTCAGGATACTGTAATTGTGATCAGGAATAGGAACTGCTTGGGTCATGATGAAAAAAAACGTATTAAAAATTTTGTGAATGCTACTCTTCGTTAGAAATCACTTTTTTCAAAATATTATTGCAATTGCTATGTACTCAAAAATATCTCATATAATTGCATGTGAATTTCAATCTAGAGTCGGAATACAAATTGATGAACTTGTAATTTCATATGGAGCATGTGCAAATGCAACTGATGAACTTCGAGTAGCAGACACTCATATTGCAGCATATAATAACAATAAAGAAATAATCAAATTTCTTTTTTCACATTTATATAGAACAAAATGCTTCCAATTGAATTGATCTCGAATGTTCTTGCCGCCGTCCCAAAGTTAGTAAAAAAGATAAAAGTGTCAATGAATTATAAAGAAGAAGGATTGAAAAGCAGCAAAAATGTACTAGGAAAGAATACGCAAGCAGACTCAGTCGATATAACTGAATATCTAGTATCCAGTATGCAAGAACTTGTAATTTTTAATAATAACGAAGAATCTTATGATACATTTTTGCGAGAATTTTTAACAGAATCATACTTTAACATCACATTACCGGAAATACCAGATCGAAAAGAAGATATTGAAATCATTCAAGAAAATCGCAAAAAAATCATTGATAAATTGAACGAAATTCGTAGTTTTTTAGAAAATTATGAAGCTATATCTTGTGATGACACCGAAAAATCAGGAATTGTTCAGATATTACTTGAATTGTCCAAATATGATTTTCCATTAATTCAAGAAAATGCTTTGAGCACCTGCATGATGCTACTTGAGTTCAAAGATACATTTGAAAACGCATTTTTAGAGAATGATTTTGTCGAAGTTTGCGGATTTTTATTATTTGAATGCGAACTTAGTAGTGACTCATTTATTTTGATTGTTAATTCTCTTGGATTAATTTTAACTATTTCAAAAGATATATGCTTTAATATTTTAGAGAAAATTCCAGTTAGATTTTTGATTGATTCTTCATTAAAATATAGCCATCGTTCGGAAGATGCAATTAGCGCAGTAGCATATTACTCTGCCGAAAGTATTGTGAAAGGAGTTTTTCCATCTCAAGCTTTTGATATTTTGGAAGCTTTTGAAAAATCTATTGAAAAAGATATTGGAAATTCTGCTTCTGATATAATAAGTCGTTTCCATTACATGATTGAGGACTGGCCGGATGATCTTGACTTAGGAATTTTACATCATCATGGAATTATTGGCCTAATTAATTCGATTCTTTCAGAATCTGAAGCTATCGAGGATGTTCATGAACTCATTACTTTTGCAATTGATTGTATAACTTTGATGCTTCAAAAACATTTTATTCCTGAAATTAATTTTGATCAAATTATTTTTTATACGTTTAATGGAACAACTGATCAACAAAAGTCATCTTTCAATCTATTAGCAGAATTGTTCAATGAAATACCTGAATTATATCGCACACTTATTACGAATGAATATTTTCATGAAATATTTGAATATATCAAGACAAAGGCTATATCTGAAGTCAAAGGGCACTTTGTTATATTGTTATTTAGCTATCTTAGCAGTTTGGAACCTCAGGAAATTAATAAATTGATATTGGAAGATATTGAATTAATAGAATACTTTGAAGATCAGTTACAATATAGAAAATACATTTCTTATTCAATTAAATCCCTTATCATCTGCATTGATTCTTCAAAATCCGGAGATTTCGGAGTTCGAGCTCTAATTCACCAAAAAATTGTTGATTTTGATGGCTGGGATGAGTTAGAAGATAATGAAAATGATAGTAAAAGCGAAGTTTCCGAGCTTTCAAGCCAATTACTGAATCTTGTTAATTCGGAATTAAATGAAAATTAACTAACACTAAATATTGTTTGTAATTATTATAAAGAAATATTAATACATTAATTCTTCTAATTATTTCGATTATAAACCCAAAATGTAATAAAATCATTTATTATGGCTTTTTATGAAAGTTTCCTAAGAAATAAGAAAGCACTCGAAGTAGTAAAAAGAACAGCTATCAGGAGAAAGCACGAATATTTCATAAGGTGCTGTCACCATTTCTAGCCTGAGAAAAGGATTCATATTTATGGTATAAACTTCTACGTATACATTTCATCAGGAGATATTCTAAATGCAATGCAGATCTAGCTATTTTAGAAAAAAGATTAAATGTTTTGTATTTTTCAGTGTTAGGTAATTGCAAATCAAAAGAATATTATGCATTTTTGAAATTGCTAAATGCCAAGTAGAGTAAACTATATATGCCTTACTTTGGTAAAATATCTTGTGAATCTATGCCATCTGCAAGCCCAGATATTGCCTTATAGCATTCTCCAGCTTCATGAGATTCACTAAAATATGCAACAATATAACCATTTCGAATTTTTCTTGCAACAATCCCGTTGAAACTTCGAACTGCAATTAGATGCTTCATAGAATGATTAATTACTAAATATTCTTCATTTCTAAATTCTATTGTTGTGCCTATTTTCTTTTCAGGTTGCGTAATTAAGATAGAAATTTTTCCCAATTCATCTTCGTTGAAATCCATTTGCTTTGTCTGTGCTAAAATCGTCCCATCTGATGCCATGATAACTATTTGCTCTGCAAACTTTTCAGCCTCTTTCAAGTAAGATTGAATCATTTGGTTAACAAAAAGAATAAATAAATCAAAACATGATGAAAGAATCATACTATTCATAATTTAATTGTGAATTGATATAATAGACTTATTATTGTTCATTATTAAGTATGAATATTTGATTCCTTGATTGAAATATATAATCTGAAATAAAGGCTTTATCCATACGTTTGTAAGATACTTCGGTAATTCAAAATCAAGCATTTCATTGTGATTTGCTAAAATTATAAATAAGATTAATAAATTAACATTCAAAACTAATAACATAGTTTAATTTACCAATAAAACACAATACAATAACTATTTTAATCATCATCCTGAATAGCTCTTAAAGCATCAACCTGATCTTGAACTCTTCTTGAACTGCGTGCAGCTTTCTTCTGCTCAATCTTCCATTTCTTAATAGATCTTTCTGTTTCAGACTCTATTTGATCATCATTGTCTGAAACTTTTTCTATTCTTTTAATTTTCGCAGATTTCATAGTTCTCGTTGGACCTCTTCTTTCAGAAACTTGAGGAGCAGGAACTGCAGCAATAGCAGGAGCAATTGGCTGACCTTGCGCCGCCATAAGAGCAACTCTATATGAATTTTCAACATCTTGAATTCTGTTGTTGAAATTATGTGTCATCTGCTGAGCTTGTTGCTGGAAATCATTTACAATTTGCTGAAGAACTCTGTTCTGATCAGCAAGCATCTTCTTGTAGCTATCGCAAACAGCTGTTACGTCATCTAGCTGCTGCTTGAGGGTTGCAACAAGCGGTCCATATGTTGCTGCAAATGTGTTATTAACTTTTTCGAGTTTGAATTTTTGTTTCTTCATCTTTTGGAGAACTTTTTCATCGAACTCGATGATTTGATCGGAAACAATTCGAGATTGAGAATCCATCATCATTGTCTGTGGATTGATCATTGAGTACTGTGGGTTCATCATGCTCATGCGTTGATTCATCATTGACATTTGTGACTGGTTCATCATTGCAGATTGATTCATCATTTGCATTTGAGGATTCATCATCTGCATCTGTGGATTCATCATAGACATCTGAGACATTGGATTGTTCATGCGGCTCTGGTTCATATATCCCATGTCTCCATATCCTTGTTGTTGCATCAACATCTGTCTCTCGTACATATTTGGTTGAATATCTGCAACCATTTGAGATCTGTTCGAAAGGAATGGGATTGATCCAACACCTGATTCAGTTTTAGCATAAGAAACAGGGAAAGAAAGGCCAAGATAGCCAATATCATGTTGTGAAGATGTAACTGAATCACTACCTTTCTTCTTCTCTCTCTTTGGCCTAACAGAGAAAACTGTATCGCTGTCAAATGATAAAATTGTAGATCTACGAGCTGAAGATGATTTCCTAGAATTCGACTTTTGTGCATTTGATTCTTCTTTGAGGCGATCAGATTCAAATCTTGTTCTGATAAGCTCGAGTTCTTGCTCGTTCTGCTCTTTCTCGTTTTCAATCTGTTTCTGATTCTGGCGTTTAAGTTTCTCCATTGCTTGCTGATGTCTTTGCTTTAATTGAGCAATTTCTTCATCAAATGCTTCTTGCATTTCTTCTCTTTGTTGATCGATTTCTTCTTGAAGTTCATCAAGTTGTTTCATTTTCTCTGCTTCTAGCTGTTTCTTTTGGCCTTTCTTGAGTCTATCGAGTTCTCTCTTGTGATCTGCCTTGAGTTCTTCGATTTCTTCATTGAATTCGTCTTGCAAGTCTTCTTTCTTCTGCTCGAATTCGCTCTTCAAGTTGTTTAATTGTTTCTGCTGTGAAGCAGTAAGTTTTGCTTGATCAATTGATTTCTGATGTTGTTTCTTGATTTCTTCCATTTCTTTGTTATGTTCTTCTTGCATATTCTCAATTTCTTCATCGAATTGGCTTTGTAACTCTTCTTTCTTTTGCTCAAATTGTGATTTCATCTTTCCAATTTGTTTCTGCTCATCAGCTGTCATCTTTGCTTGAGTAACAGCTGTTTGATGGGATTTCTTTAATTGATCAAGTTCTCTCTTGTGTTGTTGCTTCATTTGAGAGATTTCTTCATCGAAATCATTTTGAAGTTCTTGTTTTTGTGTTTCGAAATCTTTCTTCATTGCATCAAGTTGTTTTGTTTGGCCTGCAGTGAGTTTAACGTTTTCAGCTTCTTGTGTCTGTTGTTTCTTGAGGTTGGCAATGTTCTTTTCATGGTCTCTCTTCATCTTTTCAATTTCAGCATCAAATTGGCTTTGTAATTCTTTCTTCTTTTGATCATTTGCAGATGCATCAATTGGTTCTGATGATTGGCTTTGCTGCTTCATTTTGTTCACTTTTCCTTCGAGATCGAAATCCTTAGTTTGTTGGTCGAGATCTGCTTGAAGTTTCTTCTTCAAATCTTCGACATCTTTAGCATGTTGATCATTTAATGACTTGATTTCCTCTTCAAATTTCTTCTTTAGTTCAGCAACTTCCTCTTCATGTTTCTTATGCATTTCTTCGATTTCCTTTTTATCAGCTTCACTGATTTGACGCTTGTTTTCTTCAGCAGAAATTTGATTCTTATTGTTACGGCGGGCTTCTTCTAGTGCTTGATCGAGTTTTGCCTTTTCATCTTTCAATGCATCATCATTCTTTCTCTTGAGCTCTTCTAACTGAGCACGATGCTTATTATTTTCTTGCTGTATTTCTTTTTCATGATCATTCTTGAGTTCTCTCAATTGATTGATATGAGATAATTCTGCATCTGTAATTTCTTGTTGCTGTTTCTTCTTTAACTGGTTAAGTTCGATTTCTGCATCAGCCTTTTTCGCACGCATCTGAGATAATGCTCTTTCTTCTTGATCTGCTTCTCTTTGATTTGCAGCGCGTAAATCTTGGATTTTTCTACGATGAGCTGAACGTATGGATTCTATTTCATCATCCATTCTTGATTGTAAGTTGCTTTTCTCTGTATCATGCTTAGCTCGTAAGATACTTAGTTGCTGATTGAAATCGTTATTTTCTCTTTCGATTGCTTGACGGTGTGAAGCTTGTAGATCATTTAATTCTCGTTGATATTGTGCATTGTTATTTGAAGAAATACCTGCAGAAATAATAATTGGAGTTCCAGATGAAGATTTAAGAGGTCCAAGGCTCATAGGTGCAACACTTTGCGATCCTAGACTTCCAAGTGGCTTTGAACCAATCGATGATGTGCCTGGTTTTGATCCTAAAGCTGCAAGTGGACGAGTATTTGATTGAGTGGATTGTGGACCACCTGAGCGTATTCCTGATTCTTTCTTTGCTTTTTCTTTCGCGAATAAATCTTTGTAATGCTGATCTAACGGATGATCCCAAAGAGATTCACCTGTACGACTGTTAAAGTAGAACGGTTCCCCAGTACCATCCCTTCTCTGATATAATTTCCATCCTGGTGGAATTGGAGCCATAAGTGCTTCTCTAGCGATCCAAAATAGATCACGATCTTTTTGTAAATCAGCACCAAGCCATTCAGCATAGTCTTCTATTTCCTGTTGGGTTGGCTCTTGCCCATTAGCATTTGGATCTTCAATTTCAACAAATGAATCATCCATTTTTCCACTCATTAAATGTCACAGTGTACGTTTACAAAAAGAAAACTCAAGATATACCCTATAGAAAAGCAATAGGCTAGTGGAATACAAAAATGTTTATAACAAATACAATAAAACAAATACAATTTATACTCTATAAAATCTATTTTTGACTTTCATCATTATTAAAAAGAATTTTTTTGGCTTTTTGAATATGTTCTTCTGTAACTGGGTTGCCTGGCCCAGCAATACGAGCAGCGTAGTTAAATATATTTACTGCTAAAATTTGGACTTCATCAAATTCGATTGTCTGTGGTTGTATGATATTTTCATTTAAAGGTTCTTCATCATAGTCTTCTTCTTCATAATAGTCTTCCTCGTAATCTTCTTCTTCGTCATAATACAAACCTGATTCGCTGTCTTTTTTGTAATTTGAAGATGTTTCTATTCCAGATTGCTCTGTGGAATAATATTCTGGGGTTAAAGTATCACTTGTTGAATCCATATCAGGATCTAGACGTTTTCGGTCATATGTTGTGCTCATTGTTGATTTGATTTTGCAAAGAGCACTTTTTAGTCATACAAGTCACTTTTTTTTCAAAAAATTTTCGACACTCAAATTTCAAGTATTATAATATGCGCCTTTGTTGTAATGCTATCTGCCTATCTTATTCTATTTTTGGCTTGAATTATATGCAAATCATATTTAAACATAAATTTTCAATTCTAAACAAAGTACCAAGTAACAGCAGCCTAACAATACACTCAATTTTTAACTTTTGCAACTCCAAAAACCAGGTGTTTTTCCAGAACTACCATCTAGGATGAGTCCTAGGAGTTATAATTCTAGGGTTAGATGACACCCACTTAGTACTTTTATTTGTATATGTTTTAGTGGAATTTGGTGAGGGGTCATGAAATTCGTATCTAATTTGCTATCATCTAAGCTGGTAAAAGTTAGAGAAAGCTATTTACTGGTTGTATATTACAAATATACCTTGTAATAGAAAATATAAGTGTTTGTGATTTAAATTCGCTCAATTAGCTCGAAAATTTGTTTTATATCCATGACAAACTAACACAATCCTATTTATGTGATTGCCAATCTGTTCCCAAAATATATCAGCATGAATATATATATATTGATATTATTTGCAATTTCATCATTAAATAGTACTTTTTTTTCTATTTTTAATTTAGAAATAGTATATTTATATGATAGCGACACAAGATTTTAATTAAAAAATATATGTTATCGATCATCACACTCAAATTGAATTTCAAAAATTTTAGAATTTTTCAATTTCAATATTGAAAATATATTTCTTATATCATAGCGATTCATGTTATAATAATATGGAGAAAAATATTGTTTTAAATCTAAAATTTAAAATGAATGATTGGGCATTACATTAATCCAATTTATTGTTTATTTGTTAATCTAGTGGAAACAATTAATATTTTGGAGAAACAAAAATTTGAAATTTGAAATTTTGAAAAAAATGCATGAATCGGTAATTAAACATTGATTTATTAATTTATTAGCCATGCTTTTGATGTTGGTCTTATTCTTAAGCCGAAAAGAATTAATTTTTCCAAATCGTGTTTGACATTAACACATATAGATATATCAGGAAAAAAGGTATCACTTATCAAGTTATTGGTTTTTATGTATCTCCTAACTTTGCCTCGTTCTGAATACAATTCTAGTTAACGAATTTTAAATAACTATATGAAGAATACATCATTTTGGTTTTATTATTATTAAAATGATATATATTAGCTATGTATATGCTTGTAAGAATATTATTCCGTGAATTGGAAACAGAAAAAATAAATTTAGACAGAAAATGCATATCTTTAAAAAATAATATGAAATTTAGCTTTGATATTATTATCCGATAAAATAATGATAATTACTCCGCAAATAAAATTTAGGAAGCAAGTTGTGACGGTTTGGGCGGTTTTCAATGGCCCACAAGGAAGGAAGTATCGTTTTATCAGGCAACAAGAGGTCTTGAAATGAGTAAAGGACTGATCACCCTTGAAAGGTTCAAACTTGCTTGCGCGCCGCAGTCTTAAATGATATGTTTCACTTCTGGTCGAAAATTTCAACCCTATGACAGTTTGGATGAACAATTGTGTAGCGGGATGAAATCTGAGTGCGGCCTGGGGCTGCAGCATCAATTTTGCCGGCATCTTTACCGCAATCATCTCTTAGATTGCACACAAAGTTGCGAACGAGCAGCTTTCTATGCGGTAAAGATGCCGGTAAAAGAGAGCCGTAGTGATTTCTCTGCTGCAGCGCTTCAATCTTCCCGGCATCTTTAGCGCAATCATCTCTTAGATTGCACACAAAGTTGCGAACGAGCAGTTTTCTATGCGGTAAAGATGCCGGAAAGAGAGAGTCTATGTGAGGTTCTTTTCGAGGGCTCCTCGAATGAGACACTGTTCCGCATTCATAACTTGAATGCGGAAGTTTGACCGACAAGAGTGTATTGTGCACTCCTGTCGGTCGCAGTGTCTCATTCTGGGAGACATTGCCTCTGCATGTCTCCCAGAATGGAACAATGTTCCGCATTGATAACTTGAACGCGGAAGTTTGACCGACAAGAGTGCATTATCCAATCTTTTTTGTCATATACCTCAACCCACAAAGACAAAACCTTACATAAAATAGGTAAACTTTGGTTTTCACTTAATAATGTTTATTTTTAATTTTTTGTTCTTTATATAACTTTTTCTTCTACTAAACTATTTTACAGACTCTACTGAGCTATCCTCACATATATACCTGTGACAATAACACATATATACTCCCTTCATATTCTGATCTCATGACATATTACAGCACAAACTATAATTATACAACATACCTCATAAAGTCTGATTTTACCCCTATCTAAGCGTTCAAAGCCTATTTTCCTTAAAATTTCTCTTCAAGTTCATACTGAAACAACATCTTTTTTTGAAAATACAATTTTTTCAAAAAATGTATGAATTCAAAAGTGCATACTATATCTAGTCATTACCCAACATTAATTTTGTATTTTAGTTTTTAAGATATTCATTTTATTATACGTCTTATTCAGAAAATTAAATATATTTGTGAGGGAAAACGGAGGAAATAATAAATATGTCAAGATCGAGGAATTGACAATTTTAAGGAAAATATTAAGTTGTGTATTTTGTGTTTATCTCATTGTGTGATGCATATTTTCACGATCTGAAAAAAAAAAGGTAGTGGGGCTTCCAGGCGCGTTGCGCCCTCTAGCCCCGAAGATGTTTAGTATAAAACCGCTTTTTAACTTCACTTAAAATGCCACGTAAGCTACGTAAGAATATACGTAAGAGGAAGAGAGTATTGAAACATCCAATAGTAAAACTGACACCACAACAACAGTTGCAACAACAAATGATGAATGACCCCACTATGTTGCAACAAATGTCAAGCAACCCTATGCTTTTAAACCGAGTTATTGGTGCACAGAGTGGTGGTTTAAGAGCGGCACTTTTAGCGAAAATGGCAGGCTATGGTGGAGCTGCAGACGGAACAGCTTATAACCCTCAAAGTCAAATGAATTTGAGTTCACTCAAAAATCAAATAACAGATGTCAAAAAGTCAAACATAGACATACAGAAACAAATAAGTGAAAATGAAAAGAAACTAGAATATGACAGACACACAAAGAAACTCAATGAGTTAAACGTAGAGAAAAAGAAGAAAGAAGAACAACTGAAAGAACTAAGTACAGAGGAATATGCGAAAAAAGTGTCAGAAAAAGCAGCAGAAGTAGCAAAAATGGAACAAGATGTTATAAATTTGAAAAACCATACTACTCAATATAAAATACTGAAAGATGAAGAGATAAAACAAAAAGCCCTGAAGACATATATGGATAGCGATGAGTATAAAAAAGAAGTTGAAGCAAATGTAAAGGCAGAAAAACTTTTACAGTTGCAAAACCAAACCGTACAGTATGAAAACTTAGCACAAGAAAGTAAAAATAACGACGCAGCCATGCAAAAGGCAATGAAAAGCGCAGAATATATAAAAGCTAATAATGACTGGTTAGATGCCCAAGCCAACGCTAAAGCAGCCCAACTTATAGGGTCAATAAGGACAAAAATACAAGCGGATGAAGACAGTTCAAATGAAGCTTTAATGAATGCTGACTTTAAGAACGCCTTCGAAGCTCTTCATAGTAAGGTGAAACTAGTGAACGACTTCTCATCTGGAAAGAAACTGAAGTCTGAAGGTTTCGACAAAGAGTTAAAAGAAGTAGCACAAAATATGACGAAAATAACAGATGCAGCAACGAGACAGGCAGTTCAAAGTGCCTATGACGCCGTTAGAGCAACTGTTGTGGAAAGTCAAGAAAAAGAGTTACAACAGACCAAAACAGACCTAGTAAATGCTTTCTTAAAAACGAAAAGTCAGGTAGGACATTATGCTGCAGATGGAACATATGTGCCAGCTGGTGGAACTTATATACCAGCTGGTGGAACTTATATACTAGCTAGTGGAACTTATATCCCACCAAACCCTCCAAGAGAAGCACCTGCACCAGGACTACCTAAAACATTTACATCGTCACATGGACACAGACACAGGCATGCACCAAAACCAACACAACAACCAACAGTTCAAAATCCAGCACAACAACAACAACAACCAACACAACAACCAACACAACAACCAACAGTTCAAAATCCAGCACAACAACCACCTCCACAACCAGCACAACAACCACCTCCACAACCAGCACAGCAACCAACAGTTCAAAACCCTGCACAACAACAACCACAAACAGAGCAAGGACATAAAAGAAGTAGAGAACAAGGAAACCAAGAATTCTTAAAAATGCTTAAGGAAGAGTATGGTTACCCAGATACTCTTGACTTTAGTGACAGATATAAAGAAGCTATTAGAAAGTTCAAGGAAGGAAATACTGACCCGAACCTATTTAGCTTTATGGCTCAGCACCAAATGGGATATAATTTCAAACCTGGAAAATACAAGCTCGCTAAGGGATATGATTTAATAGCATATCATCCAAATGACATGAACGAATTTACTCCGAGATATTTGGTGTCAGAGCTAAATGACAATTCAACTCTCTTCATGAAACGCGTAAAAAATAGAGACGGAACGAAAGAAGAAAGGGTTATGAATGCGGATGACTTAAATAGGGAACTTGTTAAAAACGGTCTCGGAATATATGAAATGCCAGCAGATGAGGTACAAGAAACTCCACAGGAAGAAGTTCAGATACAACCAGACATGGAAGAAATAGTTCAGCAACAACAGCTAGAAGAGCCTGAAGGAAACGAACAAGTCCCTCCTTTGGAAACTAACTTCACAGAACTAGATGAAGATTTGGAACAGCCGAAAAATCTTGACCCTCAACAAGAGTATGCGGAGAATATGGAATCTTTCCAAGAGTCTAAGAAAAATTCGGCTGACATAGTAGAAGAATATCGAAAAATTTTCACCGACATACAAAAGACTCCAACACCAGATGAAAATATTCAGCATAGAAT